AATCGGCGATTGCTCAACAGTCCAGAACAACATCGCAGACAACATCATCAGGTTCCTCCGCACCGTTGCCTGGGAGAAAGGTCGTGACCCCGAGAAAGTGCACCTCACTTTCTCCGAATGGACCGAATTCGCCACTCGGGTTAAGAAACGCTTCCCGCAAGCCTCGAACCATCTCCGTCGTCTGGATCTGCTCTTCGAGCAGTACGACATTGACCACTCCGGCACTCTCGACTACGGCGAGCTGTCCGAGCTCCTGCACCAGATTGACACCAAGCTCACGTCCCTGCCTGCCACTGCCCAACGCGCCAACCAGCAGGGCGTGTACCTGGGCCGTAAACTGACCAAGATTGCCGCCTCTCTTCCCGGTCTCAAGGCCAACGAGATCGACTACGGTGACCTCGACGAGGCTGTCTACAAGGCATTTAAGTATAGGCACCTCGGAAGCTTGGCATACATCAGCAACGCTGCTGTGTTTGACTTTGGTGGTATGAGCTTCAGTGGCGGTGTCATTGCTATGTATCTTTGGCGTAGTATCTACTTCGCCGAGAGTGTTAGCTTCCGCACGCGGTGTATGCTAGCCATGGATTGGGCCAAGAGAGCGCTCTTTGGAAGAGGTATGTCTTTTTTTTTTTTTTTTTTTCCTCCATCAACAGTCATCAACAGTCGTGCTTTGCTAATGCTTTTATTCTCCAGATCTCATGAGCTTCTAAAGCCAGGAAGGCAATGCTGCGTCCCATTTATGTTCTTATCATTGATTGATCTAGAGGCATTTGATTGATTTTCTTTTCGATATTCTGCAGTGAGTGAGTCCGGGGGTATTTTGGTTGCTTTAAAACTCGTCCATAGATGTTGCTTTTGTTGCTTCTTTATTAGTTTCCATAGCCACGCTTGGTTCATATTTGCGGGTTGATTTATTGTGTGGGAGAGCTCTTTCTTTTGTTGCTGCATACATGCATTGTTTGTATCGATTCCACCAGTCTTTTTCACATATAATAAAGTGATATTACGCTACAGAAGTACCATGTCCAGGACAAAGGAAGGTACGTGACCACAATCAAGATTAAAAAGCCAATTGTATTGCAATGGGTTGAAACGCCCATATTGGAGCTAGCGAAATACCATCGCCTGAACACCTTGAAATATGGATCCAAGACGCCACGCTAGAAGAGCAAAGACGAAAAAAAAGGAGATCTTCTGCCGTGACAGGACAGGGGGAATCTGGCTGACAATCAAGGCCAGCTTGAAAGGAAAGTTGAGAATTAAGAGATCATTGTGTCAAGGTCGCTGTTGTTCGACATCAATGTGTCACGGATGTTAGTAGCAAGGTCATTACTGTTACTGTTTTCGTGAGAATCGCCGACCAAGCCAATGTCCAGGGTATCTGGGATGTCTTTTTTGGCCTCTCGTGCCTTTTGCTCGGCGTATGCCCGGGTCTTCACAAGATTGCGCAGCCGGGCCTCTTTACGAGCGCCCTGGTTCTGCAGAATTGCCTCGTTGACTCGGGTTGCGATTTCTTTACGAAGCGCAGGGTCCAGGAGCGACGCAAGCGAGGGGGCGAGTTTATCACTGGGGAAAATCAAAAGGGCAAGGGTCATCTCGAGATCCGCCAAGAACTGAGGGTTTGTAGGGGCGCGCGGTGCAAGTTGTGCCGTCGCAAAGTCCAGGGCAGGAGTAATATCGCTACCAGGGGTGTCCATGCAGGTGCGGATCAACTCAACGAGCTGCAGACGCAGAAGGGAGAAGTGCAACGATGGGTCTTCGTCAAGGATCTATTGAAGTCTGGTTAGCCATGGCACTTGACATGAAATGTGTGATATGCTGGTGAGATTCAATATTTGGCAGTTGCTCATATTAAGGACTGAAGATGTTTGTTTTTCTGCAAATGTCCCCGAAGGGAGTTTAAGAGTGGTGCATGAAACTTGGTAAAATCATAGCAAGTGGGGCCAAGGGATGTGAAGTAAGACTAGTGGGAAAAACTTTCTTACCTGAGGGTTCAGCTCGTTGATTTTTTCAACGGCCGACTGGATATCACCAGAGTGAATCGCAGTGCGAATTTCCACCCGCTCTTGAATGGCTTCAAGATCCGTTCTGAGTTGGATGTTGGCCTCCACTGCGAATTTCTTCGCAGCAGCGGGATAGCCATTGGTGATGAGGTAATCCATGACCAAATAATTGATATCACTGCATTATAATTGTCAGTAACCATTGATGAAACGGATGAGTGAAAATTTTGCAGTGGTGACGTGAATCAGAAGGATAAGTCAAATTTGTTTCTCCTCACATGTTTTCAGAGAGATTCCCAACTTAATTTCAAGAACATCATGTCACGGTGGTGGGTAGGTGGGGATGGAACAGAGGTAACTCACGTTTTGGACGGCTTGACCTCCTCAAGCTTCCGCTCGAAGTGATGCCAAGTAGGCGTCGCAGTCGAGGGAGTGCGAGACATCTGCATAGTGTTAAAATGCCAGCAACCACGGGTGTCAAGCCGAGAAGCATACAAGATTAGCAGACATTATGAGCTAGATAGCCAGTCTTGAATCTGATCTGAAGCTATCCGTAAAGCTGGAAGGCAACCCGAGAGACGACGGCCATGGGGAAAGGCAAATCGCTTTGTGGGAGAAGACCGGGTTGAATGCGAAAGAGAAAAGGAATTGAAAAGCTCGCGGCGGAAGAAGTAGCTTAAGCGAAAATAATCCGCTAGGCCCAAGTGGGATGCTTACAAATATCTTACTCATCAGCACGTGATCAAACACAGCAATATTGGAACCGTCCAAGAAATCACCCTCGATTAACCCGCTTTGGGACTAGAATATTAGGTAATCTATCGTGGGCCCCCACCCGGGGCAGCTTTCAAGGTTCACATCGAAATCAGAGGGGTGGAGAGGGTTAAGATAACTACCTACAAAGTACAGTGTTGTATGTCGCGCACATAGACATGGAATCAATTTCCCCTTTATATTCTTCGTCCCCTGAAGTGCGATATTCTCCACCATGGCAGGACTTGAGCATTATTGGCATTGCTGGCAGCTCTGGCTCCGGTAAGAGTTCCGTGGCAATGGAGATTGTCAAGTCTCTGAACTTGCCGTGGGTGGTGATCCTTGTAATGGTACAGCTTGTGGCCTCTGGTGCATCTAAATTGAGACCCTCTTGTTCTAATGTATTCCATGCAGGACTCATTCTACAAAACCTTGACTTCCGAGCAACACCACAAGGCCCACGCAAATGAATATGACTTCGACTGCCCGGAATCGATTGACTTTGATATTCTAGTGGAGACCCTCCGTGATCTGAAGAAAGGGTAAATCTACTGTTCTTCCTAGAGTTCTCCTATTTGACCTGACTGGATGTCACAGAAAGAAAGCGAACATCCCAATTTACTCATTTTCTGAGCACCAGCGGCAGCCTAATACAACCACCCTCTACTCCCCTCGTGTGATCATTCTCGAGGGAATTTTGGCGCTCCATGATCCTAGAATCGTCGAGATGTTGGATGTGAAGGTATTATAGCTTCTTGCTATTATTGTGCTTATCGGTGCTAATTTGATGGCCTAGATCTTCGTTGAAGCAGATATGGATGTGTGCTTAGGTCGCAGGAGTGGGTTGCCTCAATCGTGCTACCTTGACCCCACTAACAGTATATAGTCTTGCGTGACGTCCGTGAGAGAGGGCGTGACATTGAAGGAATCATCAAACAATGGTTTGAATTCGTGAAGCCTTCTTACACTCGATTTGTGGAGCCTCAACGCCCTATCTCAGGTTGGTAGTCATATGGGTTTGCAAAGCGTTCGAGACTTTTTGTTAACTTTGAATCCTAGATATCATTATCCCGCGTGGCATTGAGAACACGACCGCTATCGGTATGCAATCCCCTGGAGCTACTGGTTTTGAGAGCTGTACACTAATTGATTTAGACATGGTGGTCAAACACATCCAACGCAAGCTGCAGGAGAAATCTGACAATCACACTGAAGCACTTCGCAAACTAGGTTTGGTTGCAGCTGAAGTAGAGCTGCCTCCAAACGTGCATGTCTTGCCTTCGACACCACAGTTTATTGGCATGAATACTATTCTGCAGACCCCAGAAACTGAGCAAGAAGATTTCATTTTCTACTTTGATCGACTGGTTTCGATCTTGATTGAAAAGTACTGCGCTCCCTCCCGAAATGCGCCCAATAACTACTTTACTGACATCACTGTCGCAGGGCCTTGGACATGACATCGTATGTATCCGCAAATGTGGAAACACCACAAGGGAGCACATACCTCGGTTTGCATCCCAAGGGTACCGTATCAGCCGTGGCTATCTTACGTGGAGGCTCTTGCATGGAGACCGCACTTAAGCGATCCATTCCCGACTGTCTTACTGGTCGTGTGCTCATCCAAACGAACGAGAGCAACGAGGAGCCAGAGTTGCATTATTTGAAACTTCCGTCGCAGATCGAGGAGCATGCAACTGTCATACTAATCGACTCTCAAATGTCCAGTGGAGGTGCCGCACTTATGGCTGTTCGCGTCTTGATTGATCATGGGGTGGAACAAGGGAGGATCGTTTTCGTAACTTGCGCAGCAGGTGAACGGGGCCTCAAAAGACTTACTGCCGTATACCCCAGGATCAATGTGATTGTTGGACGCATCGAAGAAGAGGGAGAACCGCGCTGGATAGAAAAGCGGTACTTCGGATGCTGAAACCTTCATTCATTTGTTCCTCCTCTTAAGTATATATGTTGATCCGCTCACTATGATTTATTTCCGAGACCAAGCATTGGGTTACTAGGATTGACACTTAGCAAGAGCATGCTTATACACACGTTGTATATTTACTCAAATCTAAGCAAACACCATTACAATTTATCTTGTCAAGTTGTCTTGCATGACAATGGCCTTGGAAAGTAAAAAAATAGACTTGCCGTTTTGAGAATACACGTGCCTGACCGCCCTGACTTCGGCGGGCAGAAAAAAGAAATAATTTATCGGTCTCGACTATTTTCACTTGCTGAATCCGACGATCTCTATTGATATTCAGGCATTGAAAATATTTTCCTGCGTGCTTGTGGTGTGCGAAGTGAAACTTCCCAGCTCTCACAATGGCAGGCTCAGACAAGAAAAAGTCCAAGGCTGGCAAGCCCAAAGGCGAAGTTGGTCCAGCGATCAGTACGTACAGTGGAAGCTTAAGACCTGTTTTCAGGAAATCCCATGACCATGATTACTGACTATTTGTGTCGCTTTAGCGGATCCTCGATTCGCGAGCATCCAGACCGATCCTCGCTACCGTCTTCCTAGCAAACGCCAGACTCATGTCAAACTCGATAAGCGCTTTGCGCATGTGCTAGACGATAAGGATTTCTCCAGCAACGCTCCTGTCGACCGCTATGGACGAAAGCTCAGAAAAGACGACACCAAGGAAAAATTGAAGCAGTTTTACCAGGTGGATGAGGATGAGGATGAAGATGAAGATGAAGACGAGGATGAGGACAGTGCCGACAACGACGAAGAAGTCCAGAAAGAATTGAAACGGGTCAACGCTGTCTCATATGATCCTGCCCGTGATGGCGGCTTTGAGTCCTCGTCATCCGAAGAAGAAAGCTCCAGCGAAGAGGAAGACGATGCGGAAGACGATGTGATTGAGTTCCCGGACCAGCAGCGGTCCGATGTACCGCTCGGCGAAGTGACGAATCGGATAGCTGTCGTCAACCTTGATTGGGAAAACATTCGTGCCGAGGACTTGATGGCAGTCTTCTCTAGTTTCCTTCCGTCTGGGGGACGGGTGCTGAACGCCACAGTCTACCCTAGCGAATTTGGAAAGGAGCGCATGGAGAGGGAGGAGGTTGAAGGCCCCCCGAAAGAGATTTTTGCTTCTGGGAAGAAAAAGAACATCAGAGACGATTCCGAAGAGGAGGAACTTGACTCTGATGAGGAGGAGGAGGAAATTAAGAAGTCCATGCTGAAGGCTGACGACGGTGAAGAATTCAACTCTACACAGCTACGCCGGTACCAGCTCGACCGACTGCGGTATTACTACGCCATTATCAAATTTTCATCAAAAGACGTCGCAAAGCATGTCTACGATCTGGTGGATGGTGCCGAATATCTCTCTAGTGCCAACTTCTTCGATCTCCGCTTTGTGCCCGAGGACACTGACTTCTCCGATGACAAGTCTCGGGACGAGTGTTCTCGGATTCCTGACGGTTACAAGCCTACTGAATTTGTAACGGACGCTTTGCAGCACAGCAAGGTCAAATTGACATGGGACGCGGACGACAAAACAAGAAAAGAAGCTCAGGCACGTGCCTTCCGGGGCTCACGCCAGGACATTGACGAAAACGACCTGAAAGCCTACCTTGGTAGCGATAGTTCCGAGAACGAAGATTCGGATGACGAGGACGGAGGCGTCGAAGTTGTCGATAATACTGCAGGAGAAGCTACGACCACAAAGCTATCCAAGAAAGAGGCCGAGAGACAGCGCATGCGTGCGTTGCTGGGTCTGAGCGCCGAGCCTACCCGCACCAAAGCGGAACGCCCCGTCGGCGAGATGGAGGTTACTTTCACGTCGGGCTTGGCTGGCGGCCATGGAAAGGATACTATCTTCGAAAATGAACCGGAGATCGAAGAAAGCACAATTGACAAGTACGTGCGGAAGGAGCGTGAGCGCAAAAAGCGCCGAAAGGAGAAACTCAAGGCTCCTAAGGCATCTGAAGAGGATGGCGCCGCAGCGGACAGTGAAGACAATGAAGCTGCTCCAGCCGAGGTGCCACAGGAAGAGGAAGAAGAAATGGGATTCAATGATCCCTTCTTTGATGACCCTGATGGAAAGGCTACAGCAGGTGCTCGACGCAAGGAGGAGAGGCGCAAGAAGCGTGAGGAACGTGCCGCCGAGGAAGCCGCGTCAGCTGCCCAACGGGCTGAGTTGGAGTTACTGATGGTAGATGACGAGAAGGTCAACATCAAGCACTTCGACATGAACGAGATTGAAAAGGCCGAGAAACAGGCCCGGAAGAAGGGCAAGGGCAAGAAGGGCAAGAAGGTGGAACCTGCTCAGGCAGATGACTTTGAAGTCAACGTCAGCGACCCCCGTTTCTCACGTCTGTACGACACACACGATTTCGCCATTGATCCTACCAACCCCCGGTTCAAGTCGACTTCCGGCATGAAGGCATTGTTGGACGAGGGCCGTAAGCGCCGACGTACTGGTGATGACGCGGAGGCTGAAGCGCCGACAGAGAGCCGGGATACCAAGAAGAAGCAGAAGAAATCTTCTAAGGAGTCTAGCTCTGAGGAGTTGAAGCGATTGGTGGCAAAAGTCAAGCGTTCTCACTGAGAGTATAGCAGAACTGAAATGACCTGGTAGTTAATATACACTGAAGTTCAATGAAAGAAATTGAACTGTGAAATATGATCTATTTTACATATGTACCATTGGCAATATGAAACTAGATACTGGTAACATGCTATCCAGAATGGTTGACAATCAATGTGACGTCTCGTGTCAACTTACTACCATGGGAAACGGAAACTGAAAATACGAAAAAGGACCGGCTGAAGGGCAGAACCACGTGGACAGAACAGCTTAGTAGTCAACATGAAGAGGGTCCTTTTCTTCTACCTAGGGTCGGGGTATTTACAAACATGATTACAAGGGCCTGTCGAGAGGTGTGGTATCTGGGGTTGCAGGCATGATGCTTGTATCACACGAGGTATGAGTGACGGTGTAGAGATGGCATGTGCCCATCATGAGTAATATTTGGGAGATAAAACATTTCCCTCCAATCCTAAATTCATGTCCGTCTCAAATCACACAAATCAGCGCCCCCCGAGTAACACGATTCCTTGTAAACCCGACTATACGGTGACACGAGGACAGTAGAGAATAGCGACATGTTGGCCAGTAGTAGTGATTGGTATGGGTATCATTGGATGCAGTTCCGATAGCCGGCAATACATGGTTAAGATAGGCTCTTCCTATGCCCCAAACTGTGTACCTCGTGATGCTTTCTAGGGCTGATTGCACCAGAGTCAGAGAATCAGATCCATAATAAAAGACCAAAAGGTCACTATCCCTGACCATAGATTATGAGGCTGAGATCATGTGACTCTACTCACCGCCCTTTCACGTTCCTCTCTACTGCCCCCCCGGTGGTTTCTCTGTTCAAGGAACTGGGTCCCTTAAGAAGCTCTGGGATTATTTCATTTGACTTCCTGGTTTCCTACACAATTCTGATACTGTGGAGTCCTCGTGGGTGCAAAGCCAAGTCCTAACTCCTAATTGCTGATCCCAAGCCCCACTGCTGCACCTCATCCCACCTTCCACTCCTCCCCTCTCATCATTCTGGATATTCTGAATTCCCTTCATCGTTTGATGATGATTCTTGCTTCGTTGAATTAAGCTATGGGTGGATGCAGCCTAGATATCCCTAGCTGCTTGATACCCATCATTACACCGCGTGAATTCGACCGGCCCGTTTTCTTTCCCCGTCCCTAAGTACCTGTTCTCTCTGTGGGTTTCCCCGTTCTCATTCACCATGCTTGGCCGACTCTTGAGTACCGCCGCGTCGACTCTGAACCCGGCGGCATACTCTGGACGAAGCAATGGAACGCCTCTTGAGTCTGTGACTGAAGAGGAACACACCTCCGGTCTTCTTTTCCCCGACGCCAGCCTCCTTCGACGTTCCAATACCCATGCCTTCCCATTACAGACGACCTTCAATTCCCCGAATGCCTCGACCGCTGGTGCATATGATGACCGCGGGGGAATGGAATTGGATCCAATCAAAGATTTTCGTGTGATTGTTGCACAAAATGCATTGGGCGACCGAGATGCATGTGTCTTACTTGACACTCGTGCTTCCGATTCACCCCCCGCCGGTCTAGGAATCGACCCACAAGGCAACGACCAGTCCGGTACTAGACATACTAGAGCAGCCTCAAGTCTTTCTCGTGGAACACGTCGCAATATTCTCACCCAATCATCCCTCGTCGAATCGAGTCCCCTCTCCGCAGCTGCAGATGCACGCAGGTCGACACCAGCCGGCCCGGGTGCTTTTTCCCGGGCTCGAGGCCGTAGCTCTACACTGGCACCACCGGGAACATGGCATGACCCTGGCCCACAGCGACACCCCTCCGACTCCAATGATACCGGCCTTCTGAACTGCATATTCGGCAGCAGCGCCTTCAGCTACCGGGGGTCGTCTACAAAAATGCACATAATTTCCGCTGATGAAAGCCCGGCAACTGGGGTGAGTGCATCACCTGCTGCCCGCAGTCCACTTTCCCGGGCATATACCACAGGGAGTCCCTCGGCTCCGATAGGACTAGCCCGAGGAGTGGACGACAAGCCACCTTCCAAAGTCACAGTTCTCTTGACTCGCATGTTTAGTGTGAATCTTCCCGAAGGAGCGGAAGCATCGGCTGAGCGACATGACTATGCCAATGCTCTCTACCAAGAGTCATTGCCCGAGATGGAGTTCCCATTCCCGGACGTTTCTAAGCGCAAGAAAATCAAGGAGAAGAAAACACCCATGTACGCGGTTGCAATTACGATTCAGATCCCCTTGCTGCCACGCAATACCGGACGTCCTGCATCAAGGTTTAGTACTCCAGGCCCAGACTCTCCTCGGCCAGGGTTTTCAAGCTCGCTGGATTCTGATCACCGCTGGCCGGGTGGATTTTTTGATGATAGCCTATCTTCTGCCTCGCCCCCGGCTAGCCTGGATGAGCGTCTGGACTTGTTAGTTGATCATTGGGACGTCATTACTCGTACACTCTCCCACCTCGAAAGACTTGTTCGCAACGAAATTCTCTTTCTTTTGAAGAAGGTGGACTCTTTATCCGGGCCACACCCAAAGCCTGTGAAGCCTCCCAATATGCAGCGGACCAACCAGACCATTGTGCATTTACCTGCCAACATTCTATCGGTTAATTCGAAGCTCAAAGAAGAAGCCATTCGCAGCTCCCGCCGGATCAGCCTTGCTCTTCAAACCCCATATGTGGTTACTGGACAAAGTCGTTGGGGCGTCTGGCGAGAGGAAGGCCGTTCAATTGTTCGTGGTCTGGGCGACAAAGAGCAGAACTTCTTCTTCCTAGTTGTTTTGACAGCATTTTTGGGAAATCACACCGAGTGGCTCAACAGCCTTGGCCCGGAGTGGTATCGTCGCCGCCATAACCAGCAAAACAAAGCTCAGCAGGATGGCGAACTCATTCTTGCAAACAGAACAGTCATTATATGCCCAGATAAGATGACTGCTCGTCGCCTCGTGTTCTTACTAGCCGCTTTCTTGCCCTCCAAACAACGCCTGGAGCCGTTACCTTCCCCTCTTAGACCTGGTACATCGGCCTCAATGCGTGCTATCTCTCAAAGCCCACCGACTGTGCCTGTCCTCCGCCAGGAATCCCTTCGAAGAGCGATTGAACGACGAGCTCGTGCTCAACGAATGATCATGGGCGATGCCGATCACCACCAGCGATCAGTGAGCGTTTCGTCTCAAGAGACAGCCCAGCGGTCGATCGATGGAGCTGAAATAACACCACCGGCGGAACACTCGGCCTCGGCGCGCAGAGGATCTGATGCTCGCTCCATCAAACCCCCCGGGGCAAACATCCATCCGAAGGATGCTCGAGCCATGAATACGAGCGGAGCAACTACTTCTATGATCACTCAGAGCAGCACTGTTCCTGTTCCTCATTTTACTTCTCAGCCAAGCCATTCCACCCAGGCTAGAACAGAGCGCAGCGCAGCCGCAGGCAACGATAGCCTAGCATCGGAGACTCTACTGAAGAGCCTTCAACGAAGTGACAGCTCTGCAGTAAGCACGGATGGCAGTGTTTCCTCAGCTGGAGGCCGCTGGGGGGGTATTTTCTCCGGTCTTTGGAGCTCCCGCCAAGGCTCATCTACCGAATGTAGCGAGCCATATTCCCCATCTGAAGCTCGCAGAAGGTCTGCCTCTACAATATCTGGTCCTGCTAGGCGCGGGTCAACTACTTTGACTCAAATGGTCAAGGAGGTCACAGAACATGAGGATGAGCATCGGCCCGAAACAGCTCCCAGTGGAAACATCTCAATTCCAACTGCTTTTGCCGCCGCTCCTCACAACACTGAGGCTGCCTCGCCAGAGCCATCATCACTCACCAGCCAAGTTCGGGAGTCGCCTTTGAAGTTGTCAGTCCGAGCAGAGGAAGGCGTGGTGGATGTTGACCTTCCACTTCCTGGTTTCATGTCACTTTCTTCATCCGGCGATTCGACTATTGCCTCGCCAAAGAAGACTCGAACCTCCGTCACCAGCATGGATGCAATTGCTTCTACACATAGCAGTGGCTCCGGATTTCCGGGTACCATGAAGGATAGCGATGGACCAACTGCCCATGTGGCTGGTTGGTTAAAATCCTTCCATGAGGATTTCTCGCTCCAAGCGGTCCGGCCTTATGCTTCTCTTGAAGCAGAAATCAAACAGGCAATGCGGGCTGAACCATCCCCATATATCCCCTCCACATCCGATGTGGACGGATCAGAGAAATGGGTAGATGTTGCAACGACTTTGATTGCAGACACCAAGGCTTCTACGGTGAAACGACTCCGCTTGCGACGCAAGATCATAGTGGGTCACAACTCTGGGGCTTCTCATACGCCTCCTTCCCCTGCCGACGCTACCCCCCGTGGATCTACTGGAGGTGCCTCGGCCTCACAATTCACCAGCTTCTTTTCCGGGCATGAGAAACCTCACAGCCCGGCCACTCAGGGTTTTGTGGAAGAGCGGTTCATCGAGGAGCCTGTGATGGATCTCGATGGAGTTCTAGTTGATGCTGTCGAGCGTGTCTTGGGACAGAGCGGTTACTCGTCAATGGCACAGTCACGTGCCCCTTCCCCTAACCGTGCTCGTAAAGCTGAAGACAAAGGCCCCTCTTCTAGAGGCGATGAAGCCCCTCCCCTTGAAGTACCTCGTGGTGAATGCCGCAAAATGGTGCTCGGAGCCCTCGAAGAAGTCGTCCGCCTTGTCACCGCCGAACATTGCCGTGAGGATGTGGACAGCACACTCGGGCTTGCCGACCGCGAGCGGAGAAGAGCACTATCAGGCGCTGATAATACATTGCGTGAAGGAATCCGAAAGTGGCTCCTTGACGTCGAAGAAGTTTGGTGATTCTGCTTTACCAAGCTTCGATTTCTTTACGTTTACTGATTGCATACCGATGCATATTGCACTCATGCATTGTTCTTTTTCTTCCCCTGCCCAATAGTTAGTGATTTGGTCTTGCCTGATATGGTACAAGACCAGCGCTTCGAGTTTTTGATTCCCTTTCTCTTGTTTACTTTTTCTTGCGTTTCTTGCTTTTTCGGCTTTGCCTCTTGCATTGCGACCTGTTTTGAATATGATACCCACCCACTTCATACTGAAGTTTAGTTCTGCTAGTGGGGGCTCTTCCCCTACGCTTTTAATATGACTCTTTGACCAATTTGATGCAAATGACATAGCTTCCATGAATTTCATTCTCTATTTGATACGAATCTAGGCAACATAAACCAATTTCACACTGTGACCACTTGCTTCAACCTTTCCATCCTCAGTAGGAGAAACTCGGACAGTCTTCAAGATCTCGTCTGATTGAGCCGAGTTGACAATTTCGACTGTAGTCTCAGCCCGCAGGCGCCCGTTGACTAGCAACTCAATTCCCTCCAAGGCATCATCCTCAGGGGCCTTGATCGTGGGATTGGTAACAGTAACAGAGCCAGGACGGATCAAAATTGGCATGGTATCAAAGTCATGAGTCTCCGTGTACCAACGACCAGATTCATAAGACTTGGAATGATCAAACCACGAGATCCATTTGCCAGCCTCATCATCAGGAGACGCAGGCACATAGAAAGTAACCTCACCCTCCTCCGTAAACACCGGTGCAACCAGCAAATTAGGTCCAAACATATACTGCGTATCAATAGCATATGTGTTAAGATCCTCAGGGAACTCCAAGAACAGCGGCCTCATAAGCGGCGTGCCGTTTCCATGGCCTTTCAGGGCCTCCTGCAGGATATACGGAGTAAGCAAGATCTTGCGCTTAACGCAGTCCCGCAGCACATCAGAGCAATCCTCTCCATAGATCCACGGCACACGGAACGAAGACGATCCATGCAGACGGGAGTGCGTCGACAGCAGACCAAACTGCACCCACCGCTTGTACAGTGCTGGTGGCGGCGTACCCTCGAATCCACCGATATCAGACGCCCAGAAGATATAACCAGACAGCATCAGGCTTAGTCCACCGCGCAGTGACTCAGCCATAGCCTCGAATGTGCTCTCGCAGTCGCCGCCCCAGTGAACTGGGTACGCTTGTCCGCCTGGTGCGGTACTGCGCGCGAACAGGAGACCCTGGTTGCGTCCGACACGATTGCTGAGTGTCTCGTATACGGTCTTGTTGTAGAGTAGAGCGTAGTAGTTGTGCATGCGCTCCGGGTCCGCGCCGTTGTGGTATTGCACGCCCTTGACTGGGATGCGCTCGGCGAAGTCGGTCTTGAAGCTGTCGACGCCCATCTCAACTAGTCGCTCTAGGTGCGTGTTGTACCACTTGCTGGCGGCGGGATTCGTGAAGTCAACGACGGCCATGCCGGCTTGCCACATGTCCCATTGCCATACTGAGCCATCGGTGCGCTATGGATTGTTAGTGGCTGTTTCTTCTAAAATCATCTTTTGTGTGCCACTGTCTCGGAACATGAACATACCTTGATGAAGTATCCGTTCTTCTTGCCCTCTTCAAACAATGGAGATGCCTGGGCGATGTACGGGTTGATCCAGACACTGATGCGGAGACCGCGCTCCTTGAGGCGCTTGAGATATCCCAACGCGTCCGGGAACATCTCCGAGTCGAAGTCGAAGTCGCACCACTGATAGGACTTCATCCAGAAGCAATCGAAATGGAAGACGCCCAGTGGGATGTCGCGGTCACGGAACCCATCAAGGAACCCAGTGACGGTCTCTTCATCGTAGTTGGTCGTGAAGCCTTTACAACAATGTTAGCTTCTTTCATCCTGCTTCCCAGAGCAACCGATATCCCAAACTCACTCGTAGTAAGCCAGAGGTTATAGCTCCACGACGGAACCAAGGCCGGTCTACCAGTCAAAGCAGTATACCGATTCAGAATGTCCTTTGGCGTAGCTCCATACACAACAAAGTACTCAATCTCCTCGCCAGGCACAGAGATATTGACGCGAGTCGTGCGCTCAGACTGCACCTCCAGACTAACTTTGCCGGGGTGATTGACGAAAACACCATATCCCTTCGAGCTGATATAGAAGGGGATATTCTTGTAGGCCAACTCAGACGAGGTACCGCCATCCTCATTCCAGATATCGATCGTCTGTCCGTTCTTGACCAGAGGTCCGAACCGCTCTCCAAGACCGTAGACTTTCTCGCCAACGCCGAGGTCAAGCCCTGTGAGCATGTATCCCTGGCGCTCGGCGTACATGCCGTCCTCGTAGCGATGTTTCTCAGTGCGCTGGTCGCGCACGTATCCGATAGAGCGGAACGATTGGCCGGTCAGTTTCTTACCGGCTGGAGACTGGAATTCTAGGCCCAGTTCATTGGCGGCGGTATTTACAGCCAGGTTGAGTGACCCGCTTGTGTAGTTGAGTTTCTTTTCGGCCTTGTCGTGCTGGATTTTGGTGTGTCCGGTGGTCTTGTTCAGGTGGTAGTGAGGACCGTTGTCATTTTGGCCCGCCCTTCATGTTGTTAGTGATTGCCAACACCAACATTGAGAGCTCCGGTTTGAGCTCTTGGGGTACTTACCAGTGGACAAGCTTCACGCCGATGATTCCCTCCACTGGCGAGGTGATCCGCGCGGAGACAGTTGCTGTATACTTTTGTTAGATTCTGGATTTCTATACCAAGGGAGGATTGAAAACGCACGCGAATTGAGGGTGTGTCCTCGGTGTGCCTGGAACTTGTTCAACAGCAGATTGGCTGAGTCGTCCTCAATTGAAAATCGCTCCACGTTGCTCATCCACTCGATGTTGACGCCCTCCTATACGATCCGATTGCATGTCAGTATTCATTCTATGACAACTTCATTAACCAGAAGCCAGGAAAATTACCTGCAGGCACCACATCCCGTCGGTGAACTTCATGTTGGGAGAAAGGGCAGGGAATCTCAACTGAGATCCTTGTTCTTGGATTCGATTCTGCACAAGCTACCCCAGATACACCTGGTGGCTATCTTTCAGCTCTGGATGGGAATAAAAAAGTAGAATAAAGAAGAAATTGAACTACAGAGAGGGCAGTCAAGCTTCTTTTTGTTTTACGCCGGTACGCCATGGGGAAGGTAGACCTGCTTCATTTGACACGGCGTATCGTCCGCGATGGCCTGATTTTGAATAGCGCATTCGCCAACAGAGAGCTCCGCTATTTTCTGGAGCTCGGGGTAGCACATAAGGCGGGGGCAAAACCTCGGGGGTTTGGAGAGGTCGTTGGATCGAGATGTTGACCAACCAGAGTGTGCGGTTAGAATGTCGGCTGAATGGCTGATATCAGGCTAAACTGCGTGGTGGCTTGCTCTAGCGTTGGTGAGGGGTTATATCGTGATAAAGACTGGATATTTTTGGATTCCCCCCCAATCGAGATCGAAATTGGTAAAATCTGTACGGAATACGTGGGGGTCGAATAAAATCAAATGCTTCGTTTCACGGCCACTTTTGCTTTACAAAAACAAGAAAATAGCTAATATCGCATTTCATTTGGGTACAAAATCATCAGAGCGTCAAATGGGTATCTTCGAATGGTTAGATCAAGGGTCGTAAGCTGCCACTCCTAGGGCTTGCATTGTAGCTGATACTTTCCCCTCGAGCCCTGGCACGTGTAACTTCCGGTGACATCAGTCCCTCGCGCGACTCACGGGTGATCCGGGATGGCAGTCCTGGCGGCGGTGAGATAGGATGACTGACTACGCTGGCAGGAAGCTCGAGCGACGGGATCGATGCATCCATTAGGTTTGTGGTAGTCGATTCCACCTTTGTGGATACTGGACGAGCATGTGACTCCGAGTAGAACTGCTCTAGCTGGGCTGCATCGCTGCAGAACTCAGCCAAGCCGTTGAGGATGTGTTCCGGAGCCCGGTACAGGTTTGCTGGGTCGATGCTGGCTAATCCGGATGGGGTAAGTGGGCTACCGATGCTGCCAATGTCATGAACGGGCCGGGTAATTGGGGAAAGTCGGGGCGAGACGCGGTCAAGTCCATCATGATTTGCTGCACGGCCTCGGAAGTCGGACCGATTGTGGTTGTCGAAACGGCCTGCGTCTCGACTCGGAGTGCTGCGGGTACTCACCAGCCGATTCGCAAGGAGCAGGAAATCGCCTTCGTCCGTAATCTGCGCGAGGATGCTTCCGGTTCGGTGAATGAATTGCGGGTAAATGTAATCGGGCTTTCCCCAGGAGTAAGATACTTCAACGTCTGCTGGGAATGCAGAGGCGGCTTCGAAGTCTAGAACGAAATCAAACTTCCGCAATATGGCCTTCTGGTAGTAGAGGCGATCCGGTGGACCCGGTTGCGCAAACGACGCATTGTTGAACACTGTGTGCAGTGGTCCTTTGGGTGGGGGGACCTTGAGTGTGACCCTGTAGGGTTTCCGGAATGGCTGCGTCTTGTCGATAGCACAGGCTTCGGCGATCGGCACCTGTACCAATTTCAGCCCGAATTTGTCGGCAGTCGAGGCCCAAGAAAGCACGGTATCTTCAATCAACTTGGGGGTCGTGCTCATCCAGCTGAGTTCGATATGGAAGCAATTCTCGGGGTTATGTAGTCGGTCCCAGTGAAGGTCAATCACCTCCGGTCGATTCGACCGCTTGCGCGGATCAACATCGAATTTCATGGATTTCGACAGCATGATGGCAACCTTGTTCTTCGCCTTGGAAGGAGTGTTGGGAGTCTGTGGTATGCGCTCGTCGATGCTGTCTGATCGAGCTTTGAGGCTGGCAGGAGAGTCCTTGGCAGTCCCGATGGCGGGTGTCGACGGCATCGATTTGTCAGGTCTAAGCTGAGGGAACCAGCTTCCTCGAGACTCAGGACGAGTGACACGATAATCGGCACAGACTTGATAGAAATAGTTGCCATCCCGGAAGTTGTGTCTCTTCTCCACGTGTTGGAACAACCCATGATCGATTAACTCGTTGCCGAATTTGACCGCTTGTTCACGGGTATCGATATCACGGATGTTTTGCAACAGCCAGGTTGTGAATTCAAACCCGATGAAGCAATTGTAGTGTAACCTCCAATGCCAACGTCGGTCCATCATCCGGACGCCCTTTTCGCCTTGGATAATTTGCGCTAACGACATAAGACTGATGCTGGATCTGTCCAACAGTTCTGACTCCGGTAAGAGCTGAGCAGGCGCATTGTCAAGCCCTGGATCAGTGAGTAGCAAACGGTCCAGCTCTGCTGTAACGATCTCGGATGGATTGCGTGTTTGGTACATGATGTTCAAAGGATTCTGGTCTCGCTTGGGATTTGATGTCTCGAAAAGCTTTTCCTCTGGCGACACGTATTTGTATCGTTGCCAGATATGGGTCAGTTGGCTGATCCCCAGCAAATGAATTTCTTCCTCGTTATCCTCATGGGACGTCTGCAAATTTCGCCGAGAATTGCCCTGGAGTTGAAGCGGTATCAAAACGTAACGGACCCGCCAGAAGTGCAGCTGCTGTGCCGGGTTTTGGAGATAATCTCGATGACCAGCCACATAATTATCGGCATAATTCCAGTTGTACTCTTCGGAGGTTGGATCCAGCTTGATATCTTTCACTTCATATTCCGCGCTCAATATTGTTTTCATTGCTGGTTGATAGAGAGTAAAGGTAGGCTTCTTGGGAGAAGTGACCACCGCAGAGTTTTGATGCGTAAAGCGGGTCACTTCAACTTCTCCCCCTGGATGCAGACAAGTCGGTGAATCGTGTTGCCCTTGGAGAGATAAATTGTGAGCCCATCGCGTTCTAGACCTCGGAAATCGAAGACGTTCAATGATTCAAGGGCGGGCTGCGCGGACACTTCGGCCACTTGTTTTCCAACAACGATTTGGAAGCCATGAGAAAGCCGCAGCGAGATCATTTCGCGTAAAAGTACCCCGCGTGTCTTTGGTGCTTCAATCCCTTCGGAATCTTCATTTGGGAAGACACGATATGGTGTCTGTAGATAGTCTGAAGCAAGCACACTAGCGGTCGGAAATTCTTCCGTCGTCAATGGAAGCACCGCGGGAGACTTTAAGCTCTTCCACTTTACCACAGCCACATGTGGAGGGCGAGGATACGCATGTTGCCAACGGCCAAACCAACTAGTATCCCGCAGCACATCTTTAGGGGTATTGCATGGGTTGACAGATCGGACCCATGGAGACAAAGCTTTGCTTGGGGAGTGCCGCGCATGTGGCTCGCGTGGACTATGGCTGAGAGTAATTTCGATCTTGTGATCGTTCGGAGGATCTCCACTATGGCCCCGACCGACTTCATTCGCTGGCGTTCCCACCGACAGTGATCCATGGGGGTCCGCCTCTTCTGGCTGTTCGGATTCCTTTGGTAAATTTTTGGGAGGCATTTTGATGGAAATCGGCCTAGCTGGAGTCTGGGAAGACTTGGCGGGTGTTGAAGATGGCGACAGTACATCGAAGACTGATGTAGTCGATGGCGTTTCTGACGGGCTCAAAGAAGTGATGCTCCTGGCATCGGAAATTGACCCGGCAGGAGTTCTTTGGTTTGTCATGGGCATAGCACTGGCATGTTCTACATTGACCACCGTGCTCGCCAAGGCTCTCGGGGGAGTAGCGCTCAAGCCTCGAAGCGCAAAGCTAATCGTCCGAGAAATTCGTGAGGCCATTGGCGCCGGCGTCTTTTTCAACGCTGCTTTTATGGGAGACACGCTGTTACCCGAGCTTGGGCTTCTTGGTGTACTCATATTCGAGTCAATTCTTCGAGGCCCAGAGTGCAAAGAATTATTCTCGTCTGCAGGATTTGTTTCATGATGGCGGAGGTGCGTGATGGAGCGAGCAGATAACCGTTCATGTATTCCGCCCCCAGCAGCCTGGACTTCTGATTCACTGGGTCGCTTTGCTTTGGGCGCTTTGGTAGCCTGGTGTGGTTTCGGAGAGACAGCGAAAAGGTTTTCGTCGTATTGGTCCATCCAAGACATCACTTCCTTGCGTGAACTCTGCGTATCTCGAGTTTGCGATTCATTTTGGTCCGCCGCGTTTTGAACAAAGGATCCCGGGCGAAGACTATCACTGAGTTGTCCCTTGAAAGATGAAGGATTCGCGAAACGGGCTTTAGGAGGAGCGCGACTACCTGAACTGTAACCGGGCCAAGATCCACGAGGTCTTGTTCCACCGCGCCCTTCAGTAAGGTAGGGGATTGTGATGTTTGCTTGTTCACTTTCCATGACTCCCATCATTTGGATCTCATACATGCGCACTCGTGGCGTGAACGCCTTTGATGGCCGAGTGACGGTAAGAGAGATAGGCGCATTTGGGTCTTTTTTCAAGATTCGCCGGGCCTCTCTGTATGTTTCAGGGTTCCAATAGGAGATGTCAAGCCAATGAGGAATACCAAAGCTCCAGTCTTTGGCTTGAGGTGTTGCCCGTTCCCTCATTCTTGTTGCAGACAGGTATGAGCTTGGAGAAAGATAGGATGATCTGCTAACAACGCTTGAAAGGGAATGATGTATCTCAGAAGGCATCCTATCCCTGTTAACTTCACTGGATCTAGCCCCTCCCGAATCCCCAGAATGTTGTTCCACTGGCTCCCGATATTTGAAGAGCGGCACAGAATGGAGAGGCATCGGACTCAAACAGACCAAGTCAATTGCTATGCCTCGGTTCGCAAGGGCTTCTGTTGTAGAAGCCAAGGACTCGTAAGAGACTTCGAAAACGCCGCTACCGGGGGTGATAACAATGATTGAGGTGCCAGTGTGGACCATGTCTCGATCGATATGGTCAAAAGCCAAGTGAGCAGAGGCGAGATGAATGGCCTCTAGGATGTTTCCTCGTAGAGCCGAACTTGGGTGCCCGGCAATGGTCGCCATGTTTGGCCTGGAATGGCTCTTGATACCACTGCCAGATGCAGCATCAATGTCGTCCGGTTTCAGGATTGAGACATCTCGCAAAAAGGTCCTGAATTCCCTTTTCAGCTCATCTAGGATGGTTGTCCAATGGCCACTTGCCATATCATTTACTACCACACGGTAGAAATCTCGAGTTGGAACTTCGTTTGGTCCGGATTTGCTGTTCAAGTTCCCAGCGCTGAGTTTAGGCTGACTTGAATTGTTGGACTTATCATATTCGACTCGAGTGAACAGCACAATGGTCACCAAATGTTTTGCATCCGAATTAGCCCATCTCTTGAAGAGCTCCGGTAGAAAACCATTGATAACCCGGCTGAAGAGGATGTCGCCAGTCCCCTCCGAGTCAAAGTTCCACATCTCTTTCGACATTTGGATGAATAGAACATATTTAGCGGACTCGCTTCGGAAAATAGGGATCGTTTGTGGCGAGAAATATCCTGAAAGGCATTTCTTCTCTCGGATAAAGATGTTTTTGACAGTGGCTTTGATGCTTCCCATAAACATGATCTTTTGTCCTTTGTATATGATTTTATCAGATAACTCTGACATGACTAATCTCCACATGTCCGATCGGACCATGTATTGATCGCGAAAGGCGATGTCGACATGAGACGCCGCACATTGGTCTCGGTCCACAATCGATAATAGAACTTGCGTTCTGTTCTTGAAACCAAAGATGTTGGCAATGTTGTTTGTCACTGAAATCTCCAATTGAGGATTCCGAGCCTTAGTCTCTGGCGGTAAGGCCTTTACCACGAATAGACAACGGCTCTGCAGTGGAGTCTTGAATTTGGAGGTGCTATCCGCTTGAGACGCCGAGTTGAGTTCGGCCTTACTCTCACGAGCAGCTTTCAAAGCTGCCTCGGGCTTTAGGGTAGAATAGCCAGCATCGCCAGATCCCCGCATGGGCAGGATCTCGACGACATCCCCAACTTGCACTTCGGTTTCGCCGAAAGCCGATGGATTCAACAAAATCTCTTCACGTGAAAACGTCTCATCATGCACCCAAAGTGCACATTGATGTCGTGTCCAGCTTGCTGAGGACAGCCTGACAGTCCGATCATCTGTGGCTTGGTCGTGGTCGTGGTCACGGTTCGAAGCCTCCGGTGAGTGGGTGGAGCTGCTCTCCAAGCTCGCCGCGCTCACTTGCCTCAGGTGCGACCGCCGCATGGGCCCGCGCAAAGACATTTCTGTATGCCTTTATGCTTGCATTTCACTGCAATTAGTTAATTTAGATATCGGAATGCGTCCATGAGTCCTGGCAAGAGATAACCTTTGCAAAAGGGAGATACCACGGTCACGTGAACTAACATCATCACATGATACTGATGCCTGAGGCAAATTATAAAACCTCGATCTATGGCGCAATCATCCAATAGCAGCCGTTGATTTCCTATCATACAGGTTGAATCAATTGACTTGATGGATAAAAAATTCTTTGCTATCCCAAGAACCCATGGGAAACAATAACGAAGATGGTTGGAATTCTGGGGGCAAACTAGTTCTGAGCCTTAAACCTCTAGCAGATAGCAGATAGTTACACCCAACTCGATGTTCAACTCCACGCGAGCTTGACCGAAGAGGCAAATTCTAAGCCTCCAATCTCACTTTTTTTTGTCTTTAGCATGGCTCTCCACTGGTGTTAAAGAGGAATTGAAAGTGATTATTTTGTGAGTTGGGGTGTGGTTGATCGTAATCCCCTTGAGCAGGACAAAGAAGTGGCATAATTTTCCCAATTCATAGGATTGGCGGCATTGGCGCTGTTGATAGGCTCAGATCGAAAATTCGAATTTTGCCTAAAATCACAGGGGCGGAGAAGCTTATGATGTTGATCTCTTTGACACTCTTTGACAGGGCCCTAATTGGTTCGATATCATCCGGAGTTGGATTTCCGGGTTGCCCGTCATTGTTTATCGTCTCCAACACCCAATTTGAACAACACCTCTTCGTTACCCCCACAGAGCTTGGGGGGATCTTTTTCAATTCGTCTCTGGGATTTTCCTGGAAGAATGACGTTGAACGATGGCTCGATGGATTTTGTTGCACTAACAGAAAAAGCAAGAGCAACGGGCGCGTTGATCCCAAGTCCACCCCTATCATCACATCCTAAAGCAGCTTGAGGGTTCGGAATTATAACTGCTAGTACCTGCTGAGAATGTCTCGAGGACTTTCCGTACTCGATGGACAAAGTTAGTCGTTGAGAGCCCATGCACCGATGCATTGTCACAGGGACTGACAGTGCCGTGAAACCGTGGAGACTAAAGAAAATTAAGCGCTTCAAAATTTAATCGAAATCACCCACCGAGCGCGATTAATCGTCAGATCTTTCTCATGCAAGCATGGAACCCCCTTTTTTGTTTTGTCTTGATGTCGTTGGTGACAATGGTTCATTTCCTACTTAGTACGCCTAAGCCCCCTCGGTATGATCCATCGATGTAACCAGGTCCACGGGCGGCACATGGATCCACAGGTCAACCTTTCTTCGACAATATCGCAGACTCCAGGGCCATCGGGATTTGGAATGTCCAAACCCTAAGTACAGGGAGAACATCAGTCTCACGCGGCCTATCAAAGAGCAGGTCTAATATAACCGTATGTACGGCCATCATGGATGCTTCAAAGCCAAAACCTCGAGAATGGCTCGTATATACCACATACACCATGGTTCATGCGATACAGTACCTCCATATTTCTATATGGAAGGGTTTGCAATGTTCATCCTTATCTGTTCAGAATTACCATCCAAAGTGCAGAGCGAAGCGCTTATCGGGTTTAGCGCTGCTCTTAGTGGCGAAACGGCAAATACCTCCAGCATACCAGAGGGCCCGATTTCGGTCGAAACCCACTACCCACAGTAGGGGGATCTACTATGTATTTTTGTGATTTTTCCTTTTTTTTTAAACTGTGCAAGAGGGGGTGTTCCTTCTCCCGCGGTTCTTCTAGGTGGCCTTATGAGTGTTCCGCTAGCGTCTCGCGAAAGATCCTTCTGAACAAATCCTTTTGAAGACTATATCAACGATATGAGTGAGAGCTTTGCCCCGTATTCAAAATATCCGAACCCGGAAAACGAATTCAATTATGACTGGGCCGTGCCTGAATACCCGCAACCTTCCCCATTCGAGTTCAATACCGAAACCCCTGCTCGTGCTATCCGTGATATTCGTGATTATCCTTCATTCAACACAAGCGACCGCGTGAATGCTAAGGTGGCTATCCCCCGGAACGCACAACCCAGTAGTTTGGCTAGCAGTGGTCGAGTCAGTCGAGCCTGTGAAAATTGCCGTGAACAAAAGGCCAAATGTAGTGGCCATCGCCCAGCCTGTCATCGGTGCCTGGATGCCAGTGTCCCGTGTTTATATGGCGACCGGAAAAGAGAGAAGATGGTGAAGTTCGTAACATTTTTCGCCAGTCTCCATACTTTTCTCTAACAGGTGATAGGCAGCTGAATGATCTAACTACACGCGTTGAAACCTTCGATGCTTTGATCCGCGATCTTTATCCCAAGCTCGATGCCTCTTCGGCCCAACGGGTCGATCAAACACTGAGGGAGCTAAACGCACGCACTCCACTCAGCCAAGTGATTTCCCGTACCCCTGTTTCTGCCTTATTCACCAACCCATCAGGCCATATCAATCAATCAGTGATTTCTTCCCGTGCAGATGCTAGTCCTATATCTATTCCCTCCGGGGTTGTAGACTATACCGAAGAGGATTTCAACCGTGATGAGAAAGTACAGGCGACGGGATTTGTGGGCGAACATTCGGAGATGGCATGGTTGTACAGACTCAAACGCGATCTTGATCACAATTCGAAACAAATCAAAGAGACACCCGGACGCCCTTCGATCTCTTCCGTGAACTACTTCCAAGATGACTCGGAAATTTTGGTTCTCGACGATATCGACCTCGCATGCCGGCCTCCACAACAAATCGCTAACAGGCTCGTTGACACCTACTTTCACGTCGTTCATCCTACTTTCCCGATTATTGGAAAGGCAATCTTTCTGAATCAGTATCGATCCTTCTATGCGAATCCGGACGTGCGACCTGGAAAACGATGGATTATAGTGCTAAACCTGGTGTTTTCCATTGCGGCCAGACACTCCTTCCTTGTCGATCAGCCTCAACCCAACTGCGACGACCATCAGACTTATTTTGCACGGGCGTGGAGGCTGAATGGAGGTAGCTTGTTGCGAGATCATCCCGACTTGCAACAGGCACAGGTGGAGGGTTTGGCTGCCTTTTACCTCCTATCGGTTGGGCAAGTTAACAGGTTGGTCTTCCCCCTTTCTCTCCCTTGTCTGTTTAGGTGTGATTTATATCTGATATGTGGGACTTGCTCATCTAGGTCATGGAGACTCATTGGAATTGCAATTCGATCGGCCGTGGCCATGGGTCTCAACATTCGAAGCGAGAGCGAGAGTATGACACCCTTTTCAAAAGAACTTCGATATCGGGTTTGGTGGGCACTGTTTATGTTGGATATTACGCTATGCAAGATGACAGGCCGTCCACCTGGCACGGGGGACACATTTTGCTCCACGCCCCTCCCTCTCCCCTTTGCAGAGGAAGAATTTTGGGATAGGCGTGTTATGCAACTTATTACCGACCAAAGGACTCGAAGGGCGTTTTTGACCTCTTTAATTTTCGATACCATGGCTGCTTCACCAAAAGAGAGTATGGCTCCAAGGCCCCCGGAACAACAAGAGCCTGGCAAGGGGAAACAAGAAGAAAGGCCCAGTCAAACGGGGGCAGAGAATCTGACACCCAACTCCTCTCTGTACTTTCTGTACGCAGTGGACCTAGCCCATCTCTTACGGGAGGCTATTAATATCCTCTATGCTCCTAGAGAAATGCGACAGTCATGGCATGAGATCGAAGCCGCCGTATCCACACTAAACAACCATGCTGACAACTGGTTGTCTCGTCTCCCGGCGGAGTTTGATTTCACAACGCTAGACACAACTCATCAATTCCTACAGCACCGTGCTAGTCTTGCTTTCCAATTCTACGCCACCAAGCTGATAATCTTGCAGCCCTGTATCCGCCGTCCGTCTCAACAGTCATCTGAAGCAAGCTCCCCGGGAACGGTGTGTGATCAGATGGCAGCCTTGTGCGTTTATACGGCAGGTCAAATGCTCGAACTGTTGCCCGAGGAGCCAGACTCGACCTGGCTATATGGCGTCGCTCCATGGTGGTGCATCCTGCACAACATCATGCAGTCGACTACCATCCTCCTCACCGAGCTGTTCACTCACACTCATATAGGCTCCACCAAGGCTGTTGATATTACCAAGAAGATCAACAAAGCGACTCGCTGGTTGAAAGAGATGTCGGCCAAAGACCTTTCTGCCCAGCGAGCCTGGCTTGTCTGCATCGACCTTCTTTCACAACATGGCTCGAGGTTTGGGTTTGGTGTTGACACCGAATTCTAGGCTCACGCATTTTCTTCAATGTCTCCCATGTAGTTGAAAAACTTTTGATCTATACCCCGGCTTGATTGGTGGGGGAAGCGACCCTAAGCGATGCATCTGCTTTTGCCTGCTGGCTTTAACGACATATACTATGCAACTTGTTCTATCCATCACGCGTCCCTTGTCATACTGGGAATGCTTGTTCACTTGATGTCTTATTTATGATTTCGGTTTATCTTCATCAATGATTTTCGCAAAGTTGGTTGCGTCTTATTCTAACAGTTTTATGTCTTATCATAAAATTGTTCTCTTGCATTTGCTCACAAGAATATTTCTGTGTACACACGATAGAGTGTCCTTCAAGCATTAGAGTGTCGAGTGACCTGTCAACTCAACTCAGACAAGAACAATTAAGTCTGGAACGTGCATACCAATCTCAATATCTCATAGGCCAACGCTGATCAGAACTCATGACATGTATATAGATTCTCCGCTTCGTTGAAGAACGTATCAACAGGATGCAATAGCCCAAGGTCGATATCTGACTGCGCTAGGAAATCTTGCATGGTCGGCTCTAGAAACGCCATTTCAGTGGTGTACCCGCTGACGGTATCCCTCAAGGGATAAGAATATGCATCGATGCCATGGCTGTGGACAGGCTGGTTGGTAGCAGAAGAAAGGATATCATGTGTTGTGGGAATTAACGACGCTGGAGGTATAGATGCCGATGCCGATATCGATGTGGATGGGTTCAGTGGCAAGGTGTTCAAAAAAGGAGTAGTAGCTGCTGCTAAATTGGACGAAGGCCCAGACAAAGCTAGTGCACCAGCGCCAGAGGGAGCATTACCACTAGCATGGGCGTTGGTATTAGGCGCCACTCCCCCACCAGCAGCCATCACAGCACTCCCGTCGCCCCGCCTCTCTCCTCGATACGCAGTCAAACAAACCTTCACCTGCTCGAGGTTATTATAGAATTCCCCCGCAGCCAAATTCCCGTTCTCGGCCATGGAGCGCAGCAGATCCAGCGCGGAGTCGAATCCCGTTATATCAGTCGGACTGCCGATCGGAACAAAGCTGGACATTGCCAAGATCAACGCCGAGGAGAAGAGGTAGTGGGCGTGGAAATAGCCGAAGGTTGGCATCGACCCGTTGATCCACCTTGTCAATATCATGGAATGGGAGTGCCGCGCTGCATGGATACACGCTTCGCTTAGGGTAAGGACAGGCTGGGAAACGGATACTTCTTCGCTCTCGCTTTCGGCCCCGGTCCCACTGGTATTATTGGCGGTATTGGGGTGGGGTTTGCTTTTTTTGCTTAGTGTCATCAGGAGGTGTAGTAGCGTTGGGCGCGTGGTTAGAATCACGCATTGGTTGAAGGCCATGTGCAGAGAGACGATGGGTTTTTTGCTCGATTCCAGGTCTTCCATGTTCAGTCTGAGGGATTCGGGGAGTGTTTCTACCCAGTGTTTCAGGGCTTTGAGGAGTTTCTGAACGCGCTGGAGGAAGGTCTCTTGGTACTTTCGCCGGCTGTATAGTTTGGTGATTGTCTCGCCGACTATGCGTGCCAGCTTGATGTTGGCGGTCATGTATTCTGAGTCGGAGAGTTCTTCTTCGTGGCGCCAGCGGGGGGAGATTGTTGATGGCATGTCGACGTGGATATCTTCATCGAGGATTTGCATTGGGAGACCCATTTTGGATCCCCACATCCGGTCGAAGATGTAGATTGTCCACCATATTTGAATGCGGTGTTGCCGCTCCACTGGGTCGATGAGCTGTGATTCTGGGATATTGTGGTTCAAGCCGATGGTCAAACCCATCCGCATAGCATTCCCGATCAGGATGTATGCTGAATGACGCCGGTTGAGATAGTATGAAAAAAGAGACTTGGGATATGGGTAAGTACTCGATGTCTAACAATAGTACATGCTGGGCCACATACCAACAATAGCAGGGTTTCTAAGTGTGTAACACTGGTTCTTTCCGGCAGGACCTGGACCAATCCCATTGATCTAGCAAAGTAGGACGTGCCTGGTACCCTGGAGCCGGAATTAGGCTCGGATCGGATTGAATACGCCTGGCCAAAGGCGAACAGGGCGAAGAATTTACACTTGTTAGCCGTGCAGTCAAAGTCTTGTGTCTGGTAGATCTCTTCCAGTTTATCCAACGTCGACTTGCGCATCATGAGGTGGTACAGATGCCCGATCTGGTGGATTGCTATCCGGACTAACAACCGAGCATGGTGAAGACTCGGCCACTGGATATCGGCTTCGTTCGCTGCGGCGATTGTTTCTTCACGCTCATACTGTGTTCGCGGAATATGTGGCATTGCACTATTCCCCGACAAGAAACGCCGAAACCGTGTTGCGAATGCTGAACATGCTGCCTCGCCGATGTAGATGGGTGGCGAAGAGGGATCATACCGGTGGAACCAGGCTCGATCTCCAATCAATGGATTCTGAATGCCTGTTCCATCAGGGGCATCTGCTGTCTTGGAGGGGCCTCTGTTGTACATCTCAGTATGTTGCGGGTCATCTTTTGGAAAGTCAAGGGGTGTCTACCTCTGCGAGGGATCGTTGGTCTCGGCAACTTGAGCCGAGGTGATCGACCGTTCCTTGAGCCGCTGATTCTCTGCAAGGATTTGATCTAAATAGCTGATTGGAGAAGAATGTTTTAGCTTCTGGTTTGACACGTGTGATAGACAAGCTTTTTAAAGGGCTTGGTCTAATAATAGTCTGTGGCTTGCTTGCATACTTCTCACTAACTTTCACCTGGCGATCCCGAGTAGCGTAGGCACATTCATCAGCGAGTCCTACCATGCGGCATTTGCTACACGGCTGATCTCCGGAACATTTGATTTTATGCGAGTGGCATCTTTGACAGCTGTTCATACCGCGCGTCAGTGCTCGGTGGCTTCGGCGTGGGGTACCTGGAATACGCACGCGACAAATTTCCTTCTTTGGGACTCCCGACCTTCCTGGTCTTGCTCTTCTGTAAGAGCACGTCTTTTTCGCGCCATCTGACAAATCCCCTGATTTTCAGGCTTTTCAAGTTGCGCAAAAAAAGAACATCGTCCGGATGCGGTCGGAAATTTGAAGTTCTTTCCCGAGCGTTCGGCAATTTCGGGCTTTGGCCGAGTTAGAGCTGACTAATCGATTTATTTGCGCCCGGGCAGCAACTTTGAAGGCCCAGGTCTGCCTAGGTGAGCAAGTAGAAATGAAGAATGCGCCTTTAAATGTTTTGAAATGTCTCCTCTCAGAGTTCTCTATATGGGGGAAGACTTCAGTATTAAAGTCTTATTATTTTCTTGAAATCATCGAGTCATGTCTGTCTATCGCAATCTATAAACCAACCCTATCATGCAGGCATTTCATATCGCCTAGAATGCAAAAATATAAATGCAAATGGGAAAAAAGCGTCATATCGTTGTGGTCAAGACTTCGCATCGAGGCCGAACTTCCTTTCAGACCATCGCTGCATATCAATGCCCCATTTTGTGATAGCAAGGACAAGAAAACCACCCGTTATAGCGAAGAATACACCTGGATATATTGTTAGACATGTCTAAATCATGATCTCAACGAGAAAACTCACAGATTGTAAAAGTCCATCCTACTCCGATAGCACTGATTACCGGCTCAACAACCGCCGTCGCTGCGGCAGCAAAGATATACTGCACCACGTACTTTGCGCTGATGACCTCCGAACGAACGTGTGGCATAACCTCTGCAAGATATATGGTTAGCTCGGAATACTTATGTATCACATAGATAGCACTCACCAGCCGAATAAGTATTCAGCCCATTGAAAGCACCCAAAAGCCCCACGCCCGCAAAGAAAGCGGCGATAATTGGCACAACCATACCACCCACTTCTTCCTGTAAGGTCCAGCAGTAAATTAAGGTTGCCACTGGGAGGACCCCAAAAAGGGTGGCAATACCACTGTTCAGTCGGTCCTGAGGCAGGCGCACCCCGTTTCGTTTGATAATCCACTTCTTCACGGCGTGGTCGGACAGCTTGCCGCCAACGACGCTACCGATCAGAAAGCCTATTCCCGGAGAGAGGTAGAATAGGCCGCTGACGAGAGGAGATGTCAGGTTGAAACGTGGATTGAATATTGAGCGGGCTGATGTGAGAAGGGCGTATTGGAATGTAGAAAGGAGGCCACATGTGAGGCACTGTTGCTTGTTAGTCATTATGGACGAAGTACAATTTCAATACAGGCGGATAATACTTACTGCGAGAAAGACATTGGGATACACGAATTGACGAAATATGCGCATGGGATTGAACATGCTTATAACAGTGCAAAGTTTCAAGGGTTTGTTGGACTCCCGGTTCTTTTCTTGGATACTTGGCACGAAAAGAAGAGATAAGACGAGGCCAAGTAATGTCATCGCGAATTGCAGCCAGTAGATAATGCGCCATTGAGCAAATGTGACGATGATGCCGCCGATACAGGGTCCTAATTAAACAATTAGCGATATATATAGGTATAGTGATAGTCCAAACATACCAATTGCAGGACCACTGACAGATCCAACCATAAAGCAGCCGACAGCCGTTCCACGCACAGTCTATCAACTGTCAGTAACCAGAAGACAACCGGAACCAAACCAACATACCGGTTCAAAGATATCCGCAAGAATAGTCTGCCCAGCAACCATAAAGAAGGTACCCGTAAAGCCTCCCAAAATGCGCATTGCGATAAACATATGCAAATTAATCGCCGTGGCGGTACCAGCCGAGCATGCACAAAGCACAAGGATCGCTGCATTATAGGCATTGCGACGCCCGAATAGGTTGGTGATAGGACCCCAAATAAAAGACGAGAAGCCCATGGCAATCAGCACACCGGCATTAGTGACATTGAGAATTTCCGATGTAGTAGAAAACTCGGTAGCGATCTCCGGGGTTGCGGGTAATAGTGAAGTACTGGAGAATGTGACAGCCAGGGTCATCCAGCTAACGACAAAAAGGATGAGGCATTTGCGCCATGTTGGGATGCCATAGGCGTTTGAGGGCTGAGGTTTTAGGGCCAAGTCATCTTCTGATTCCGAATCGTGAGGAGAATCGACCAGCGGGGTTTGTTTTTGGGACTCGAGATCTGGTTTGGATTCCATGATTGAATGTTGGGTGGGATTAGATGGTATATAATCGATGTAAAATGTTGATTGATGATTTCCCCATGTCTAAAATAGTGAAATGATGTACACAGAAAATAATCCAACAGGATTGAGTGGACATTTTGTATGAAAGACCCCTCGGCATGCTGAAGCTGTTGCCGAAGTCTGGTTTTTTTCTCGTGTGGAGCTTTTTTCTCCCATGTCGATCTGACAGGGCTGTCGGCGTGAATGGCCGACAGTTGCATTTTGCATATGAAGATATGAGTCAAGTCAAAAATAGTCAGGGATAACGGGGACAATCCCAGTGGCACTCCACGGTGACCGTGTGAGGTTGAAGTTCATGTGCCATTTCTGGCTGGAGATACCTGAAATATCAGGCCTTCATTTTATTTCTTCTCGACTTCCGCATCGATTTGACACAAATTCGAGCTCTGCTCGGTGCAATTGTTCACAGTGTGTTTGTTCTAAGTGCAGAAGATGTTAGGAATGACTCTCGTGTTTTATATGCTTCCTCCATGCCACACAAGGAACACTCCACAACTGACTTTAGGGCCAAGCTGACGCGTCCCCACGCAAACTTTCCCTCTCACAAAGAGATCGGCAAAAGAGCTTGGCAAAATTAAGGCCTTTAAGCTAGCCCGCCAAGATATATTGTGTCCCAGGGCTGAAAAAAAAGGGAGACGTCAACGCAAGGGATAGCGAAAAACACCCCCAGCTCTTGGAAGAGGTATTTGATCGCTATACAGGATTTGACGACGCCCTATAAGTCAGCCATGGACCCCAAAGAAGCACAGGATGTCGAAACATCCCCTTCCTGTTTACCCCCAGTGGAAAAGCACCATACAGCTCAACTTGTCCTGGTCCCCCAACCTAGTACCCACCCCCGTGACCCTCTGGTACGGCAGAAGCCCCATGAACATCATTGTTCCTGAAAATGAACTGATGATATCCTTCCAGAACTGGACTGTTACCCGCAAATATGTAATACTAGCCGTGTTATGCCTCGCCTCTTTCTCCGGCGCCATTGCGCCTTTATCGGGACAGCTCAATTTGGCTGATCAGGAGAAACTGTACAACAAGACGAAGCTGGAGGAGTCATATGCGGTAAGCCTATAACTACACAGCCAAGACTGAAAACTCTACGCGGTTATCAAATCAAGTATCACCCATCTAATATCCCCCTCCAGAACTCAGCCGCCCTAGCCGGCATGGCGGCAGGCCCATTCTTCTTCGCCCCGATATCTCACATGCTCGGTCGCAGCTCCGTGATCTTCTGGTGTGTGCTCTTCACGCTAGTATGCCAGATCTGGGGCGCTGTCATGACCGACCCTGGTAACTATATCGCATACGTGATCTCCCGGCTCTTTGCCGGCTTCTTCGGTGCCGTGCCTACAGTGCTTGGTCCTCGCATCGTGACCGATCTGTTCTTCTTGCATCAGCGTGGCCGCGCTTTTACTGCTCTGCATATGTCATTCTTGTTTGGAACTATTGCCGGTCCGACCTTCTCGGGTTTTGTTTCTGCGCACTCTTTTTTCCCGGTTGAGTTCTGGTGGACGGTCGGTCTACTGGGGTTCACCCTTATCTGCTGTTTCTGTTTCCTTGAGGAAACTGGATTCGAGCGTGAATGCTTTGAGAAGAACCCGGATGTTCCAGGTGGAATTTTGGCCAATAGATTCGCGACTTTCTTCTTCGGGCAGAAGGTTGTCTTGCCGACTACCTGGAAAGAGACGGTATGTTAGGGAAAGCCCAAGGCTCTATACCATACCATAATAACTACGTTCGATCTGACCTTACTCGAACAGGCCAAAGTCGGAATCACCCCCTTTTTAATCGGCATGTGTCCTGTGACAATCATCATGGGGATATTCACATTAATCTCTTTCGGGTTCTACGTTGGAGTCAACGCACTCACGCCGGTATGGCTCCAGAAACCCATTTCAGAAGGTGGCTACGGGTTCTCACTGGAGCAAAACGCGGCATTCACATTCTGCCATTGGATTGGCATCATCGTGGTCCAATTCTACGGCCACTATCTGAACGACCGGTTGCCGCTCGCACTGGCGCGACGGTACAACGGCGGTGTTTGGAAGCCCGAGTATCGACTGCATGTACTGTGGATTCCTAGTCTTGTGATCAACCCAATTGGCCTGGGGATCTTCGGTGCCGCGTTGCAGTATCATCTGCACTATATGGTGCTCGCACTAGCAGTTTTTATTGTTACTGTTGGGTCGCTGGCTAGTGTTCCTGTCACGGTGAATTATGTTGTCGAGTGCTTTACGCGGTATCCAGCTGAGGCAGGTATTGTTATTGGTGCTTATCGCATTGTCTATGGATTGACAATTAGCTTCTATATCAATCCTTGGGTTGAGGCTGTTGATGTTGGCTGGGTTTATGGTATGATGGCTTTCTTTGCGGTATTCTCGTTTATGTTTGTTATGTTGCTCATGTGGAAGGGACATGCTATTCGCAAGATTCAATTTGCGAGCCTTGGATCTAGCGAGGAGGGCAAACAGTTGGTAGGTAAATAACCGAACTGCCAGATGGGATGGAGACTCGGCAACGGGCCATTGTGTTTCGGTTGGTGACGAGATTATTGAATCGCCGTGGCACGTATAATCAACATTTTATACGTAAAATTCAGAGACTTGTAAAAATGCTGCTGAAATAAAGCCCTTTAGAGAAAAGACTTTAAATGAATGGCTATAGAGGAGACAGAAATCTATCTGGCCGGAAGAGAGGACATGGGAAGCAAACAGGCAGGCTTCAGACAGCAATGCCTCTAACACAAGACTTCCACTTGTGCAGGTGAATCTGAGATTGTTCGCTTAAATAGGTGCAGGTTTTGGCTCCCACCTCTTTCTTTCCTCTTTCATCTCTTCTATTCACTATTTGGGACAGTGCTCTCTCTACGACAAGATAACGTTGTTGTCTTCTCAATCTACTACAACATGGAAGCCATTAAGGAAGCCTTTGCAAAATGCAAGGCCCAAAGTCGCGCTGCCTTGATCACTTATGTGACAGCTGGCTACGGTTAGCGAAACACCGGGCATCATATTGGCCATGCAAGCCGGGGGTGCAGGTATGAGTGGTTTACTCCTGTCTCTTTCGTGAGACATGTACCATCCTGTACTAAACATCAGCTAATTATAAATTTTGACCAGACATCATCGAACTTGGAATTCCATTCACAGACCACATGTTCGAAGACCCAACCATCCAACAGGCCAATGCCAAGGCCCTCGAGAACGGCGTTCAAATTTCATACATCCTGCAGATGGTCAATTCAGCCCGTAAACATGGTCTGACTGTCCCCGTGCTGCTGGTGGGGTACTGCAGCCCTGTGCGTGCATATGCCTACGGAGAGGAGAAGCTACTTCGAGACTGCAAGGCTGCTGGTGTGGACGGGCTTATCATCGTTGACCTTCCCTCCGAGGAGACGGTGCAGTTCCATGATTTGTGTAAATCCAAAGGGTCTGCTCTGCATACCCCATCTTCCGGGCTTACATTTCTATTCGGCTAATCAAGATTCCAGGCTATCGTACATTCCTCTCGTTGCCTCTTCCACCCCGAACGCACACCTGAATATGCTTTGCAACATCGCTGACTCATTTATTTGCATTGTATCTAGTATGGGGGTCAGCGGAACCCATGAGAAGCCGTATGGGTGTGTGGAAGACCTGCTCCATTGTGTGAATACTTCCACTGGGAACTCAGTCCCAGTAGCTGTCGGATTTGGTATCGACACCCGACAAAGTTTTGTTGATATTGCTCGTCTCGCTGAAGGAGTCGTCATCGGCACCCCGATCATCTACATACTGGGAAGGGCGTCTCCTGGAACTGGTGCTCAGAAGGTCAAGGAGTATTGTCTTCGAGTTGCTGGATGCACTGAAGATCAAATTATCATAACAGAAAGAAGACAGCAAGCTAACCAACCCTTGTCTTCCACTACTATCTACCTTTCCTCTGATGGAGCAGGCGATACACCCGAAGACACCGACAAAGCCACCAATATAGGAGACACAAACACCAACCTGAGAACATTCAGCGGCCAATACGTCCCAGAGTCCCTACTGGAAGGCCTCACCGAGCTAGAAAACGGCTTCAAGGCAGCAAATGCAGACCCAGCCTTCTGGACCGAGATAAAATCCTACGCAGCATACGCCAATCGACCCTCCTCCCTCCACCTAGCCCCGCGCCTAACATCATACGCAGGCGGAGCACGCATCTGGCTGAAACGCGAAGATCTAAATCACACAGGTAGTCACAAGATCAACAACGCCCTGGGCCAGATAATCCTCGCTCGACGACTCGGCAAGACCTCGATAATCGCCGAAACAGGCGCTGGCCAGCACGGCGTCGCAACAGCAAGTCTATGCGCGCAATTCAGCATGAAATGCACCGTGTTTATGGGCTCCGAGGACTTCCAACGTGAGGCCTTGACTGTCCTGCGCATGCGCATCCTCGGCGCAGTGGTTATCCCCGTTGACGCCGCGTGCAGCGGCGAGAAGGGCACCCTCCGCGACGCAGCCAACGAGGCCTTTCGGATCTGGGCGACGGAGCTGAAGACGACACATTTCGTTATCGGCTCGGCGTTTGGCCCACATCCGTATCCGACTATCGTGCGCACATTCCAGGTTGTTATCGGCACGGAGACTCGAATCCAGTTCGGCGCGATGAATGGTGGTAAACTGCCTGATGCGGTGGTTGCTTGTGTTGGCGGTGGCTCTAATGCTGTTGGTATGTTCTACCCCTTCCTTGGTGATTCATCTGTTGCTCTTGTTGGCGTCGAGGCGGGTGATTATGGGTCTATGGCGGATCAGCACTCTGCTTTGTTGAGCCGAGGGTCTGTCGGTATGTTGCACGGCTTGCGGACTTATTTGTCTTGGGATAAGGATGGGGAGATTGGCAGAACGCATTTTGTCTCTGCTGGACTTGATTATCCTGGTGTTGGACCTGAGTTGTCGAGTTGGAAGGAGTCTGGTAGGGCTACTTTTGTCGTGGCAAATAATGCGGAGGTTCTGATGGCTTTTTCGTTGCTCAGTCAGCTTGAGGGAATTATGCCTGCACTTGAGAGTTCGCATGCTGTTGCTGGGGCTGTGCGTGTTGCGAAGGAGTTGGGGCCTGGGCGGGATGTTGTTGTTTGTCTTAGTGGACGGGGGGACAAGGATGTGCAGACTGTTGCTCGCATTACGTCTACTCTTAGAGTTGACGATGATGCGTAAGGGTTTCTTTTGATTAGGTGGCACAGGAACAGTGTTTTGAATTGTGAAGTCTTTCGACATTTACGGCACAAGCCTAATGGTAAATTGGCTGTTGAAAAGATCTTGTCTGATAGGAAATGAAAACTTCTTATGAGAACCGAGGAGAGACTAGCTTTACCACGTAACGGTGGATGACCCTGAAACCTCCCCCTCTATTAACCTATACCCACCCAGTGAGGACAGTATCCTGGCTCTTCAAACCTCTAACAATGCGGGCCGTAGAGGGATCATGACCTCTCTAGTAGACCTCACTTTGTCATTTTGGCCATACCAGTATCGATCGGTTCGGAAACTAGAATATAGAAACCGTGTCATTTGGTCAGAGAACAGGGGATGTATAAGAGGCGTAGTAAAACAGCAAATATGATTCAACACTATAATACCAGAATCAGATAACGTCACCACATAAGTAAAAACGTCACAGCCATTTATCTTGCCCGTGATCGGGCTTGATGCAATACAGATCAGCGTCTCTCGCGTCTCCCGCAAAGCAAAATACGTTGTACAAGATTATGTAGTAGATGTGGTTTTGAATTCGAAGGTTTCTTTAGTAGTTATCAATAATTGGTTTGGGAATATGCACATCGCTTTGCTTTTGATGGAATTGGATGTATCCTTTAGGTGTATTCAAAATATTTGTATCTACATACCTAGCTAATACTGTGGCTCTATCCTTATTGTCTCAGGTCTCTGCGAGCACGTAACTCCACCTAAGCTATTCATCATTAAGTGAAGACGGACGTCTTATCGAGATATTGGAAGTCTAATTACTTCCAAGGGGTTACTAAAAGATTAAGTCATCACCCAACCTTTCAGGTGTCGGACCTCGGGAGATGTATGCTGACACCACTATGGATGGATTTTATTAGACCAAGCAAAAACCCTCAAGAAACATACTTCATCCTCAAATTCAGATAACACGTTCAAACATCAGAGATGCCGTTTTCTTTCACCCGTCGTAAAAGAAAACCGAGTCGAGATCGAGCACACAGAAAAGCGCTCGGGGCCGTGAGGGGCGACAAAGACCGTTGGGAAGTCGGTCTCGAACGATCTGGGGAGATAAACATTCTCCAAAGATATCGCTTCGGTGAATACTGGAGGGAAGTCAGAAGAGACAACTCTGGCCCTCCTTTTATCTCACATAAGCTTCTTTTTTTAGAGGAAGATCTCCGGGAAGTTGTTCAAGAAGAGATATCTATTAAAGAGGGAGCTGCCTTCAAAAAAGATGCCAAAGAGAGGCTTGATGCTTTGAATGCCAAATACTGGCTCTTGGAGCAAAAGTGGTGGCATTATCATTCCTGTCTGGAAGATGGGTATCAGCTAAGAGCGTTTGAGCTATGGCGGTCCCATCCTAAATGGTATATGCACCGTGTGCTTGTTGAAGATTGTGCTAGCCAGCATGGGTGCTGTGCTCGTGGATGTGGGTGTTGTCTTAACCGTAGGATTGATCCCACGCGTGGTCTTGGAGTTGGACATTGTACTTTTGAATGCGGATGTTGTCGCAGAGCTCGAGGCTTTGAAGTTTCTGAAGAAGACAGGAAATTGCTGAAAGAACAGTGTCGTGAAGAAATAAGCAATCTTACCAGGCACCGGATCACGCGAGTCGCAATATGGGGGCTTTTAGGTGATAGCTATGACAGCCCGTTTGACATGATTGATGCACCACCAAGCTATGTTGCAAATGTCAAGGGCTCGGCAACAAAGAAGGATAAGACTGGCTGATTGGGTTCGATATACGGATATTGTATGTTGCTCAGCATACACTTGGATTGCTATTGTATTTCATTAAACCGATTAAGCTCTGACATCACATCTATGGATTGTGGGTTCGCACCTTCCCTACAAACCATTCCCCTGTAGTCTACAAAGTAATTTCGTAGGACACAGAAGAACTTCACCTTCACACAGGTGCATCATTTGCCCACATCGATAACCATCATTAAGATGACCTTTTACAGAGTATTTTTTATCTCTTTTTTATCCCTTATTATGGCTATCAATAAAATGGCATCATCAAAGGTCTTTTTTGGCCCTTATGCCGGCTGGTAAGTTTGGCCTCTTTTCAGGCGTCTTTTTTGACGTCCTTTTTTGGACTCTTTCTGACGTGTTTTCTAGCACTGATACCCAAAGCCGCCGCCAACGAAAATGAAAGTTGGGTCGGCGAGTTAGCTCGCCTGGCCTCGGAGAACGCCGCACAATGGCCCCATCATGCTCACGGTGGTTGGAGGACACCTGATGTACCAATTTGGGCAGCAGCTCCTCTCCCTGTGTTGCTGGGTTGCCCGGCGTGAGATTTCCACGTATGTTATTTGGATGCTATGTGGGGTTGGCTGCCCAGGCCCACGGGTGGAATGGCATGCTGACATATGATCCAGGCGGGTAGCAGGGGGGCGGGCAGCAGGGGCTTTGAATTGAGGGAGATGAACGGCCAGCAGGGCCAGGGAAGCACCAAAGATGGTGATCGCGAAAAATTCATGTTCTCATCATTTCGCCGTATGATACCCATCATCAAGATGGACTGTTTTAACCGTTTTTTAATCTCATTTTTGGCCTCCCTTGCTCTAGCTGGTAAGTCAGGCCTCTTTTCGGACCTCTTTTCTGGCCTCTTTCTGACATGTTTTCTAGCTCCAATTCCTGTTCGCTCCCGAGACAACGAAGAGCCAGCCCTATCCGAACTTGTCCGGCTCGCCTTTGGGAAGCGCCGTCCTTTCATGAAGGCCAATGCGCCGTGACATACTCGGGCTAATTTTCGGCTTCCTCTCGGTCCTTGAGACGCTGAAGATGATCTTCTGGATCAACCGGCGCGAAATCTCGCGGTATGTCACTCGTTTACTATGAAGGATCTCCAGGGTTAACATGCTGATCTACGATACAGCCGGCGCCGACTCGATATGGGCAATTGAGCAAGAGTGAGGAAGAGCGGAGCGGGGTGCCCCCATATAATTATGATATGAATACGGATGGGAGGGAGGGTTGGCCTCCAATTATATATAACCAACCCGGTCATTGTACTTATAAACAGCGGCCCAAAACTCCCTTCATTATCATAAACATCCACATCCGTAGATGTATCGCTGATGCAATTATTGAGCTCAACAACAAAAATGAATTCATAGCAACCTGAGAAGTGCTTGATCTTATATAACTACCAGAATTAAAAGCGACAAAGTTTTACTGCGACAGCGAAGTGGAAGGGCGCAAGGTGGAGAAGAATATGCGCGAAGTAGAAGAAAAAACTGATGGAAATATTATAAAGAGCAGGGGCTCATAACCTTTTTGGCAAGGCTTACAAGCCTTGAAAAAGGGTGTCGGAGTGAAGAGTTGCAGATGCTAGGATTTGATCTTCTCAATGAGCAGCTGCAGAATAGGTCTGTGTCAATCTACGTTGCAGTTTACGGGGACGATATCTCAGTCTCAACGCCTGCTGGAAAGGCACATGCTGCTTTCAAAGCTGAGCTTTCTGAGGCTTTCATCTCATTATCTTGGTATTAGGCAGTGGAAGAATATGTAGGAATTAGACACGGTAGCCGAGAATCATAGCACCTAGTCAACCTCAAGGCTGAAGCATTGTTTAAAAGAAAGAAGCCATCGCAATCCTGGAAATCAAGTCCCATTTTGCGTAGATCACATTGCCATCCTAGCTATCTTGAGTGATATAATCATAGCATCTATCAACGCATGAAAAGGATCAAGCTTCACTCTCCAGTCCAACCATCTTAAGGGAATCCTTCCAGAGACGATCCTCTTCCAGAGGATTATATGTCTGTTTCACCCATCCAGTACCAAAAGTTTGGCCATCGTCCTGACCACGATCCGCTTCCTTGCAGTCCTCGATATACTTGCCACCCTTTCCCTCGCACTCCTTACCCACAGCCGCCCACACCGTCGTAGCCGCCCCCTGCTCGGAAGACTTCAAGATCTTCAGGACGTAGGGGTTGGTCATGAGAGCTTCTAAGAACTCCGGAGGCATGTTGCGGGATATATCAGTTTTGATCGCGCCGGGGTGGAGACTGGTAGCATGTAGTCCCTGGGCACCATATACCCGCTCGATGGTGTTGGCCAGATATACCGCTGCTAGCTTAGCGTTGTTGTATGCAATTTCAGGGGTATATCCGCCCTTTTCGAAGTTGTAGTTGTCGCTAGCTGGGAGGGTGGCAGCTCGGTGGGCAGATGAAGCCACGACCACGACTCGCGAATTCAGCTCTGGGGTCACACTGGCTAACAAAGCTTTCTTTAGACGCTGGAAGAGGACGAAGAATCCTAAATAGTTGCCAGCGAATTGTGCCTCAATGCCATCTTCGGTAAGCGTGTGGTTCTGGAGGCCCATGACACCCGCGCCGTTGATAAGAAGGTTGACCTGGCCCTTGGATGCGGTGAGGACTTTTTCGGCTCCGGCCCGAATACTCGCAAATGATTCTAGGTCCATGTCGATCAGCGAGACTCGGCCGGGTTCCAGAATCCCGGCGAGGTTCTTCTCGGCCTTAGATCGGTTGCGGGCTGTGAGGAGCAGAATAGCCCCGGTTGCCGATAAGGCACGAGCAGTCTCGACACCAATGCCTGACGTGGCTCCAGTGATAACAATAACCTTGCCGGCCAGTTTGCCTTCAACACCCTCATCTTGGATAATCTGAAGGGCGGTTGGTCGTGCATCTCCGGCGCCTTGGGGATTGAGATGTGCGGTAGCGTAGGGGCCTAATGAGCCCATATTGAGGAGCAGAGGGGAAGTTTTTCAGATAAATATCAAGGTTTAGTGTCTTGAATGAATCGACAATGATGCATACTTATATGTGTCCATTCTTTGTATAGTTCAGCGTCCTGTTTCTCCGCCCACCCGTTCACCGATATCCGCAATTTGTCATCACTTGCGGCCGTATTTGCGGCCGCAAATGATCTGGTCATCTCCGCCTAATCTCCGCCTGTCGTCCATATCCACATCCCGCATTCTGCGGCCATCTTCCTCACTTAGTCTCCCGTTGTTGCGGCCGTCAAAGCCCGCCAGAAACCGAACCCCGTCCACCTTCACCATGCAGATGCCCAGCCATGAGTCCAGCCTCGCCCTGGCCCCGAAGTCCTGCCAATCCTGCAGGTCGCGCAAGAGGAAATGCGACAAGGCACTCCCCAGATGCTCCCTCTGCGCCAAGTAAGCACGAAATACTACGTTACAGCAGCGGAGCTAACGCGGGGCAATGCAGGCGGAATCACAATTGCGAATATTCGAGACCAGAGGTGCCCAGTCACTCGGCCACCGCTTCAAGCCCGGAGCGAGGATGGTACCCCTCTCCCCTGGACGAGCAGGCAGATGTTCAGACTATTGAATTTCAGACCATCTTGTTTCTCGATCCGACTCTGCTACAGCACACCTTAGTGGAGACTGCACCTGTGGCAGGGACTGTCCCGCAGTATATTTTACAACTACTAGGCGATTTGGATGAAATCCGACTCACGGCAGCGCAGTTTTTCGAGCATATTCATCAGTGGATGCCCTTCATTTCGAAGAAGCGGTTCTATGACTTGTACCTGCAGCCCTCATCCCACTCGCGGCCCGATGTTGTTCTTCTCTTATTGGCACTGAAGCTCATCACTACCTTCCCGCCGGCTGGTTCTCGTAGTCCCCGGACGGCCTTGTATAACTCAACTAAACATTTTTATCTGGAAGTGGAAGGCTCTTTCTCTATTTTAGTACTTCAAGCTGGTGTTCTTGTTGCTCTTTATGAGCTAGGACACGGGATCTACCCGGCTGCATTCTTGTCGATCGGGACCTGTGCAAGGTATGCCCATGCCTTGGGTATCAATGTCAGTCGCACGGTGCCGAGTAGGAGAGTGCTCACTTTGGTGGAGGTTGAAGAACGACGGAGAGTCTGGTGGGCTATTGTTATTTTAGACCGGTTCGTCACTGTCCACCGTGAGTCCTTTGTTTTGGATACTAATAACAAAAAAGCTTTGTGAGCATCGGCTGTCCAGGACGGCCCTTTGCAACTGCAGATCCAAAATTGGATGATTTTTTACCAGCCGATGATGCTGCATGGGACCAGGGGGTATCTCAATCCGTGACCTTTGTCTTTTAGGTGCTGATCTTTAAATTAGACCGTCAAACCCGGAAACTTCTCTACTCTCTCGTCCCCAATGACGGGGCATATGAGTAAATTTGCTCTACTTTGCCAAGCCGCCAGGCTGTTGGGCCAGGTTCTCCATCACCTCTCAACCGACTTCACCAGTGAAGATGATATTTGGATACAGCTGGACCGTACCCTGCAGTCAATGCTAGCGGCTTCATTGAATATAGACTGCCCGGACTATGATCAAATCACTTTCGTGTACAGGTTGGTACTACAATCATCAACCTTGTCTTGTACAAGCTCTAACACGAAACTCAGTGCCCTAGTCGCCCTATACACACCCTGGCTGTCATCTGATAGAGCTCAAGAAATTGACACCGGTCGTTCACGACGAGCGAAGGTTATCCTTCAACAAATCACGGACCGTATTAGTGCAAATCTGATCGAGCGACAATGCTTCTTAGATCGAGATCCAGAGGGTATGTCCCCGTGGGGTCTATATTTTGCCTATCGCATTTGTGGGGCCCATATGCGGACCAGCTGTAGAACACCGCATGGCCTTGAGGTGGTGAGGAGCCTGCGTGAGGGCTTCATGGCTATTGATGTACGGTGGAATGTTGCGGGTGTTTATCTGCAGCTATTGGAGGCCCAGGAAGCTATTAATTTGGAGGCGTGAGTTTGGTGTGTTATATATATCGCATTCAATTATGTTCACATCTTTCTATGCAATTATAAACAATTCGACTCTGTTTTCCATCGCAACCCGACCCAAGCCATCCACAGACCAGAATAGACGGCTCTCAATAGCAACTAAACTCTACGAAAGCGCCCATTCCCGTCTTCATTCCACCGGTCAGTTCCACTCTGGTCTTCACATAGAATATCACCTAGCTGCCTCAATAGCCCAGGTTTATGTTCGTGGTCTTTATTGCATCTCTCGGAAAAGGTTTATAGCAGAGGTGTGCTCTCGCCTAAGTGCGGCACAGCTTTCTTTCCAATTCCGGCGTAGCTGATTGACCTTAGTTTGTTATGCTTTGAGGTCTGGAGTGAACCACCGCTTAGAGCATGGCGTTGGTCATGGTCCACGGCCGCCGTCGTCGCCTCTGTGAGTTTTTGAACCATATCGTCTAGTGCCGGTCGCGTTTTGATCTCCTTCCATGGACCGACCTGCCGCACTACCTCTTCGCCAATCTCAGTGCTTCCGGAAATCCGTGTCATCACCTACACTATTTGATTGTTTCTCTAACCATAACGCCAAGATCTACAAGTCTATATTTAGATATCATCCGGAATATTAATATTCCAACAGTTTACAAATACAGTATGTCATAAGGATAAGTTACATTACACATCTCTCGAGTGCGAGACTGATCGAAGCCCTTTCGCCAGCGACGGAATTTTTCAAGAGACGAGCGTCTAGAAATGTTGTTCAGTTTGCAATTATAGAAGATAGAATAGATAGAATCAAGAGAAGGCACTCACCCGCCCGGAGCTCGTATATTTCCACCTTCCACCCTCGACTGGCGGCATAAAGTGCTGCCAGGGTCCCCACGGGACCGGTCTCTACAATGACAAGTTTTAGGCTGCTAGACATATACTTCTGTGTGACTTGGGCTTTGGATTGAATTGAAGATGGGGGAAGCCTTTCCGGCTTGATAGCTGTCAATGCCTTACCAGGGGAAACTAAAAAAAATTTATATTAATTTACAGACCATGACCTTTTTCCTGTGTGCACACCCTGCTGAGCGGGGCGGACAGGTATCAGAACTTCAGACTGCATCAAGGGCTGGCTGAAAATTGGAACGGATGAATGTATCAGATTAGCGGATTCTCAGCTGCACTCTATGCACTAGTGACTAAGCTCACTATTTAGTAGCGAGATCTGGATCGTGACAGATCGGCAAATCCACACGCAATTTGAGGTTCGAGGTTCGAATTATAGTGGAGTGACAGACGTATTCGATCCCGCATGGACACCACAACCTTGGAATACTATGGAGTACTCCGTAGTAAGTTTATAATTGCAAATTGCCCCTCGGAGATCGCCCTGAAGGTGTGCCACCTAGAAATTACCATTGTTTTGGGGTCTGGCGATCTTTTTGACTTTCCGACCCTTCCCACTGTGCTCCAGGAACATTACCGCGTGACTGCAGCCGCGACGCGAATTTTAATTACCAATGGGCTCCGGGACTGATGCCAGTGGGAGTGAGGTCGATTAGGGATCATGATGCTGCTGCCATGAAATATGACGATATGTTCTTCCCGGCTGACGAGCTGGGGTTGGGATCGACAGGATGCACAATGGTTGCTCTGCCAGGCCCGCCACAAAAGAGTGGATGCCCTGGGCTGAATCTCAGCTGCGTGACAGGGCGGATAGAGGGAGAGGAAAGTACATTGCAATGGACCTCAGGCGGGGCATTAAGTAGTCTTTATTCCCTCGCGGCAGACCTCGCTTGTACGAGCAGAATCTAGGTCCTCTTTGACCTAGCATGCTTGCCCTAGCATGAGAATCTGCTCTTGATCTGTTCTGTTCGTAATCTTCAGTCGCTCTTGGATAACGAGGTAACCTCTGTGTTGATCCAGGTTGCCATATCAGATCATTCTTGAATCCGACGCTCACCTCCTCTCAAGATGACTCGACCGATTCCCGTTTTGTCTGACTATGATATGTCCCCAAACCACGGTTTTCTGCCCCCGGAAACACCACTGAGTGTCCTGCCGGATCCATATTATGCCGAGTGGGAGGCTATTGTGGCCGACCTACCATCACTTCTCGTGGCCAAGAAGCTGCGACAGGAAATTGACCAGCTTCCGGTCCTCTCGACGGATTATTTGAAAACTCCCGCGGAGTGGAGGAGGGCGAGCGTGTGCCTTACGTTCATGCTTCACGCCTATGTGTTCGGAGAGAAAGAACCCAGAGCAGTAAGACAGACCCACTTCTTTTTTTCCTCTTTCCAATCGGACTAACATCAATGGATACGACAAGAGGATACCTCCCCCACTCACGGTTCCACTTTTGAGTGTATCTGCATATTTGGAGCTCCCCCCGATAGGGGTATACGCCGCTGTCAATCTGTGGAACTACCGGCCAATTGATCAGAATCTAACATGTAGTCGGCCAGAGGATATGGAAGCGGGTTGCACATTTACTGGGAGCCTGGATGAGCGGTGGTTTTACCAGATTTCCATTGCCATCGAGGGCAATGCGGCCTCGACCATACCATTAATGCTAGACGCGATCGCTGCCGCACGCGCTGGGGATGGTATTAAAGTTACTGAGTGTTTACGTACCTTGGCCAAAGGACTCCAGGAAATGATTGACATTCTCAAACGAATGCCCGAGGGTTGCGATCCACACGTCTTCTACCACCACCTACGGCACTTTTTGGCAGGGAGCCAGTCAATAGGCGGTCTGGTGTACGATGATGGGACCGGCAAGGAAGAAGACCGTCGTGCATATCTCGGGATGAGCAACGCGCAAAGCTCGCTAGTGGTCTTCTTCGACCTTGTACTAGGCATCTCGCACTCGCGTTCGTCCAAAGGCGATAAGAGCTTCTTCTCCAACATGCGTGGATATATGCCCGGAAATCACCGCCGGTTCCTTGAACATATAGCAGAGATTGCCAACATCCGGACCTTTGTGGAAGAGCGAAGTGACCACCAGGACCTCCTCGCGGCCTACAACACCTGTCTCGAAATAATGGGCTCCATGCGAGATGTCCACATCCGGATTGTGGCCCGTTACATCATGACTCAATCGCTCAAAAATGACAAAATTGACGGTCAGGGTCTTTGTTCTTGTGACAAGAACACCTCCGCACCTCGAACCGAAAGTCCTTATATCGCTCCAGAGAAGAAGACGCGGAAGGGGCTTGGCGGGACAGACCTGATCCCATTCCTGTCTCGGGTCCGAACCGGAACACGGGAATCAAAGATGAGTCCGCTGGCTGCTGGTACCCTGAAAAGCAAAAATCAACAGATGGCTCTCGGAGCCAGCACTTGGTTGCAGTATATCCTAGCATTCGCTGTTGGTGTGGCAGCACTATTCTTTTGCAAGTGGTCGACAATTTGGGATTTATAATTACTTTAAATACATGAATAGCTATAGATGATAGATATCTATATCGCGAAGTAGCCTCCTCCCTAGGTAGAGGTCTCTTGACTAATTATAGAGAACTACTGTAGATATTCAAGAATGTCTATACTGATTCAATCTATGAAGATGGTTTGGTATCGGCCTAATCTCAATCTAAGCCCAATAATAAAAATCGACGTCCACCCAATGTAGCTCTATGATGCCCCTACTGCTTATCCGCCGGGGAGTCCCCGTGCTTGGCTGAGCTACCCTTGCCTCGCCAGGTCGAGACAGCCGGGATGTCAGCCTTAAAGCGCTGCTCCTCGATGCAGTAAGCGCGCGGGGTGAACTTTAATGAGGGTGTACAAGGGTATTTCCATCTAGAGGGTCTTTTCTTGGGGTACATTCGGGAAGTAGGCGTAAATGCAGTGCAGCAGTGCCTGGTGCGTGACAACAATCACGTTCTCACTGCGCTCCAGCTCCATGGTGGTCATAAGAGCTTCAACGATATTACGTTGCTATCCAACGTTGTGGGCAGCTCGTGTCTCCACCTTAAGCAATGTAGCCATGTCTTTAAGCGTTAGGTCAACGACGAAAGCCATTTTGAAGAATTTCCAAAGGTTTTGGATGAGAAACGTCGTCAATTCCTCTGGCAATGTAGCTATCTAGCATAATCCACGGCCTAAATATGAAGCACACCCAAGTTTGCATCTAAAGCCAATGGACTTGGAAGAGATCAGAAGGACACGGTTCGACACGGCAATTTACTCCATTTACTTCAGCCTCGTTGAATTTAAATCTATCGGTCTTTCTCATATATAGGGTTCTGGGTTGGGTCTGGGTTTTACTGGGTCGTGCGGAAGACTACTCAATGAGAGTTCCTTTTTTTCCTAAGGGTATATAAAACACCATTTATAAGCAGAAAATTACCTATTTAGGCCTATTTGTGCCTCAAAATATTACCTAAGAGGGTCCAAGGTCAAAATTTGGACCCTCCTTGGCGTCTTGGCGGGTCTAAATTGAGGGTGAGTGCCAGGTCCAACGACTATTTAACTCTTTATGAGGTTCTATAAGCTCGAAGCTGTATTTCACCGATCTTAGATTCCTAGTTATTAGTAGATAGTGTCACTATCTGTCTTTGTTTGCTTCGCTTAGATAGTAAAAGTCGGTGGTTTGCATGGTTTGCATAGATCTGGGGTATATCAGCTCTCCATGGTTGATTCCAGATCTTGTCCTTTCTTCCCCATCTTTAGTATCTTGAATTGAGTACTCTCATATAAACCTGACTCACTACATACAGAGACGTTTACTTAACAAGTCTATAGACTCGAATTTTCCTAACGAGCCTATTCCGAGTCCTTAACTTTCAAAACTGTGCGTAGAGCTTTATATTATATTACGTAAATTAATACCGTCTTAAAAGCCGGCTTATAATATTTACTAGCTCAGGTGTAAGAGTAGGGGCTGTTGTCGAATCAAGAGCTTATCGCAACACAAATAAACGCTTTTATTATAGGAGAGTGTGATGTTAAAAGTAAATACAGAGTAACAAAGATGAGCTTCATGAAGAGTAAAAGCTATGTACAAGGATATATCCTACTGTTCATAGTCCCCTTCCCATCTGAACCCTTTACGCTGTCGTCTTCATCGCCGATGTAGTAGAAGTTTCCGACCCCCGACGAACACTGGCGAGCGCACTCTTGGGTACGAGCCGTAGACCAAAGATGAACATGCTGAGTACCAATAGCCCCATAAGAACACCCAAGGTCACCATCGCACCTATGACACCTGCCACTTCTAAACTCATCCCCTTGCCCGAAGAAGACCCAGACGATGAACTGGAGGATGAACTATCCCCGTCGGCGTCATTGGAAGTTGAGCTACAGATTCCGGTTGTATTCCCACAGGCCTGACACCATTGCTGCTGTGATGAAATGGCAAACTCGTTTGACTTGTCAACAAACTCCGCCCAAGGGAGCTCGAGCATCGATTGTCTGAAAAGTGGATAAGCCTTTAGATCCGTCGAGCCCTCGACGCTAGTTCCATTGTGAAACATTAAACGAACACTTATATCTGACGTGGAGGGCATCCCGGTGCCAGTATTGTTTGTCACAAGCTCCCATGCCATGGACGAAGCGTAGTCTGGTATACCAGTGAAGCTTTCATCTGCGGTGTTCAGCCCGACTAGGCCGAAATAAGACAAGAAAGTGGCATAAGCACCGAACTGGATGTTCAGTTTCGACTTGCCGCTAGATGTAATTGTCTCATTCAAAGCTGCAAGAACTTCGCCAGCAAGTGTCATACCAGCAACAGCACGGATCTGATCGGAGCTATTATATGCTAGGTTGAACTCGTGCTCGCTCGCGAGAACAAAAAGCTTTTGCATTACCTGATCATTGAGAAGGCTAGATGGGGGGAAGGTCGTGGTGGAGTTGTGAATCAAAGCCACATGGAGTAAATCCCATATGGTGTATCCATTCTTGAAGCTCAGCTCAGTGGGGCTGAATGTCCCGTTGACTAGCGGTTCAAGAGACTGGTAAAACTCGCTGGTGGACGATAACAGGCTCTTAAAGGAGTTCGAGGAGAAGTAGTTATTGCTACTGACTTTGGCTTTGTTGCAGGAAGTTGTGCCCTGGAGCCACATGTTGTCCTCACTCCCGCTGCCGGAGTGTACATCTGACATCGGGATCAGCTGATAGCCGTTCATCGGGGATTGAACTGTTGATCCGTTGCGCAGAGTCTCCACGGCAAGAGAACCGATAGGAGGGTAGAGGCCTTGCAGGAACCCCTCTCCTGAGTTTTCGATAACATTATCTTGCGGCGCACTCGTAGTAACCTGGGACAAGTTGACTATTTCGGTACTGATCCCTTCGATCTGATAGGAGGAGTTTGACGAGATATAACGGTCATGAAAAAAGGTACCAGTCACATACTCTTGGCTGTAACCCAGATTGGTCAATTTAGCAGGTGGCCAGGATTTAGCTGTACGGTCCCCGTGGCGCTGGAAGACATAAGCCCCAAGGACCCTTTCTGCGTTGGTAAGATCTACCAGAGGCAGAAAAGCCACCACGAAGAGTGTGAAGAGGACAGACATGATTGAAAGGTTTTGCTCTCAGTATAGAGACCGTTCAAAGGTGTATAGCAACCACAGTGGGCTTACCGAGCTTTATCAATAGTCTACCTCGTGCGGGGAACTCTATACAGCGCTCCCCCCCAACTCGATACGGTTCACCAACAGTCCAGTAGCTGCGGGGGCTTACCTTAGGTTCAAAGATCCATGCGAAAGAGGATGGACTTGGAGGTTAAGGTTTTTTGGGGTTCCTTAGCGAGATGATATGACCATCTAGAGGACAGGTAAAATCAGGCGTCGGATAACGCGGAAGGGAAAGATATACCAAGGTACAACCCCAATCTAGTCTGTGTCTGATCGTAGAAACGATATTTTTAGCGAAAGATAAGACTAGACTATTCATACTTTAGCAGGAGCGAATAAAGATGAGGGATGAGGGACCGAAAAAACATCACCCCACTCACGCTCGGCCCCACCGAAATAAGTCATCCTACGATCTAGCCACATAAGACCCAGAGTGGATGTTGGCTTGGTAAATGGTGGGTAGTATCCTTTATGTATACCCCGCCTTTCACTTGGCTACCTGTGAAATTGGTAGGCGATAATTGGTAGGTAGGTTATATCCTTCCAAGTTTCATGCACACCCCGCCCTTCAATTCCTCACTTGTAGAATTGGTGAGCGATAATTGGGTTCAAGCGCCCGCTACCACTTCCAAGGTTCTCCGTAATTCTAAATCTGGGTTGATTCGTTCCATGGTTCTGCCCTAGCCAACGCATCATTCCAAAATTCTTTTGGTTACCTGGGTATAATTATAATATCATCTCCAGATATGTCAATTAAGGACATGTTACATCATTTGGTTTGATTGGGCATTCATGCTGTAAGGAAATTGAATTTCAAATGGCGCTCTAATATGGATTGAAGACCCATGCTTACCGAGGGAAAGGAGAGGGACGCAAATGATGCTTAAACCGCAGAATAGAGGCCAGCCCGTACCATTCGATTAGGTACTTTTTGTTTATTTTTTACCTTGAGAATTCAACACAATAGAAACCGAGGGGAAAATAACAATGGAATATACATCAATGAGGATTCTAACTTATTAGCCTTGATAGATAGGCCGGCGTGTGGCGCAGGCCTGGACGTGAGGAATTAGTTACGCTCTCATCTAGGTATATCATTTACTCTGATTGATGACAAGCTTTATTATCTATCGTCTTCCTTCTCGCGTACCCAATGACCGCTCTTGCCCCCTTGTTTCTCTATTAGCCGCACACCCTCAAAATTCTTGACTAGGGAGAGAAAGTATAGCGCCGGTCTGCCCGAGAGCTGGTAAATGGCCGTGATGGGACCGGTATACTATCTATTCGGCTATCAGCATGAATCCTAGAAGATCACACCCGAAACAAGATTTTATAAGTATGTAAAACCAAATATCCTGAATGTGAATTGGTATTTTCCATCTAGATGCATGGAAAATATACAGGTCATAAATCATTTTAATTGTAACAAAAGCATGCTTACCCGCCAATGAGAATCATGGGACGGTTCTTCATGTTCTTCAGCTCATCCATGCCGGCATGTTTCGCCTTCTTGCGCTTCACGGCCATGCCGATGATATCCAGGATCTCACGCTCTCGTTCACTAGGCAGGGCCCTATTGTCACCGCGACGAGCAGCGGTATGTATAGTATCTAGGAGACCTGGTCTTTTTAAGGCTTCCTCGTCGATAGGCTGCCCATGATTCTCCTTTCGAATGATATCTCGCAGCGAAACCTCCGAATTGCCAAAAAGACATACTTTCAAATTGCCGTCACTCGTGATTCGGAGCCGATTGCAGGTGCCGCAGAAATTGTGCGTCATGCTCGTAATGAATCCGATATGGCCTTTAAATCCAGGTACTTGATATGTCTTGCTAGTATCATTTTTATGATCGTCGAGCTTCACCAACGTCGGATATTTCTCTCGGATCACCGCCAGCATCTCCTGGTATGAGAACATCTTGCCCTTATTCCACTTATTCCCATCGAAGGGCATATACTCGATAAAGCGTACCTCGATAGGCTTCTCGCGACATAGCTCGACAAATGGGATGATCTCGCGATCGTTCAAGCCGCGCATCACAACGCAGTTGATCTTTAGCTTGATGCTAGCGCTGACCTGATTCATCTCCAGAATACGATCTATACTCTTCATCACTGCCTCAAATCCACTCCGTCGGGTCATAATCTGAAACTGGAATGGATCTAGAGTGTCTAGGCTCAGATTCACGCCTGTTAGGCCTGCTTCTACCATCTGGTCTAGCTTTCGGTGTAGAGAAATCCCGTTTGTGGTGAGACAAAGCTCCCGTAGCCCGTCCTGCCGTAGCTTGCCGATTTCTTGCATCAAGGGGACAATGTCCTTCCGTACGGTTGGCTCCCCGCCCGTCAGACGGATCTTTGTAACGCCCTGAGAGACGAAGAGTGATGATAAGTAAACAATTTCTGGTGATGTCAACAGCTGGGGCTGTGGCGATAGGTCTATGCCTTCCTCGGGCATGCAGTACAGACACCGCAAATTACACCGCTCCGTTACGCTGATCCGTAGATAATCATGTTGACGATGAAATTTGTCGGTGAGAAAGTCGGAAAATGGCCTCACGGTTTGTTCGTCAAAGGATCGCTGATGCCGAGGTGGCTATCTGGTCAGATTATGTGATAACTAGGGGCCACAGAATGGTATAGACGCATTTAAGGTACCTCACTTGGTATTCCCAGACACCGTCTCCCTACTCCAGAATTTGTGAAAGTGCCTTGTGTGCGAAAGTTCTGAGATAGCTGAATTAGGGATGCTGTTCGCCGCGCGAGTCGTCGCTGGGCCATGATTCAAATAAATATATCTTTTGCTCGCGGCAGATGAGATGGTTTACTGACTGAAGCGTGAATAATTTCACCCCTCGAATGCCTCGAACTAGCGAGATCTAAGCGCAAAACCAACGAACGCATCATGCATTCCTTACCCCAATCGGACGCTAACGCTCCGCTACATTCCTACACGGGAAAAGAGATCGATCAATGTTCAATGATGGGCATGGTTTTACGGAACTCCTCACAGCTCAAGCAAAATTGGCCAATAATCGTAGCCAGGACTGTATCGTTCCCAAGGGATTGACAAATCGGTCGACCTAGAAGCGATACGTCACCACCATTCTTTGGCATCCACCGTGAAGCAAAAAGCTGTAGCTTGATGGAACATCTCTGCGGTGAAATCCGATTCGATAGGGGGACTCCACGGTTTTGCCAATGGCACTGTATTTTATTCCGAGAAAGTAAACGGTTTCCATATCGATAACAAATAGACTGACACGAAATTGAGTTTCGCTTAGAAGGACGACGTCGTTACCCACCTCCCACTGTCCAAATACACCAGATTTACTATGCTAACGCCAATTTCTGCTTATTATTCCGAGATAAAGTTTGTGCTTTTTTTGGAGTGCATCCTTGGTTTGACTTTACATAGTATCTATTGTCGACGAGTTCGTTTAAAGTCGTGAGGTCATTACAATGCCCAGCCATCATTCCCGGGCCACTACATGCCTCCTCCTGGATGCGTTCTGAACTCTGTATCGGGGAACAATTCCTAGGTGCCGCTAGGGCCACCTGCCGGAATTTCCCACTCCTCTAGAACCCTAGCATGTCTGACATATAAGAAGCTACCTGGCCTCATACGGGTGCCTGTATCTATCGTAACGGTTTATTACATAGTGACCTTGCATCTTTATCTATAATGGAGTTGACAGCTGAACTGGATACTACCAATCGTCCTGATGAGTGGATGATTGAACAGGGCCTGGCGGGTCACAAGCTACCTATCCTTGACCAATCTGAAAGTGACACTGTCCACATTTACCCCCCGCCGGCGACCAAATTGACGAAGGACGAAGAGGCGATCGCATCGGTTGGTGATCGGGCTAAGCTCTTCACCCGCGAACGTAATGGTTGGAAAGGGTATTGCTGCCCCTTGCCTATGACATATGACTACTGGCCAATAAGCTAATGATTATTGCTGCAATATAGATACGTCGAGTGGGAAAACTATCCTGAGAAAAAGGTCAAAGCGCGCAAGATCCTCAATTTGCAGACATTTGCCCCATGCCCTGATTTCATTTTCGGTCCAATTCCAGGAACAAATCCTGTGCTTCCGGGCGATGATTTCAAGGCGTGGCATACTGCCCTCGGAGGTGAACTTGCCACTACTGCAGATGACTCTTGGAGATGCGTTCTTCGCGAGAAACATGCAGATATGCTGCATCTCCTCCAGTTCCCCTACAATGGGGAACCTCCCAAGAGGCTGGTCACCTCGAAGCCGATAACACCAAATCCTCTCCACTTCGTCCGAAACCACGGCGGCATTCCCATCATTGATAAAGAAGAGTGGGAACTGTCGCTAGATGGGTTGGTGAATCACCCAACGACTTATAAATTCCATGATCTCATGGATGAGACCAAGTTCCCACGCATGGAGAAGACAGTCACTATCCAGTGCTCGGGAACTCGTCGGATTGAGCAAATTTCCCTGTACGGTGGTCAGGGAGACGAAGTTCCCCAGGCACCGTGGGCTGAGGGTGCCATTGGGACAGCTCGTTACGTCGGTATCAGCTTGAAGAAGCTGATTAAGGACTGCGGGGGGCTCGTCAAGCCAGCTAAACATCTCGAACTTTACGGTGCTGAGACCTACATCAAGGATCTTGAGGTGGGCAATTACCTTGTTAGTGTCCCGTGGTCCAAGGTGAAGGCCAATGAGGTGATGCTGGCCTGGGAGATGAACGGTGAACCTTTGCCCAAAATCCATGGGTATCCGTTGCGAGTTGTGGTACTAGGATACATTGGAGCCCGAAGCGTCAAATGGCTTTACCGCATCAAGGCCATTGCGAACCCATCTCTCGCCCCGGTTCAGAGCAAGGAATACCTCTACTTCAACCAACAAGTTGGCAAGTATAACATACGCCCCACAGACGGCATCCAAATCCAGGAAATGCCAGTCAGCTCAGCTATCATGAGCCCATGGACAAAACAAGCGGTCATACACACAGGAAAGATCAGATGCAAAGGCTGGGCCTACTCCGGCGGTGGTCGATGGCCTGAAAGAGTCGAATTGTCCGCAGATGGCGGTTTCACCTGGTACGACGTGCCACCGGAGCGTCTATCCAAAAAGGGAAAATGGACCTGGCGTACCTGGGAATTCGATTTACCTTGTGACGTCGAAGGATGGATTGAGATTGTCTGTCGATGCTGGGATAACTCCCTCAACACGCAGCCACTCAATGTCCGCGCGGCGTGGAACTGGGGTCTGCATGTCACGTCCTCGGCTCATCGAATCAAGGTCTATAGTATCAACAAGAGTCGGGAAATTACAAGAAAGCGTTTGGATAAGTATGAGCAGCAGGGGATTCCCTTGGCTCCTCTTAGTCGCTATGAGATTATCTCGGGTCAGACACCGGAGGAATATGAGCAGTATTGGAAAGAGCATGACCCACGGGATGTCGACGAATAATTCCTGTTAACATGACTATTTTGGATCCGCTTGTAGTGTGGAGTTTCAGCAATCTTTTTCATTTTCGTTTCATTTGAAAAAAAAAGAATGAAAAAAAGAGAAAGACAGAAAGACAGAAAGAAAAGGACAAAAAAAGCGAAAGTTCATGGATGGTCTTGTCTGTAGGTTCAACGTTGACAAATTACCGCAGGTTTCTGGGAATATTATCTAGGAATATTTTTGATCTTGCATTCGCAGCAATTGGCTTCCTCGGATATTTTCAAACATTAATACTGGTGTACTCCATATATGATCTGTGCTCTAGGCGCGAGACTGATCACAGAATACTAGGGGTATTTACGGTCGAACTTTGGTTCTTCCAGGGTTAATAAGTATCCCAAGCGATGTATGGACGAAGTATAGAGTCCATAGGACTTAGGACTATAAAGAACCCACATGATGTTCTAAAAGCGATGTCCTAAAACCTACCACTTCTACGGTGATATGTAGACCCCTTTGCGCGTGCCTGTTATGCAATAATTTAAACGGTTGATGCAGCTCTACCTAGTCTTTCGGCCCTGATGGGGATTTTGGTGATCCAAATCCAGTGATATCTTCTTTTAACACTTGGAATGTCGTGTCTGCGGATCAATATCTACTCACGCAGGTGATTATCTGCATTATCTGAAAGTCGTGTTCGTATACTATATTTTGGCGACAAAAGCTTACCAGTGCCAATCGCTAGTTGATAGGTGGTAAAATTGCTATCAATTTGATCGAATAGAAGGAAGTTAGTTGAATAATAATACTCAATTTGATAATACAGAGAGCTCTCGTGAAATGCCTCGGTCCTTGATAGCTGCCTCGGTCGCCTGCTTGACCTTTCTCCCAAGATCCTGATCGACTCTGCTAAAGAGTGCTGCATATGGGTCAGCGAAATCCGTTTCACAACATTGAACGAAAGCGTGGACGAACCATATACTTCATTACGAAGCCTCGGCGACTTGACCCCACTGATACTTCCAGCAAGGTTGTCAATGGTTCTATCCTGGTGCCCCGGATCACGGCCAATGACATCCCACAAAGCAGCAGGCTGGATAAAATCGTCGTCCTTAATGTGGCTGCTATAGGTTGCGACTTCACCAACCCACTTCTCGTGCTCGGTGTGCAAGCTCAACGACTCAGGGCTGACTCCTTTGACGTCGGGGTAGAACTTGGTCGGCTGGAGAGAGGAATTGACGTAGTTTGGATCACCGCCGTAGTTGTCGTCAAATCTCATTCTTCCATCTCTCTCAAAAGGACAGTATACGGGGACTTTAGCTGCGTTAGTTGGGAGCTGCTGGTAGTTGACGCCAAGGCGGTAGCGAGCTGCGTCAGGATAAGCAAATAAGCGCGCTTGGAGGACTAGATAAGACGGGAATGAGCCTTTTAAGTAGCAGATGACGCTCTAGGTGTATGACTAACCGGGGTCGGCGGAAGCGGCAAATCCAGGTACCAGAGTAGATGGAGAGAAGGACGCCTGCTCAATATCGGTAAAATAATTTCCGGGCTAAAATAGTCAGTCTGCCGAAGCAAGCCAAGGGTATCAGATAACGAACGTTACGATTCAGGGTCATCTTGCCGATCTTCCTCAACGGAAAGTCCTTGTGTGGCCAGACTTTGGTCATATCAAAGATATTCCAACGATAGTTCTCGGCCTCGGAGGGATCCATGACTTGGACAAAAACATCCCACGAAGGGTAGTCTTTTCTTTCGATAGCCTCGAACATATCTCGAATCATGTAATCGGGATCCTCGCCGGCAATTCTAGTTGCCTCTTCTGGGGTGAAATTCTTGACTCCCTGTTGGGTCTTCATTTGGATCTTAATATATTTGAATGAACCGTCCTATTTTATAAGCGTGAGCCAATTATATGCAATATTGTCGTATGGTTCCTTACCTCCTTGGTAAACTTGTAAGTGTGTCCACTGTAGGAGTTTAAAAAGCGGACTGATCGAGGAGTTCCACGATCACTAAAGAGAACCAAGAGCTGGTGGATTCCTTCCGGATTGCCCACATGGAAGCTAGGCCTTATCAGTAATACTTCGCCAAACGTTTCATGGCTCCACTTACTCCCAAAACTAATGCTTTAGTTAGCCTTTTGTATGTATTGAGCTTAGGAATTGACACATACCATGTTCGCATCGGGAAGGTGAGTCTGTGGGTGTCTTTTGTGAGAACGATTCATGGAGGGGAACTTAATTGGATCCCGAATGAAGAATACTGGCTTCGCTTTGTATAAGCAGAAGTTTGTTGGGGTGTGTTAATGACTTGCTTACGGTGTTGTTGAAGACCCAGTCAAGGTTTCCTTCATCAGTATAAAGCTTCATCCCCCAGCCATGGACATCTCGCGAAGTATCAGCAGAGCCTGATTCTGGCCCAACAGTGGAAACTCGAAGGAGAACAGGAGTCTTTTTGCCAGCCTTATTGAGAAAGCTGGCGGATGTCAGGTCGGAGCAGTCGGCAGTAGCTTCGAACTCTCCGTACGCCCTTTGGATGGAGAATTGTACATTTTAGCTCACTTATCCAGAATGGATTTATTTAAGGGACTTACCCAACTGCTTTGGCATGAACGACGCTGGAACAATTATATTGTTAGCTGTAAGAAATATATTCACGATGTATCACTATTACCGCTCTGGAATCCTCTCACGAGAGAAATGCGCGAGGGTCTCGATGAGCTGGGTGTCCTGCAGTAGACCAAGACCCCCACCTTCTCTGTTGCGCATAAGCACCGCAGTGCTGTTGCTTGCGAAGGGGCAACCTTTTTTTCACAATAAGTACGTCAAAATGCCATAACATTGTTTAGAATGACTGACCTTCGGCAAGAGTATAGTATTTGTCAGCGGACATGATGAGTTCTGTAGCTACCCTTCTTGTGGAAATGGCTTTAGGACCTTTTTGATGCAGTTTAGTGCTCTTGGTTCGATTTATATATACACCAAACCCGCAGAGCTAGCTGCGGCTATTTTGAGCTCTCTTTCCGGCTAGTCAATTCCGTCATCCTGACGGCCCGACTAAAGCGGCCTGTCCAAAGGATATAAGCTGGAATGAATCGACGTATATTGGTCAGTTTTTAGGACCCTCGCAGAGTCTATGACCTAAAGCCAATATATCAAAGCAAGCGTACATTCGTGTTACGGCCCACCGCTGTCATGACTGAAGTCACATCTCAGCGGCACCACGGTCGATGATCGGTCAAAACCCAGTCGGCAACGTGATTTGAGCCAGATACAGAATGGAGGAGCTGAGTTTCAACCGCCCACAAAGTGTGGGCCCGTGTGGGCCCGTGTGGAGCTACCAAGGCTCGTTCTTCCTCGGTGTCGATTCGGTGTTACACGTCATAATTCCAGCGATCAGCCAATTAGAATGCCAAGATGGTGGTATCTCGAAACAATGTTATATATGGAAGATGATTGGGCAATTACTGTCTCCAAAATGGGCGAGCAGTCAATACGGGTAACCAAGATACCGATGTGTGCCACCTTACCCTGACCTTGTATCTATCCATACATGGCTTCGAAAATCGAAATAAAGAATATCCTAGTGTGCATCATCCAGCGTGGTAGTTGAAAGTGATCGCTTGCTAGAGAAGTGGTGAGATGCAATGTACTCGTGGATGAATACTGGCTCCCGGGACTCTCTCGTCGCAAGGCGGGTGGGCCCGGGTTTACTGGACTGATTGAAACTTTGCCTTGATAAAAACCGCTCAGAAATCAATTGAATCCATAGCTATGGTAGCTCTCGGTAGCTAATAAATGGATCGATAACGATCCAACTTTCTAACCCAATGAAACTGAGAAGAAGAATGCCCCGAGTGCCATTAACTTCCAACCGGTGGAACCTTAAAAGTCAATGTGCTCAATGTGGGGAATGCCTCATCGGGTAACCTTCTGATGCACACAGCATATCTGGCCCAGCCGTCAAAAGTGTTGACATCATGTCCATCGTACTTGTATCTCACCTTAGATATAATGCCAGTTCATAATCCCAATCCCCATCCCAGTCACGGAAACCAAGTCACACAACAGTCTAGTCACTCGAAAGAACACAATGTCTCAACCTCAACGTTTGTTCGGCCCCAGGCTACCATAAATAATTCCCGCAATTGATGAAATACAGAATCCCAACCCCCACCCCCGCACCACGAAAATATTGTGGAAAAAATCTTTGAACATCACGGTCATCACCACAAGGATGATGGAGAGGAAAACAAAACCGAATCACAACCGAAAGCTCCGCAGAAGGAAAGTGCGAAGGAGAAGTACAAGGATTGGTACCACAAGGAAGAGAATGAGGAAGAAGAAGGAGACACATATGGAGGTTTGATGTGAGGATTCTATTAGGTGTTTTAAGATAAAACAATGGTTTTCTTGAGTTGTATCAATATCTTGGTCGATGGGGAACACCTTCGGGGCCTTTGTATGTACTTCTAAATATACTCAATAACAGGTTATTATTGTAAGAAAAAACAGACTTGTACATAGATCATTCAGATTTGTGCAATTGATTATACAAACTTTGGGGCTCAAATGTGGCAACAGTACTTTAGTAATTTGTTGCGGCTGTTTAAGTTTTATCGTCATATCTTTTGTGAAGCTATCATTCACAACCGCCCTCCAGTCGGAGTTAGTTCGGCCAGAGGAAGCAGCACACAAGAGTGAAAGGCAGGCTTTGGGTTTTACCGCTGTTATTTTCTATCTCTACGGTATCTCGTCTCTGGACTGGAAGTATAGACGACCATGGCGAGTTTCAGTACTAGGGAGCAAGAAAGGCAGGTCTGGTAAACATCCGATTCAGGCGTACGATTTATAACAGCTTTGAGGTGAATTATCGTAATGCAATTGCACGAGTCACCAATAACCAAAATGATGAGATGGTCCATTGTGCGGTGCACCGTGTCTCGCCTGTCATGAGGATATAACAGGTTATAGTAGGTAGCCATCAAAGTCGTGAATATAACGTGAAAGTATGGGAATGAACGGATCAGTGCCGATAACTCTGTATAATTCAAGTGGAACGTGCATCGCCCCATCGGTTGGTGATGGAGTAGGTATTATTGGCTGGGGATATTATCGTGTCTCTGGTAAGTTTGGGTACAAGTCAACAGCTAGTTAGTTCTACCAAGGTCGGGCAATACGAGCATGTGCCCAGGTGAGAAGCCCGGCACGGAACGGGAATGATTGGGACCGGGTTACTCGCGGCTGGGTTGTCCAGCCCAGATATTTAAGTGAAGGATGTTCGGTTCGGTCATAACCATTCCTTAAGATCTATCACCCGCTTGACCAATCTACTTTCCGACAAACACCAACATGCCTGAAGGTTTGCCACCTGGTCATTTTTGGACTTGTTAAGGATCTAAGAAGAATCCAGCAGACGGTCAGCAGCATACTCAACACAAGGAATCCTTAGTCGAGAGGATCTTCGAGCACCATCACAACCACGAACAGGAAGAAAATTCCCACAATGAAAAGAAGAACGAAGTGTCTAAGAACACAGATAAACCGAAATCCTATGAAGACTACCTGAAGAAGGATGACGAAGCCCTCAAAAAGTATTATAAAGAGGACAGGGAGTTGTAAGCTGAGGGTCAGAGCTATGGAGGATTGATGTGATTTTGATGCACTTTTGCGTATTGTTAAATGGGATGATGTATTGATAACCCGTTCAAGTGATCGTATGTATGAGTACATGACAAGTCGTATTGATTGGGAATTGCTCCACGGCAATGTAGATAGTCGGACAAAGTGGGCAATCATAATTTTGGTACTTTCGGTTAGAAAATCTTGTGCGCGGATTTTGACGGGTTGTGGGAAGGGGTATCCTTATGTTGATGACGAGGTCCCATCGAATAGGACGGAAATTGACTCTTGTATTAGCACACTGGTGGAAAACAAATACCCCAGCATTTGGCCTTCCCACTTCGTGATGTAAGCATCATACGAATAAGACTCAATATACAGCTGAAATTCATGACGGAAAATTCCGACTGCGGCATATGAGGAACAGAGACGCTTTCATTCTGCAGATAGATACCATAAGAGCGATTGACCAGCTCGTCTATCAGCTGGCTGCTATAGCCTCAGACCTACAGCTCTGACCTTTATCCAATTCAAAAAGCATATGGCGCACCTACAAGTAGACTATTAACCATCAGCTGATTAGCTGGGAAGGCCAAGAATAGGAAATACGGCTGCTTGCGCGTCAGGCAATATTATCAATTTAACATAGCGGGAAAAAAGAATGATACCTTTCTGAGTCAGACAAAAAAGAGTTCGCTAACACAGGAGTGTCCAGACCTCGCGTTAAATGCGCCGGCCCATTCGATATGCCCAAGACCCACGCTCAAACTACCCGGAGAGGTTTTGGCTCTTGGGTCTGCAGTTGGCATAACTTCCTCTTGTTCGATCCTGTTCCTTTTTCCAACCACGGCTGAGCGTCGAGAGATGGAAGTCAATGATAAGAATTCGTTACAACTCAGAATTCCAGAGTAGATTTTCAGGACAATGATCATCATGCACCACCACAAGGGATCAAATTTCCTTCTTCGGTCGTTCATCCTCATCATGCAGCCATACGCACTATGTAGTGTACAGCATTGCCCGAATAGTTACGCCCGGAATCAACTCGGTCGTATTGATAATCTCAAAGCCGAGCTTCTGATACAACCCGGCGCCCTTAACACCAGCCTCCAACCCGACACACACACGCTCCCGCCGTGCCTGCTGCAGCCCCCACTCGACCAGTTGTTGGCCAATGCCGCGGCGCTGATGCGCCGGGTCGACGGCCAACTGCCCCAGGTACCATAACTCGGGGAACTCGGGGAAGGGGAAGGCGTCATCCGCGGCGGCCGTCCTGTAGTGCTGTTGTCGATATAGATCCACACTGCGGTCCGGGGATACCATAGAGAGATATCGGTTCTCTAAGTCTAGTAATGTGCGTTCCAGGGCTGCATATGCTGCTGGTGTTAGCCAGGCGCCTGCCCACGACGATCGTAGATAAGATTAAGGTAGATGAAACGGGGATCACCACCATGCCACCAGCCGTTATTCCTGCGCTGCCATTGTCCCGCATCTGCCCCGGTCCCGAGTCTCTCCCACCCACTGTACCCATGGATCTGCTCACGGTCTCCGGAGTGTTCTACCGCCACAACCATTACATAACCCGGGGAGACGAAGCGTGTCTTGAGTCGTCGGAGAAACGAATAGCGGAAATCCGCATAGTGCTCGTGGCGTCCCGGACACATCCAGGTAAAGAGTTCATCCTCCAGCATGGCCTGTGCGACGACATTGGCAATATCAGGCAGATCCTGGGCCCGCGCGGGGCGTAGACGAACCCCTGAATCCATGAACTATGAGGTGCTTTTCTGTCCCGAGTGTATGGATGTGCTGCACAGTATACCTAGGTAGCTATACGTACTTGATTTTCTCGGGTAGGACTTTCCTATCTTAGCTGCCGCTTTTATGAGGGCGCTCAGAACCAGGCTGAGTAGATTTTGTCGGGTGCCTGAATCCTGCCTGAGGCACTGCGCCTCACATGGGAAAGATCCCGTCGATAGTTAGATAGCTACAAGTTACAACATACCCCCCTCCGGCCTAAAAATCTATCTCACACCAAGTCTCCAGGGGTACCCATTTTAATTAGTAACCAATCAGTTAGCCCTGGAGTCTGCCTTGGCTACAGGGGGCAAGGATACCAGCCTCGTGATCAAGATGTGATCAAAATGTGATCAAAAGACAAGGCCGCATTTCGGTAAACCTTCCTAGGAGGTTTCGTTTTCCCCCTAGATTATTTATACATTCGGCTTCTCTATATAAGGAAGTCATTAGTTTGCTAAATATCACAGTATGGATCATTTTGAGGGTAGAGAAGGGAATGGGTCCCGCGATTGCCATGGGAAGGCGTTTCACTTTCGCGGACATCTTATGCGTCTACGGCAAGCGAGAAAACGTACTTCATGTTCCACTAGACTGTCATCATCTGGGAATTTGCGGCGGGGGCTTTAAGCAGAAGAAGACAACACGTTCAGTAGCTGTAAAAAGGCATTTCCATTGCTGGTTTGCCGTCAAGACAATTGAACCAATCCCACGGGATAATCCACCAAGTACCATCCCAGAAAGATACCGAAATCAAAGCATCGGCGGTTAGAACAACGACTAATGCATGGACAGCGAGTAAAGCCATCCATGGCAACAGGGGGAAGGCTGCGGCGGCCTGGTTACCCCTCTTTTAGAACAGGGGTTGAATCAGGATTGGGATTAGCAGCTCACTATTCTAAAAGTACTGGGCAGGGGAAGAAAATATAAGAGGGCTGATGTCCCGTAGTGACACCGTCGATACAGACATCCCCAAACCAGCATCAAAATGGGTAGACCGCGCCACTTCGCAGGGGTCGAGAGCTCGGAACAGCTGGCCTTCATCGATGAGCTGCAGGCGCTCGGGCTAAGTAGTACCATCAACCTACCCGAGGTCAGTCCAAATGATCAGTTGTCATCAATAGCATCAGTGGACACAGTACTAATGTGCACAAGCTCGTGGTGGTAGGTGACCAAAGCGCGGGCAAGAGCTCGGTGCTCCAAGCTATCACAGAGGTCTCCTTTCCAGTGAAAGACGGGACTTGCACTCGGTTCCCCATCCAGATATCTTTCCGCCAATCTTCCGCTGCGAGGAAATTCCCGATCAAGGCCACGATCGTGCCGGGTGGACAGTCCGAGAATGACGGGGCATTGTTGGCTCGCATTAAGGACTTTTCAGTCGAGAAGGAGGAGCTGACGACCGATGTCATAAAAGAGATTATCGATAAGGTATGTTTATTGCCGTGGATGGTTGAATATAATCTCATCGCTCGGCCATTCAGGCAACCGAATGTATTTTTGGCGCGGATCAGCCGGTAAAGAGGGTGAGTCTGAGCGACGCGACACTGCGCATTGAGCGGGTGGGCCCAGACGAGATGCATTGGACCATCATCGATCTTCCGGGACTCATACGTGGCGACAAGAAGAAACAGAAGGGGCATGTCTTGAAAGGCGCAAATGGTGACGGTCCGCAAGATACGTCAATGCGGATGAATGCAGCTGTTGCATCGGACCTGGCACGCAGGTACCTAGCGAACGACCGGAACATCGTCTTGTAGGCTATCTGACAACGTCTTCCATTATGCCCAGGCTGATAGCTAAGCAGGGTTGTCATTGATGATGTGGATGTGGAGCGTCTCCGGATCTTCGAACTGATGGAGGAGATTCCAGGCCTTGAAGAGCGGTGTATTGGCGTGCTGAACAAGTGTGATCGCAAACAAGAAGGTTCGGATGAATGGGTATGTCATCTTCCAGAGTTAACCCCCCTACCCACCCAACAACGAATCATGCTAAGTCCCAACTCAGATGGTCAAACTCCTTCGGAACGATCTCTCTACTGTTCCTCATCTCGATCACGGGTGGTTCGGATTGCGAAGCAGAATCCCTAACGAAGCCCACATCACCGACGCAGAGCGGGACGAACGAGAAAGTGCCGAATTCATGAAGAAAGACTGGCAAGAAGTCGCGAAAGACCGCACAGGAATACAAGCGCTGATGCAATATGTCGACAAAGAACGACGAGCGCAGATCCAGTCTAGTATCCCGCACATTATAGCGGAAATTCGTCAGAAGCTTCGGGAATGCAATTCAGATCTGAGCCGCATGGGTGAAGCTCGAGATAGCCCGAAAGCCCAGCGGTTCTTTGCCTTCCAGTTTTGCAATGAGATGCAGCACATGGCAGAGGCAACGCTTAAAGGTCAGTATCAGGTTGTGCCTTCCGAGGACCCGAGGATCATGCTACGATACGAAATACAACTTCGCCTAGATCAATTCCATAAGGAGATGGCGGATAAAACAACCATGCAGCATCGGTTCTTCGACTATGAGCAAGAGCTGATAGCCATCAGCTCTAAAGACCCAAAGAAGTGGGACGAACTCATGAGTAATTCTTCCGGTGGTCTATACGCTGAAATATACAAGGAAGCCAAGATCAGCGAAGGGCGCAACCTTCCCGGTACTGTGCATCCAGACGTGGAGGAGAAAATCTTCCGCAAGCAATCTGCCCATTGGGGAGGCATTGCCAGCCGGTTTGTCGATGATGTGAAAGATCTGGTTAAGAACTGCCATGATGTTCTGATCCGCATTGCCATCCCCAACAGCAAAGTGCGATTGGAGGTCAGTCGCATAATGGCTAAGGAACTAGAAGAGTGGCATAAACATGCAGACACGGCTCTTTCCGAACTATTGGAGGATAATCAAGCTAGACCGCTAGTAACTCACAACCCGAAGTTTCTGGCAGACACGCTCGATGCGGATCAGAATCGAGGCAAAATTCTTCTTGGGAAAATGTCATCCAAAGGATCATCCACAGAGCATGATCAGAATGGCGATGTCAAGCACAGCGGCAAGGGTAATGGCGACCATTCTCGCTTTATCTCCACGAATCTCAGCCAGGTGTTACTTGTCCGTGCTAGGCTGGAGTCATACTATAATATTGCTTTGTATCGCTTTATTGACAATGTGGCGATGCAGGTGGTGGAGCGACATATCCTAGGACCGAGATGTCCCATGCTCGCCGTGTCTGTTGAGAAATTTGCTAGGTTAGAGGATGAAGAGATCGGCGCTATAGCCGGAGAAGATCAATCCGATGCGAGAATGCGAGCCAGGTTTGAGAGGCTTCAGTCTCGGTATACCAAAGCGCTCGAGAAGTGGGAGAAGTTGAGGATACTTTAGAAGTGATCCCTGGCTGTTTCTATGGCTGATCATCTTCTTCCGCTGCTATCGCATCTGTTGACGAACTTCGTCATGAAGGTGGTGTTGGAGAACTTTGTCGCTCAAGAATCATCAAGAACACTAAGGACCATCGATCGGATCGACTATAAGGTCAAACTTCATATTTCCGTGAAATTGATATAGAATGTGAATCAACCTTACCTAGGTATCTACCGCTACCGACAAACAATACAATAGAACACGAATGTAGTTGTGGATGTAAGAGTGGCATGTATAGCTATGTGTTTTAGAGACCTGGCCCCTGGGGAAAGGCGGCTCGCTTACTGAATACGTTATACGAATAAAATGGCCAACCCGTTTTCGAGCCATCCTATATGTAGCGACTCCAACAACTTGCCTCACAAATTTCGCTTGAGCGGAAGTAAGTCCCCCTTTCTCTTCCTTCCTCCCATCTACTCCATACCATAGAAATCTTCTTTTGTGTATCAATCCCTGTACTTGATCCTTTTCAATTCGAGACAGTCAACCAATACAGGATGCCAAAGGTCTTTTATGCCAGTGAAGCTTCTATGCTGTAGATCCATTATGACCTCATTGCTCGACGGGTCTCGACTAACGTACGCCATATTCCAGGTGTCATCTTCAGGAAATTTGGGCAACGAGCTGAGGGGCATGGAAAGCGTTGACCGTTCGAATGTGCCGACGCTGATGATCAAATATCTGACCCGACTTCCAACCAAAATTCTGTACTCGCTGTCATCCCTGCTCGATACCTCCATCGAGAGTATCCTAGAAAATGAGGTTATTTGGCTCATCTGGGCGAAGGCAAGAGATAGGTGATGGGTTTGCAAAAGGAAGAGCCGAGTGAATGAAAGACCTGGTCGCAAAGGTCGCCGTGGCGGACGAAATTCTGCGAGTATGGAAAGGCGGAGTTTAGTACAAGAAAAAATGTCAAAGGAAAAAAAGCACAGCACAGACAGCCTTTTAAGATATGTGCATGTGCATCCTAATAGATGTGACATGAATCGCTATGCATATTATCAGCCAATTACTGATCTTATCGGATGGTGGTCTTGGAATCATTTTCCTGAGGTCGTTCTAACCTTAAAACTTAATAATGAGATAGTTTGTCCTAACCTAAGTTCAGTAACTAACTATATTGTATCTCACAAATAACTAACGACTGGCAGTGGCGGCAAAGCATTTAATATGTAGCAACATTGTCTGTTAAAAACTTTCAAACAGGATAACCCAATCATTAGAATATATCACTGAACGGTCTTATATATTATAGCAAGCATACCCAAAAGATAATTAGCCTGAGACTATATCAAAGCCATCGTGTACCAGATACTAGTACGACATCTGTATAATATATTTTCCCCTTCTCGGGACGAAAATACATTTAGCCGCGGACCGCGGAATACCCGAGGAACAGCTTAAAACCTACAAAAACATCCGCGCATAACCGGCGACTAGTTATCGTCCGTCGGTATTTACTCTATGAGGGCTACAGCAGTGGCCTTTACGAAGTGTGTATCTGTACGTCGAAAAGAATCCGAATGAAGAATAACAAAACAGCCATAAAGGCAGATAAATTGACCCAAAAGAATTGCAGTTTGCCAGACAGACAAGTTCAACGCCTAGGCTATCGTAAACGCATCTCCAAGAACATACCTCGACCTCTAAAAGGTCGGAAGACGATAGACAAAAGATAAAAACTGACGGAGAAAGATAAATCAAAGTCGGAAAACCCGGCCACGCTGCCAGGCTTCCGCGCCATCCCAAATTTCGCTTGAAACAAATTGACCAAAAACCAATAAAGAAAAAAAATAAACCATTTGACGGTAAATGGATAATCAACTCGGGTTTCACGGCCACCTTGGCTGGGAAACCACGAGGAACGCCTTCCGCGCAGGTTGAGCAGCATAACCCAAACCAAAAAAAAGAAATCATGTAGCAAGTAAACAATAGCATGACAAAAAAAAAAAAAAAAAAAAAAAAGACGAGGTCGCGCGCACTGGGTATAGGTGATAATCAATCTTCGTGATCCCGTTTTCACTTCCCGGTCTGGGCCGATAAATAAGGTGGCCAGACCAGGAGAGGAAATGATTGGATTTGGAGTTCATTTCGCCTGCCTTCGGCACTCGGGCGATTTTCCACAGAATTGAATGTCCCATTTTTTGAGTCGCCGGCGATCATAGATAAAAGAGAGAGGTAAAGAGATGATCGTACAGTACGTAAGACGTAACGGACGAGGGAAGTCGTAAAGAGTAATAATACAATGAGGCGGGGCGATTGGTGCCACTGCTTCGATGGGTGCCGGTTAAAGAGGTGGGACAGAGATAATTTATCTCTGTTGGGAGCTCTAGCGGCTGAATTGGGACCAGACCGTGCTCAGCCAACCGGCGGGAATACCGATCTCAGAAGGTGCGAGCATGGATAGCTGACCCCATTCACACCCATCTAGGAAGGCGAGGACGTCGTCTCCGCCGAGACTCGTGGAGAGCAGGCTTGAGTCTGGGTATTCGGTTGAGGTCAGAGGCGGGGAGGGGGCCAATTGACTGACGGAACCCGGTGGGGGGAGGACAGGGATAGTGTGTGAGGCCGCTGCGTTGATAGGAGGGAGGGATTGGGAGTACGGCGGGGGAGGAGCCTGCGGGCGGGTTGGGAGCCAGGAGTTGATGGGATTCAGGCGGTTGTTTGTTGTCGTCAAGTACTGGGATGGGGACTGCGTAGTTGCGGATAGAGAGGGGAAACTGGGGGATGAGGTGGTGTAGATGGGGCCGTCTGGGTGATGTTGCTGAAGGGATGGGAGGGAGTAGGGGGATCCAGATGGCATTTGGCGGCTGTTGGGAAGAGGTAGGCTGGGACGGCGATCGCCTTCGTGTCCAGGTAGTGACAGACCAGGGCTGTTGACCGGGACCCACGACTCGCGACGACCACCGGCACCGTCGAGCATCTGATCACCGGGATCACCGGTTTCGCTCCTGACGGCGTTGCTTCCAGCGTCACTCATGTTCGTGCGTTCGTAGATGGACTCGCTTGCTGCGGGTACTGCGATACTGTCCTCGTCCATCCCAGGCTCTATCAACTGGTCCTCGATGCTTCCAAAGTCAAGGAAAAGCTTTTCGAGCATCTTGAATTCCTCAAGGCCGCCACCAGCACCGCCTTCGCGAAGGAGGCGAATACCATTGAGGCCATGGTCAGAGGCATCCGACATGCTATCCAGGCGATTTCGTGAAACCCGGCGGAAATCGCGCTTGACTTTGGAGAAGTAGCTGTGGAGGCGGTTCAGGGTGCGGAACCAGCCCATCGCCATCTTCAGACGAGGTCGCATCTCTCGGATGATATCCAAGGCCTTGCGTGCTTGTGCGACACCAAGCTGGTGGCTATCATGGCTCGCAGGGGGTGGCTTAGTTCCCATCAAGCCATCCGTGTCCATGTGCGGGAAATGTGTTCCATAGACACCGACAAAAGCGGCATTGTAGATAGCAAATCCGACCAACGGGTTCTCAACAAGAGCACCGCGGGCTTGGCAGGTGGCCACAAGGTCGATCATCTGCCGCGCTGCCTTGAAGAGCTCGCGAGCACTATCCCGCCAGAAACCATCGGGTGGGCCATTGACCTTGTCGACAGCGAACAACGGCTCATCCAAGGGGCCAGAAGGCTCATTGCAGCGGATAGGCAGGAATGGAATATAGGCACGGTGAAGGACAATCACCGATAGGAAGTAGACAACATGCATCACGGTATATGAAGCCAGAGTGGTCTTGTACATGAGATGTGTGTCGGTATTTCGCAGGGAATATTGCAGGTTGCGAGAAAGACTATCCTGGAACTCGTTCAATTGCTGACGGAGCGAAGCAAAGCGAGATTCAGGGTGCCATGGGGGATATTGCTCCGTGCGTCGACCGCCGGCGCAAGACCATTTGGCGATGCTTCCCCAAACACGAATGATCCGAATAACTCGGCTGAGCACCGACTCCTCTGCGCCAACCTCCCATCGATCAACGTCCTCCTCGCTGGAATCCTTGCGGCGAGAGATAGGCGACCAGGGCTTGTTATCTGGAGTCCCATTGGGTCCTGGGAGCTTTTCTTCGCCAAAGCCTCCTATACTTTGACGGATGCTAGGGATTTGCATGCTTTGAGAACCAAAGCTCTGCGGGCGCCGAACGGTCGGTTCATTAAGTCGGGCCGTCCGAACCCGTTCGCCAAAGGCAAAAGCATTATCGCTCGGAAGCTGAATTCCGAGTTCCTTAACTCGGACCATCCGAGGTCGATACTTTCCACTGCTGAGACATCGATCGAGGATAAAACATGCCCAAAATGTCCGGCGTTTGGTCTCTTGCGCAATGATATCATCAGAGGTCGGCTCCCTGGACTCCACACGTCGTGGCAGACCGAAATGATCTGTCTCGGTTCTCAAGCCGGGGGACGAGCTCGAAGGATCTCGCGCTGGGAATTCATTTTCAAGTTCAAAGGGCAGACCCATGGCCTGTGCAAGCCGGATGGCCATGCCCACGTAGACCCATGCACTCTTACCTCGGCACATCCCCCACTCGTGCAAGGCTAACATCAATAGCGCCTGCACGCGCGGAAGGTCAGGCTGAGCGAGGCAAGCTCCATCCAGACCGGCCAGCCGGCTGCGGAGGGCTGCGGCATAGTATTCCGATGCGGCAAGCGGATTCGAAGAATGGCTAGGCGATGCTGGTGAGTGAGCTGCAGCCAACGGAGGGTGGAACCGAGCAGTCAAGGCTAGTACACCCAGTGGAATCAGTGACGAAGACGGGTCCACCTTATACATGGGATTCCGGGGATCTTGTCCATCGAAAGTCGCGGGAGGAGGAGCGGGAGACGAAAGTTGCCGAATCTGGCCGAGAAATGTCGCGGGATGTAGGAAGGGTAGAAGAGTCGCAAAATGCGATTGAAAGAGGTCGAAGACGGCCTCCCAAACTTTTGTTGTAAGTATCGAGGAATCAAGCGCATCCACTCCGAGCTTGGAACCAGCCGATGAGCCGGAGATGCCTACCACCTTGCGCGAACGATGTCGTTTCGGGCCATCCCAGTCTCCATTCCGATCCTCGCCTTCTGCTAGGGCAGCCAGGTCTCGTTTGGCGCTGCTCACTCCGATTGCTGGGGTTGGGTAGACACATTCGCGCCCGGATGATTCGCACGCGCGGCAGGTTGTATCGATGCCGGCATTGACGCACTTGATTTTACTGCGTCGGCATCGAGCGCAAGCGATGCTGGACCGCATGGTGTATTGGATAGATCCGAGGTCTGCAGATATGCGACGAGTCGATTTTTGGCAATCGCAATTCTCCCATTTACCGTCGGTATCGGGTCACACGCTATTTCTTTTTGCGGGGGAAGAATCTCGGGGGAATTAAGCGAAGGCGCGTTTGGTTTCTATAATAGTCAGCTTTGTATATACCGGGGACTACCTAGGTAGCTTGGAAACTTACTAGATATCCCTAAAGTGAAAGGAAAAGAGAAAAGAGGGAAAGAGCCAAGGGAGAAGAAGAACGGAATTGGCGGAGTGTGGGGGAAACTCAAAAGAGTCGGGGCACCGGACCGGGAGAAACTGTCGGGAGGGAACGGGGAATGTCTCGACCGGGGAAATATGAGAGAGAAAGCTGGAAAAAAAAAAGAGAAGAAGGGAAAGGGAAAAATCCAAAAAAAAAAGAAAAGCCGAGAAAATCAAGAGCCGCTGAAATTGCGGAGGGCCCCAAAGTATGCAAGGACGCGCTTTTTCGTGGAGGTGGAGCCCCCCAGTTTCCGGCTGCCGATTTACGTTTCTCCGTATTAATGTGGTGATATTATATCACATTTAGTATAGAAAATATAGAAAATCTTGAATTATTTAGATTTAACTATAAAAATACCTTCTATACAAATACATATCTCATGTTACAATCCCTTATTTATCCAGTATATACCTTCTCGGCACGGGAAACACCCTGAGGCCTGAGCGGCCTACATAGGAAATATACCCCATTCTTACAATCCAAGGCTCTGATCTCATGATCGTCATCTCGCATCTCTACCCGACTCGGGCTCAGCTCACGGTCCGAAAATAAAGAAGAAAAAAAAGAAAAGTGCAATCTGGCCTGTCAAGTAGGACATTGTCTTCACTTCCAGACCAAATCCAGATCCAAAACACCCGGACTGGCTGGAATAACAATACCCATCCACTCGCCGGTCGATTGTCCTCCGGCCATTTTCCGGCATTTTTCCTCCAGGGCCATGAGGATTAAGTCACAGTGGCCTAAATCTGGGGGATCGGTGGATTTGGGACATCATACCTACAATGTTGTACATCCTGGTTCCATCGCCGCCTAGAACTCTATACATACAAGGGTACAAAAGTACCAATTTGCCTCTACCTAGGTAATTGACTAGGTCTACCCCGTGACAGCTGATGGCCGATCGGCATTTGTCTGGGCGGGAATCCATACACCGTCTCTTCCCGCGTCGGGAACACCACAATAGGCAAGCGGGACAAGTGTGCGCACAGATGGGGGTATTCTCGGAGAGTACAGCGAGAATCCAGAATTTGCGAGTAGAAAAAGAACGGGGAAAACCGAAACTCCACCAGATGCCCAGAAAACCAGTGGACCGGACCATAAGGCTTTTTTTCCCACATGGGTTTTTTCTTTTTCCCCAAGAGGGGTATCTCGGCCCATTTGGATCCCTCGGGTATAGCCTGGTCCCCAGAACATGGATGACCTGCAATTCACACAGAGCCTATCAACCTGGGGGAGAAAGGGATATAGCATCCAATCAACGGTTTCTAAGAACCCTGGTCGGGGCTCCCCGCAAACAAGCGAGATCCTAGATCCTCACGGGAGTTACATTGAAAGTTACCCTGGAGTTGATTGGCGTCGGCTGTGACCTTTCATCTCTCACCCCGTATTCGATGGTCTCCGTGTGACGTTCCTACAATGTGGGCTGTTGGTTGTGTTTGTCCCCCCGCTTGCCAACCCATCACAGGTGGAAGAATCGGGGAAGGGATCAGGTCGCTCGGCAGAGGGTCGAATGAGCTGCCATCCCTTCGGAAGAACACGCATATTTCACGGGATGGGGAATTGGACTGACTCGACCAGTCCTTACTCCGTACTTCTGCTGCCATCCTTATACTCCGACAATTTGGTCCTATTCATGTGTAAAAGCAAACAGGCCGAGGCCGACTGCATCGGGGATCAGAGGCTTTTGTTTCATCCATTGCGGAGTACGGAATCCATACCTGTGTAGTTCCGAGGTTATACACATGCTCAAGAAGGTCGCACATCGGAAAAGTTCATCCACCGAGTTTTTCCCCGGTCACATTTCGGCCCCGTCCGATACTACGATTGGACCGCAACCTCCGAGGCGCCAGCGATTGGACCCCGGATAACCCCGCATTTACTTTATATTAGGTAAGAAGTTCTAGTTGGGGGTCTGTTCCGAGGTTTCTTTTTGGTTTTAGACCTATAGAGTAGTATCTATATCGTATAGTAAGGGAGACTTAGAGTAGTATTTATATGGTATAGTAACTTTAGAAGGGAGAGGGCACCAATAGTCATGTGCCCAATATACCCATGTCCAGTAAATCTCCGACCTTCTTGGCTTTTTTATATTGTACCCCAAGTGGATAATAGTGGGGAAGCTTAAAAAGGAAACTGAACAGTTTTCATGACATATACCTGATTAACAGTGCATACCCCGTACTGCTACTGCTACACTGTCCTTCCACATTCTTGGTTCTCAACCCCACATATGGAGTAGCCTCTCAGGTGACAAAAATTAATAAAGGAAAGTCCTTTGTTCATCTTTCCAAGGTTTTCCTGCTAACTTTCCCAACTTGATATTATCCGAGACATCCCGTGCCGCCGGAATACCGTTCGATTTAGAAATAGTCCAATCCAATTGATAATACTAAACAAGCCTCCAGCGCCATAGTGGCTTTAAATATTATTTCGTTCCAACGAAAACCGACGGTCGGGACCATATCCCTTTTTTCCCTTCCATCCCTGTCCCTTTTCGGCGCGGAGCAGTTACCGACCACATGTGATTCGTCGACACGTGGTTCGCACTAAGTTTTTGAGATCATCCATATCATGATGAGTTATTCCGTACTCCGTACGGAGTACTCTACGTGGGTTAAAAGCCACATTTCTAATTTGCATAGGCTAAACACTTCCAGAAAAGGAATCCAAGACCCGGGGAGATGCCGGATTCCACTATTCCACTCGGTACGGAGACTCCGCAGTAAAAATGAAAAGGATTCAAAAGAATAAGCCAGGAACCAGCCCTCCCCACATCGGCTCGGTTAGAAACATCGGTGGGATACCGAGTCTCCCGAGTCCGGATTTGGATAGCCTACCGTGCAAGATTGTTTAGCCCGATAATTCCCCGATGGCTAAAGTATGTTGTTTTCCAAGGTTGTACCTTAATATACTGTGATATTAGCATAATTGTACACTGCTTACTCGTCGGCTGTATTGCGTCTGGTGACTTTCTAAATTCGTCGGGAATTCAGTCCCGAAAGCCCTGCCAATCCCCACTCCCCGGGTGGCAACTTACCGGGTTAGTCAGCTTTCTTTTTAGCCTGATCTATCAGGCTGGTTGTATGAATACACTCTTGTTCGGCTATTTAGTTTTTTATTATTTTTTTGAAATGGATTAATGCGAAAGTTGTGGCATAACCAGTCAATTTCGTCTATAAAGAAGGAAAAGAAATAAAATGCGTCCGACATAGAAAGCACCGCCAGAGTGGGTATATTATGAGCGATCATAATAAAATCCAAAAATAAGTCAAATAAACATGATATAGAGAAGAGAAATAATAACCAAAGAATTCCCGGGATTGGGACGGTAAATTAGAAGATCGATATCGTATCGTCAACGAGGACCCAGCTCGATGACTATAATGAGTGTCAGGGTTTAAACGAAGAACCTAGAGACGCAATCAGTAACGGACACTCGTCAACCATCTGTAACAAACACATACCAAGCCGCAAGAGCGATGATCAGATACATCATCATCAACAAGACACCCTCGAGCCAGTGAGACTTGCCATCACCGATGAGGTAGTTGACCTATGGAACAACGTCAGTACAATGAGATCGCTTTCTCGCCACGAAACGAATATACTTACCAATAGAACAGCCATGAACAGTACAATCACCTGGAATCCATCGAAGTTGAGGGTCTATCACAGTTAATACCAGCCACGAAATCCAAATTAATCTTTTGCGTAGGGCTCATCCATACCATATCGTCAACACCAATAATCCACCCAAGAACAACAATGAGCGGCAATACAAGCAGCGCAATCTGCATACTGGAACCGACAGCGACACCAATCGCAAGATCCATCTTATCCTTGCATGCGACTGTCACCGCCGTAGCGTGCTCAGCCGCATTACCGACAATAGGCAGAAGGATCAACCCGACGAACGTCTCGCGAATGTCACCAGTAGCCGTCAAAGCATCGATGGATTCAACCTGCATAGATGTATGAGCTTACTGCAATCACACAAAGAAAGAAAAAAAGGCTCTAGAACAGATCTGGGAGAAAAGCGCAGATACATACCATGAACTCAGCACACGCAGCAACAAAAGCAGTCGAGATAATCAGCGTGAGAACGGCACTCGTAATGGACAACTGCGGCTCCTCGGGTGCATCCTGGACGTCTTCCATCTGCATGTGGTCGGGATTCTGTCCGACCAAGGGCGTGGCGGTCATTTTGCCGATCTGCGCGATGCCCCGGCTAGCATCGCCTTCGCCGACCTTTACGTTCCGCCGTTCGACCTTCTCGCTGGGCCGGTTGTACATATCGGCGTGTGACTTCAGCTGGAAGAAGAGGTAGCAGCCGTACACGATTAGAAGGAGGACGCTGGTGCCTGTGGTGTGGTGTGAGTAAGAAAACAGGTAAAGCTATAGACACAGACGGGCTGGAAAGTTCCAGGAAGGAACGTACCTCGGGACAGAGCGGCAGTTCCGTCTACTTTCTCAACTATAATCAAAGTTCTTGTTAGCTCTCATCTCTCGGGGGTCTGGGATGCGGTCATGACTAACGATTAGACCACTTGTGGTAGGCAGTGGGGATGATCAAACTGCTAACAGCCAATGCGAGCATACTCGCGGCTGTCTGGGCAACTGTCACATTGAAATTTTGCTCTACGCGAGGAATACCACCGAGGAAGAAGGACATGCCCATCACCAGGAGCAGGTTGGACAAAATGCTTCCGATGAGCGAGGTCTGCACGATGAGGGTTTTGCGCTGGACCAGCGCGATGATTGCAACGATTAGCTCGACGGCGTTACTATCTGAGTTAGTAATTGTACTGCGGAAGGAGACAACGAGTATAAAGCATACCCGAATGAGGCATTCAGCAGACCACCGATTGTTTCACTCGTGCTAGAAGAGATATAAGCATAGGTCAAATAGAATCAGATACATTGAAGCATACCGAATGGCAATCTCTTCAGTTGCGAAACTGAGCATGGCAGCAAGAGGACTAGTAGACGTTTGTTAGCCGTAAGATCCTCGACAATAGCTAGCGGTATAAATCACTCACATGATAGCAATGAAGTTAACCACGAAGACCGCAATCGGATTAGCTCCAACGGCATAAAGCGCAACTGTGCACAAACATAAAATTAGAACGCGCACTTTCATACATCAACAGCCGACAGAAAGAGCAAGACATACTTCCAACAGGCGCAGCAATCAAAAGAACATTGATCCACGAGTTCAAGATAGTAGCCCTTAACTGCGAGGCAAAAGTAAAGGTCTGTTTATCCGACTGCGACTTCTTATCCTCCAACTCATCATTATCATGGCGATTCTTGAACTTGCCCAAGATGCCACCCTTCCGCTGACGCGCTTGCGCAGATCCAACAGTCTCAGTATCAACCCCACGCACCGACGAGACATTGATTGGATCCTGGCTAGCCATGGACGGTTCAGGCGGAGACTTGTGTGTTTCATGGTCGCTGCCAGCGAACTCCGGCGGGAATGTGTTCGAGTACTCGGGAACGCTAATGCCGTCCTTCATTTCCTCTCGGCGGTGCTGGTCCGCCGAGAGCTCGTCCATGGTCTGGGTGTGGGATAGTCCATCCTCGAGCTGCATAGAGTTCGATCGATTGGGCCTGATTGGGCCGCGCTTTTGGAATGGGTTGAAGGAGGGGCCGTACCATGCTGACACGCGGGCCGCTCTGCGAATTTTATCTAGTTGTATTCTTAGTATGGTTGGCCAGTTGACATGTTGAGTATGCATAAATGTTGGACTTACGCATGATGGTGGTGGATTGAGGTGAGGGTCTGTGGAGAAATGGATTCGTGAGTAAGTGTGATCTTGCGAGAGATGTTTAAATATTTAAAAAAGAACAAAGCAACAGCGGTTGGGAGAAAAGAGGCGAACAGTGAGGTTAACTTTGGCCCAATTGGTGATACGAGCCACAACGTGGCTTGGACCTGCGACGCCTGCGACGGATGCCTATGAGAAGGGCTAGGGGAACACGTACTGGCTAAGAGTTTCGAGATGTGGGTAACTCAGCTGGTTCACAGGCTGAAGCGAGCGATTACGGCAGTCTAAGCGCTAAATTTGGACGAGCCTCAAGATACAGCCACAGCAGGATGATGAATGGCGGATCCAAGATGTTTAAAGGAGATTCAAACAATGGCACGCGAACAGGGGAACGGTGAGAGTCGCGCTCAAGCAAGGGGTAGGCGGGGAAATCAACAAAGACCAAACGAGTGATTAATATGAAACGAGGACGGTGGGAAAGAGAGCAAAAGGAGTGACTCGAAAATGGAGGGATAGATTTGTCTGGTAACAATTTTCTGGGTTTCTTTAGAAACAGACTTCGAGAAGAGTTGAAAAACACAGCCACACTAATCCGTACGCCGGGGCGATCGTGATGGTGCGTACTCCGTATTGTGGTGCGTATAGTGTGTATAGTGGAGTAAATATGTACTATGAGCTTGGCGTTCAAGAAAAGCGAGCTCGGATCGCAAGACTGGTTGGTATAAAGTAGGTGGTAGTTGGCAAAGAACCAGTCAGAATAAATATTTGTTTCAAGCCCAGTTCTATTAATTGTTGCGCAGACTGCGTCAGATATCGTGAAATCGTGAATGTTGATGCGCTGGCTGGATCCATGAAACTCCAGCGCCACTCAAAAACCTTGGAACCGAAAGCTTCGTCAGTGGAAGCTTTGCTCCTTTGTGCTTGGGTGACTTGGCATAAACTTGTTTCTTTGAGATCGTCGGCATTCTGCAGTCTTCAAATAGCATGGTCACACCGCATCTGATGAATTTCCTCGGGCATCCCTGCAGATATTGACATACGATGTAGCGGTGCAATCGTGGCTCAGAGAGAGACCGGGCCACAAATATGGGTCTTCCGTTGATTAGGGAAATTTCCTCGAACACAAATTGTGTAGGGGGTTTTGACCCGCTCTTGGCAGTGTTTTTGGTCAAATCAAGTCTCAAGTACTCGTATTGATTTCCACATCAGGCATGAACGCCACAACCCCCTTTTCCTTTATGTTATGGTGCGGGTTGTGTCCCGTCAAGCCAGACGCATAATGAAACAATCACGTGTTAGTTTTCCAAGGTTTGGTTTTCTGGGTTGGTTGGTGCCCTTGTAAGCGCGGGGCAGCGCCAAGGACTCTCGTGTTCACCTAAGCAGGTGCCCTCGGCCCCGGGGAGCCTTGGAGGTGCTCTGGGAGGGGGCACGCTCCCTCAACAAGGGATTGTAATCCTATCATCAGACAGTTGGTGTCTATATTGACACTTGTTATAGGCCGGCTCTTCGTGATGAGGTCGTGATCAATGATCAATTCGGCCTCCGGCAGGTTCTGCGGACGTCGGTGGCTTGGGCTTGCCCTTTGACCTGCAAAGGTAAATGGCTGTCGTCATCCCGCAGAAATATATCCATGAGCACTCAGCTCACTTAGCTGCGCTGCCGACGTGGTGTCACTTTCCCAGTTCTGTTGCGTTGGTTGGTGTTTGTGGTGTAAGATTTGCGGTCGGGTTGCTGAAGCGAAATGAGGCAGAGTGAGAAGCAGAGTCAGACAGAGCAAAAGGGAAGTCAAGAGCCTCAAGTTAAATGGTAGATGGTATACAAAGTCACAGAAAAGGAAAAAAAAACTCAGCCCTATGAATTTCCGGGGCATCTCAAGTGCCCTTAAAATAGTTGCTGCCTACGTCGCGCTAGCCACTTTGAGCCATGCTGACTTTCAGTTCCTCTCCAGCCCTAGAGGGCTTTATGTCGATAAGTAACTTCATTTGGGATATTTGTAGTTAATATTATCCACATTCTCTGTCTCTAAAAACAGAATATAGATCACGCTATTTGGACGTTTGCTTATTAGAACGTGTGCAGAGTACCCCATATCACCTGCGCAGCTAGTAGTATTCGCAGATGAAGGCGCTTAGGCTTATGCTCACTGACTACGGAGTACCTATATCCCCATCTTTCCGCATTGAATATCACTAGTTGAAGTACACCACGATCTTATCCCCGTAACTACGACGTTCCAAGCGTTGGCTGATGATAGCGAGATGAAAAGGGTGTTAACTCTCGCGTTGCTCTCAGGATTATATGATCTTGCTAACCCCAGAGGTCCCATACCCGTGGACACTAACGAGGTTCGGGCGTTGATTAGCCCATAATTCTTGCTCCTTCTCTAATAGCACGAACGGGCATCCTTTACAAGACGCTTATAAAATGTCTATCCGCCGTTGGAGACGGTGTAGATGTTAGCATCGCACATAGTATTACCCGAGCATACTGGCTTGATCTAGCTTCCGGCTATAACGACGCCGAGTTAAACAACCGTATTCTGGACTTCAGAAATGACGTCTCATTCGCAGGGGCAGGTCGATCCTTTGCAAGGGTGTGGAGCGCGTCTGTGTCCGGGACAGAGGCCCTCTTATACACATGATATGTTCAACGTTTATCGCGGTATATGTTGTAGATAGTAAAGGGGGATCAGTCTCTGTTAGTCCATGGAGCAAACATAAACATGTACCTCACAGCAAGCCAATCCTCGATAGTTTTGTCATAGCCCCAATGTCTAGAAAATGGCTCATACTAATAACGAAGCAAAACATCCACTCCGACTCCATACCAAGCGGACTATTAGGTCGCCAAAAAGCTTGGTAAAGCAAAATGCCATGAAGCCCCGAACGGGAGGGGATTGACTTTCTAGTATGGAGTATATCGTCTGCTAGGGCCCGCTTTTGACGTGATCCATGATATTCAGGGGTGCATATACTTTGTACCCCTGAGCTGCACTGCCTACAAAGTAGTTCTGGTCTCGAATGGTGTAGTCTGCGTTGGGCTGTTGTACCCCGTAGAGTGCCGTTTTTTTTAATAGAAAAAGACCCTGGCTATACCATTATTCCCATGAAAAGAGGGCCATGGTAACCTAACGGGAAGAAATGTCAGTGCCTGCTGTGCCGTCTGATCGCCCATCCAAATTTGAGAATGTTATGGATATCGATTGGTTTTTCAACGAGTTAATGGGAAATCAATAGAAGGTTACTAAATTGTACAGTATACGTGCCATAAGATGTTAAGCTGCTGTACAATAGTCAATTATAGCCTTGTTGGATCTAAGAATATCATAAATCATTGTAGATGCGAGTTTCAAAATGAAACATTGTCCCGAAATGCCTACAACATAAGGGGGACGTTCTCCGTATATTGTACGGAGTGCCTACGCATGTACTCTATTACCAGTCTAACCATAAGTCCAGACCATGATTTGAGACGGGATTGCAGTTTACTAATTCTTATATTTCTGATTAAGTGCTATTACGATGTACAAGCCTTAGCCAAGGACGCCTAGAGATTCATTCCGAACGACGTCATCGCATTGATCGCCCTTGGCAACGAACAAGCTTTCTGGCTTTGGATATCTTTGTCTATTATACAAATACTGTAGGCTTATGTACACCATGTGACCCGTGTTTGAACGAGTTACAAGATGCAATAGAGTAATACCTAAAAAAAAATGAAGAATGAGATTCCACACCACCCTCCAGTCAGGGTCTCCCAGGGTCTTTGGGGCGTCATCAGCCGTCCACGGGCTCACTAGCGCATACACTTGTTTCAGGGGAAGTGGCAAATCAGCAAAGTAGTCAACGGGAAAGGCTTGATGGAAGGGAATAGTGGAGGGATATTGAGGAATAGTGGAGAGAAGTGGAAAAAGGTGGAGTATAGTGGCCAATGACGGGGGAATATCAACTTCTGCCATTCCGCGTTTCTTTTGATATGGTCCAAGTGGATTGCCAATCACATCTTTCAGTTGATTTACCAAAAAACAAACTCAATAAAAATAGAAAAGAATAAACCAATGTACGATGATATGCAACTGATATATCCACATGAATGCGCGTACCCCCTTGGGCCCTCCTCCACTTCCCCCTTCCATGGTCTCTTTTCTTCTCCTCCCTTCCTAGATTTCTTCTTTCTTTTTCTTATTTTTCTTATTTACATTCACTATCACTAAAGACGGTGTGTACCCGTCAGACATTCCTTAAGATTTCAATTTCCTTGCACAATGAAGGCCTCTATCATCGCTGGTCTCTCCCTTCTGGGAGCGGCCATGGCTGCCGACGCTCCCTCTATTGAGATCAAGGGCAAGAAGTTCTTCTACTCCAACAACGGCACCGAGTTCTTCATCCGTGGTGTCGCCTACCAGCCCAACTTCACAGGTCGCAACGGTGCTTCCGGCACGGACTCATACACCGACCCGCTGGCCATCGACAGCTGCAAGCGTGATATTCCCTACTTGACCCAATTACGCACCAATGTTGTCCGTACCTACGCCGTCGACCCCAGCAAGGACCACGACGAGTGTATGAACGCTCTCGCTGATGCCGGCATCTACCTGATCACCGATCTGTCCTCGCCCAGCGAATCTATCCAGTCCGACGAACCTACCTGGAACTCGGATCTCTTCACTCGCTACTCCCAGGTCGTCGATGCCTTCGCCAAGTATCCCAACGTTATCGGCTTCTTCGCCGGAAACGAAGTCGCCAACAAGGTCAACAACACAAACTCCATGGCATACGTCAAGGCCGCCGTCCGCGACATGAAGTCCTACATCAAGCAAAAGAATTACCGCAGCTCCCTCGCTGTTGGCTACGCCACCGACGACGATGCCAGCGTCCGCGAAGCCGTCTCCAACTACCTAATCTGCGACGAAGCCGCCGACTCCATCGACTTCTTCGGCTACAACATCTACGAGTGGTGCGGCGACTCCAACTTCCAGGAATCCGGCTACTCCGAGCGCACCAAAGAATTCGCAGACTACCCCGTCCCCGCCTTCTTCTCCGAGTACGGCTGCAACCAAGTCCGTCCCCGCAAGTTCACCGACGTCCCCGTCCTGTACAGCGACAAGATGACCGACGTCTGGTCCGGCGGCATCGTCTACATGTATTACGAAGAAGCCAACAAATACGGTCTTGTCTCCGTCGACGGCGATAATGTAAAGACCCTCCCAGACTTCAGCAACCTCTCCAAGCAAATGGCCTCGGCAACCCCGAGCGGCGTGGAATCAGCAAAGTACTCCGTCTCCACCACTGTCGGCCGCAGCTGCCCCACCATCGGCGCCGACTGGAACGCCGCCAGCAAGCTGCCCCCTTCGCCTAACGCTGATCTCTGCGAGTGCATGTACAGCTCCCTCGAGTGTGTCCCCAACTCCGATATCACCGACAAGCAGATCGGAACTACTTTCGGCTACCTCGGCAGCAAGGGTGTCATGGACGGAGTCGAGTCCAACGCTACTTCTGGTACCTACGGCGCTTACTCCATGTGCTCTGCTAAGCAGCGTCTGGCCTGGGCTATGAACGTTTTCTACCAGAAGAACAAGGGCAAGGCTGGTAGCGAGGCTTGTGGCTTCAATGGTGTCGCTAAGACTCAGAAGTCTAGCTCTGCTTCTGGCTCCTGCGCTACTCAGATGAGCGCTGCTGGCACCGCTGGTACTGGTGTTGTCAGCGGTGGTCTTGCTGCTAGCACTGGCGCTGGTGCTGGTGCTTCTGGCACTTCTGCGGGTGGTGCTACCTCGTCTGGTATTGCTGCTGGCACTGTTCCCCAGGCTGTGCACATTGGTGTCTGGCAGGCTGGTGCCTATGCCGTCGCTGCTGTTGCCTCTGGTGTCTTCATGATCATGCTGTAGACTTGTTGAGAGACTTGTTTGCATATTCATGATTTAGACTTGTCTTTTGTTTACTCGCTGTCTTATATAGCCCCCATCCAAGTTAGATTTGTGGGTTTGGCTTTTTTTTTTTTGTAACATTGTTTACACATACTATTTTAAACTGCTAGCAGGTGTTCTATTATCCCGGATACTACTTCAAAATCCACTGTTGATGTTATTTTAAACAAATCTTCTTTTCCTAGTTTGTATTTGGTAGTTACAGGTGTAGATGGGCTACAATATGTATGTATAGATCTTCCACCTGGGCAGTCAGAATTCAATTGCGATAACTGTCGTTTTCTTGATTGAGGTATCATCAATTAACCGTGCCAAGCGCCCAATACACCTGCCGGGTATTGGTGCGCCCCAGCAGATGCAAGATTTTCACCAGATGCAAAATCTAGAAATTAGGTATCTTTTGTATGACTTACCTATACAAAAGGTACTTAGGCACCCCGTTGGCATAACATACATTTTCTCAGCCCTCAAACTAGTTAGGGAAGATATAAGAAGATATATATAGTGTAAAGGAAGTCTGTATTATTTAACCAAACTTTGGTACGGAATATTAAGTATACTAAAATAAAGAAAGTATCTAGTATATTTCTACCACATAGCCTTCATAGTGTCATTTTTTTAAATTATTATTCTTCTTCCATATTAGATACTAAGAATTAATACTACCATTAAAATAATTAAGCTAGACTTGCACTATATATTCGTACACTTTCTATTACTTTAGCTAGTTCGAGCGCTGAGAAAATGTATGTTATGCCTACGGGGTGCCTAAGTACCTTTTGTATAGGTAAGTCATACAAAAGATACCTAATTTCTAGATTTTGCATCTGGTGAAAATCTTGCATCTGCTGGGGCGTACCAATACCCGGCAGGTGTATTGGGCGCTTGGCACGGTTATATATATTTGCAATTCGGTTTTTTGCTTCCATTTTCGCGACCGCTCATTGGCTGTTAGGCTTGCTGCCACTCTACTTGCCGCGTCGACAGTGCTCTATAGGAGCGTAGAGGTAGCGGCCTCCTCGCATTTTTTTTATTTAATATTTAGTCTTATTCTAATAAACTGGCGAACCCTCTAATACTTTTTTTTTTAGTAGAGGGAGGCCGGCCCATAGGGCTGGCCCGAGCTTCTTGTGTAATTATATAGTTAGTATTTCATGTTATCACCTGGTCATTGACTTCGGGGGCCATCTTGATAGCTCATGGAACACAACAATTGGCTTAAGCATGCCCAGATGACATTCTGCAATTTTCCTGCGTCCTCACTTTCCATTTTTAAAGCGCTCATCTCTCTTTTCAATGTAAAACTGAGCACGTTCATCGGGAGAAGGTGACCCCCGGGGGCCGCAAGCTGTCTACTCCACATACAAGGCTTGGAAAGTTGCTCCCGAGGTATATCAGATGTACTAATTAAGATTTGCATTAGTCTATCTAAACATCATAGACCCATGGCTATATCCCGCCCCCAAATTTTGCAGCTTGCTTCTCTAAAATAAACACACCCAGAAAACAACTAGTTCCAATCAAATCGAAAATGATAGGTGCCTCCCAAAGAACGAGATCCATTCCAACATACAAGTACATTGTTAGGTAAATTATACCTACCGTCTATCTCTATGTCGTATTTTCCTCCTAGGTATATTCACTCCTCAGGACGCATACAAAGAAAACGTAAAACAACGCTCGCAGACGCAAATGTAACTTTTTCGCCAAAACCAACAGCGATTAGTTAGCGTCCTCGGGGAAGTACTCTTCGAGTGTTTTCAAGACGCCCTTTTCAGAGATGTCTTTCATGGCCTGTCTCATCTCATTGGTGAACCTGGCATATCCGCGCAAGTCGTCGCCGAAGAGGCTCTTGATTTTAAGCAGCCCGTCGGGGCCATCGCCATCCTCAGCCGCAGCCAGGAGCTCGTCAAGCATGGGATCAATGACCTTGAACTTATTGCCGTGGTCATCGACGCCTTTGATATAAAGGAACCAAGAGGCCGCGACGAAACACAGGCGGCGGAAAGGATATTCACATTGATGCTTCTGACTCTCCATAATCGCCTCGGCAATCGACGGCATAATAAACTGGGGGATCTTGCCGGACGCATTGAGGCAGACGCGGGGCAGTTGATCTTGGATTTGGGAGTTGGAGAAGCGCTTCATGAGCGTTTTACAATACTCGTCGATGTTGACGCCTGGAATTTCGGGCAAGAGCGGCTTCACCTCCTGTTGCATCATCTCCCACACCAACTTGCGCAACTGCGGGTTCTGCATAACTTCGTGGACGTATTTGAAGCCGGCCATTTGGCCTGGGTAGCCGATGGCCGAGTGGCTGCCGTTGAGCAGACGGAGCTTGTGCTTCTCGAACTGCTCGACGGCGTGGACATTCTTGACAACCTGGACACCGACCTTCTCGAAGTCTGGGCGGCCGTTGGAGAACTGGTCCTCGATAACCCATTGCATAAAGGGCTCTGTAACGACGGGCCATGAGTCCTCAATTCCAAACTCCTTCGCTAGTGTAGCTTTGTCCTGGTCTGATGTCTGAGGTGTGATGCGGTCGACCATGGCGTTGGGGAAGGCGCCTTTCTCGTCAATCCAATCCGCGATCTTAGGGTCGCGCAAGCGCGCAAATGACACTAGCATGTTGCGTGTGATGGAGCCGTTCTTCTGCATGTTATCGCACGACATGACGGTGAAGGGGTCGCGTCCTTCATGGTAGCGTCGTGCCAAGGCAGCGTAGAGGAAGCCGAAGGTTGTGGTCGGTGCGTTCTCGTTGCCTGGTTTGATATCGGACTGGATATCGATGTGTTCGCTTATCAGCTCGTGTGTGTTTTCGTTGTAGTAGTAGCCGCTTTCGGTGATGGTGAGCGACACAATACGGGTATCTGGGTGGGCCATCTTGTTGATGACGGCTTTGCGGTCGTCAGGGGCAAAGAGGTAGGAATTGATGCATCCAACAACGTGGGCAAGGGTTCCTTTGTCAGAGCGCTCCATGACGGTGTAGAGGTGGTCCTGCTCTCTCAGGACATCCCGCATGGCAGCATCGAAGGGTTGCAAGCCAACGCCGCAAATTGCGTACTTATTCTCGCCATGCTTCTGCATCAATTGGTCGACGTAGACAGCCAGATGAGCTCTGTGGAAGCCGCCCACACCAATGTGGACGATTCCCTCCTTAACGTCGGCATTGCGGGCGATATTGCGTTCACGGTAGATTGGGATTTGGATCGGCCCCTTGCTTGCGTTCTTGATTTTTGCCAGGTTCCTGGTACTGAGCTTTAGGGCTGCCATTGTGATCAGAGGGATTGAAAAAAGAGTAGGCTTGAGAAAAGATGAAAGATTTACGGCTGAATCGACCAGCGTGTGAGGGTGACCGCTGGTTTTGACCGCTGATCCTGGAAAATACCGTGGGCGAATATTACATCATGTGGCCTCAAACCGCCACCCCTGAAGGTGTCCACCTTCCTGAGACTGCAAAGAGCCATATGGAATAGTCCTTTGACATCTGATTAGTTTGCTTTTGGGAGTGGACCAGTCTGTTCCCAGCTTTGGAAAGTTGTGACCGTCTAATAATAAAAAGCGCCTTGCGTCAGAGCTGTCCGCATCCGATCTCGGGGGCCGAGAACGTTCTTCTGCCGATGCACTGGCCCCTTTCGGGAATTTTGTTATGCTCTCGGGATTCTTTTTAAGTCAAGACAAGACATGGCATGGGGTTTCCCTGTACGGAGTAGAGCTGAAGTATGAAAACTCAGACGGACTGACAACTACAGTTCATATGTTCATACCAATTCTGTGAGATCATAGCTGAAATGGGAAAGCCCCACCCGAGGGAAATCCGGTCTGGAGTTGCCACTTTTGATTTGATTTGGAATGAAAAGAACAGTTATAGATCATTATTATGCATCTTATTTCAATGTTCTTGGTAAGATGGCCGAGTTGGTCTAAGGCGCCAGGTTAAGGTATACCTTGACTCCATAACTAGCAATAGTTTCCTGGTCTCGCAAGAGGCGTGGGTTCGAATCCCACTCTTATCATAACTTTTTCTTTTTTTTCCCCCCTATTTCCTTACATTCCTTACATTATAGGAGGCAATCTTCATTGAAGAATATATAAAGAGTCGTGAATGTAATTTACCATACATGGTCACAACTCCAAATCTACATATGCGGGATGCTGGACAACCAATTCGGAGTAATGTAAGAATCGGCCGGAAGGGCCCTCAACGACAAGAGCATTAGCGCAAGGGTCCCAAAACATGCTATAAAGTGCAGATACAAAGATCCATCGGCAAGCACAATCTCAAATTGTGACGTGAGAATTCCGACCCCTAGGCTGTCCATGTATGAAGGGAGTAGTTTCTTTCCCGCGAGCCACACATCGATGAGAGGCCCGTGGGCAACGCCCAGTGGGGTGAAGGACGATGAAGGCGCAAGTAACGTGAAAATACGCCACACTATCCTTTTAGTTTCTGTGGGGAAGATAAAATTCCATCTTCGATTTTTGGGTACAGCCCCGTCCAGACCAATGTGGGAATATATATCTCACTTACCCTGCAACATGAATCCCAGTAAAGGAAATAGCAAACGTGCCAAAGACAGCAATTAAAGCTTTCCCACCATGAGATAATCGTATTGCATTATCTTCACTAGGAGACGGAAACCGCGCTGGTCCATCGGCAAAGAAAAAAAGTGAAACGCCTAAGCTATCCTTTGGAGCGGGCGGAGACGTAGCTGACCCAGGTAAAATTTGGAAGCATGCGTACCATTCTAAGCCAATAATGCAATATCCTTGCAGAGTGATACACATCCTTGCTAAATGAACCCCCTGAAATATTATTATTATCTATATTGTCATCTGTAGTAGGTTATGCAATCAAACGAATATTAGACACAAAGCGAATGGATGGGAAGAAGATGGCTGGTTCAGAGATCAGAATTCTAAACTGCAAGAGGAGCCTTTGAAGGTATGGACATGAAGAGAAGCTGATTGAAATTACTGGATGTCTACCATTATCCAAATTTCATGAAACAAATGCGCCCTGAGTGGCATCCTAGGGCAAGTGTCTTGTCTTTAACCGCCGAACGATAAGACAGAGCCTCAGGAGGGAGCCATAATAATTCATTCCCATTCAGAATTATCCACTGTTCCCCCTCCATTGAGATCCTTGGATTCGACTGAGATGATTCGGATTCACAATACCCATATCCGGAGTGAAAATCGAAGGATTCCATATCAGCTTTTAGACATGAGTCGTTATCAGAAAATGTCATATCCATCACATGTCCCTTGGTTGTCAAGCACTGTTGTAGGGTGTATGTCGAGGTGTCCCAGAGTTGGACTGTGGGGCCAAGGGAGGCAAGGGAGGCAAGGGAGCCGCAGGCTAGTAGCTGGCTATCTGACAAAAATGCGAAAGATGTAATTGCCCGTTCAAAGACCCCGAGAGTCTGTATTAAGGCTCCTGTTACGGTGTCCCAGAGTCGAAACATGAAGTCATAGGAGCTGGTGGCTACTAGGCGGCCGTTGGGGGAGAATGCCACCAAGTCAACCATCTGTGGATGCTTGAGAGTATGGTGTACGACCCCTGTTACAATGTCCCAGAGTTGAGCTGTGCGGTCACGGGAGCCGGAGCCTAGTAGCCGGCCGTCTGGCGAGAATGACACCGAGCTAATATCGTTTGAATGGCCCTCGAAAGTCTGTAGTAGGACCCCTGTGGTGGTGTCTCAGAGCCGAAGTGCACTGTGTCTGTTGCCGAAGGTTAGTAGGCGGTCATCGGACGAGAATCTTAATCTCATTGCGGTAGCTGACTGTGAATGGCCCTTAAGAGTGTATTGTAGGACCCCTGTCGCTGTATTCCAGAGTCGGACTATATCGTTTTCGTAGGTAGAGGCTAGTAGGCGGTCGTCGGACGAGAATACCATCGAGTCAAGTGAGCCTGAATAGTCATTTAAAGTGTGTTGTCGGACCGCTATCGTGGTGTCCTAGAACTGGACTATGGCGTCATGGGAGCCGGAGGCTAGGCGGCCGTCGGGCGAGAATACCACCGAGGTCACACAACGTGAATGGCCCCCGAGAGTTTGTTGTAGGTCTCCTGTCGCGGTGTCCCAGAGCCGGACCGTGACATCTTCGGAGCCGCAGGCTAGGAGGCCGTCGGGCGGGAATGCCACCGAGGGGTAACTGTAACCGCCGAGATGAAGAGTAGCCGCCGAGAATGCGCCCAAATGACTGTTGTGCACCTTAGTGCAGGATATAGGACCAATCATTGTTCACCATTGCCAAAAGCCGTGCGCAGATAGAGACATTCTTGAGAGAAGGCGAGCTTTTATCAACAGTGCAAGTCTCAATATTAAAACCGAGTTTATGTCCGAAGATGTGATGGTTCTATGATCCCGCTCTTCCGATTTCTGGACTGTCCAACTTAGAATTGTCGGCCCGAGCCGACCGCGTCCAACCATGGGAAAGCTTCTGCCATGCGGCGGAGCAACCTCGAATGAGGGGTTTTTCCGTGCCGGGGCGCGCAGTCTAGGCAGAAAGAGGGATATGAAACCCCTCTCCAGTTCCTGTTGCTATTCTTAGTTCTTTATCCAATCAATCATCCATAACGAGAATTGTATCCACCCTGTACTCGCTCTCGTAACCTCAGCCCGTTGTCAATTTTTGCCTAGGACCGATTTGAAACTTCGTGTTTGCTTTGCTGCAGCCCCACCCGCGCGCTTCGAGCCTCATCAAATTTGATACCTCATGATTAAGGAACCGTGGCGCAGACCCCAGGACGAAATGAAAATCTTGGTTTTGAATAGGTTTCTGTGCTCGTAGGTAGCCGAGGTGACCATGTGAGGAGCGCAGTTGTGAAATGTATGTCGAAAGAGAGGTGTATATTTGAGGTGATTGGAAGGCGTCGAAGCTCGGTCGAGAGGCAGACGGTGGGCGTCAACGTAGTAGAGATGAAGAGTGGTTAGATGAGGCAGGTGCGGGTTGATGAAATTGGGATCTTGATTGATGGAGGGTGGTGCGACAGCTAGGTGCCGAAATGGAGGTGACGGCAGCAAGCCGGAAGGTGAAGAAGTTGCGCGCTGAAATAAAGGATAAAGGTGCTTGGAGGATCGCAATGAAGAAGTTATAGCGTTTCTGAGGGCCCATTGCCTGTCAAGAGCGGACCACAGGAAACATCGCATTGTAATACGTTAGAAGACTTCCTTGTATGTCACCTTTTAGACCCTCGCGCTGTAAAACCATAGTTCCAAATTCCCTATATACAATCTACCGAAATGAACATGTCCTGACAGGGAGATATTCACAACCAGAGGTCATGTCCTATATCTCGCTGCCATGCAATATAAAACCTCAAGCCCGACTCTGACTTCTAGGATGAATCAAATCCGCCGCGTGCTCCGCAACCGCATAAACAGTAGCCTGAATATTGCCACTTGGCTCAAGCGGGAAAATACTAGCATCAACAACCCTCAAATTCTTCGTTCCGTAAACCTTCAGCTCAGAATCAACAACACCGCCAATCTCCCTCGGCAACATAGCACACGAGCCTGCGGGATGGAAACATGTATACAAGCGATCCTTAACAACATCCTTTGCATGGTCCAAGTCGCTCAAATTGGTCGTATTCTCTGGCATGCGTTTTCCGGCCTTGAGGAGAGCAGAAAATGGCGGTGTCTCGGCAATGCGGTCCACGAACTGCAGCTGCCGGGCCATGATCTCTAGATCAAGGGGGTGCGAGAGTAGGTTTGGGTCGTAGGTGGGCTTGTCTTCACTCTTTCCGGAGGAAATGTGGACCGAGCCGCGCGAGAAGGGGTGGTTGTGCAGCATCATGACGGAGATGTAGTTCTCCGTGAGGGTTTTGGCCAGCACATCGGTGAGGGTTGTCTTTCCTGGGTTCATGTGGAGTTGGGCAGGGAGGAAGAGGTAGTGCGAGGATGGTTCGTCACTTTGGAGAAGCATCTTGCGGATGTGAGAATATTGCGCTTGCAGGTTGGCTGGGGTGTTATCGTCGTCGAGGTATTTGGAGAGCAAGGTGTTAATTTCCTCTTTCGGCACGGCTCCGGTTCCATCCATTAACGGGAGATATGCCATGCTGAGGGGCATGCCTGCAAGCGGACCTCCGCGACTATCCTCGTAGAGGTTGATGAGTGCATTTACGACGTTTGGATCGCGCAAGATATCGCCCGAGACTTGGCCATCCGCGATCTCGAAGTTGATGCTCGTGATGCTGTGGTCTTGAAGGTTCTCGCCCACGGCGGGGTTGTCAATTATTATCGGGATGCCGTGGGTCTGGAGAAGATCTGCACGGCCGATGCCCGAGAGCTCGAGCAATTGAGGGGAGTTTAGGCTGCCTGCGCAGAGGATCACTTCTTCCTTTGCCTTGATCTCGTATGAAGTATCTTGAGTCTTGACCTGCACACCTGTGGCGATGATATCTCCCTCTTGCTGGGTGAAGATAATTCGCTCGACCATTGTCTCTGTGAGAAGACGTAGGTTCGGTCGCGCCGCGACTTCGGGAGAGTAATATGCCGCTGCGTACCCTCTTGTCCCCGCCTTGACATCGACGCTTAGCGGGCAAGTAAAAGCGCCCAGTTTGTGGCCATCAAGAGGATCAGTATCGGTTTCCCAGCCCAATTGCGCAAATGTCTCGTTCCAGGCCTTATTGAAAGGCCCATACACATCTGGCATAGATACGGGTACAGGACCATCACATCCTTGGTTATCAACTTTCATGTACCGACTTGTGCCGAGCAGCTCCGCTGTGGCCTCGCTGGGTGCGGCATACGAGTGGAACTTCCGAAGATAGGGGGCCATATCCTCAGCGCCCCAACCATCATTCCCTAGTGCCTTCCACGCATCGAAATTTGACGCGGTTGGGTACACAATCGCTGAGAAATTCAATGCGGAGGAGCCGCCGACGACGCGACCGCGGGGCTGGCCGATTTGTCGGTTTTTTGCATGGACCTACTCATGAATTAGTAGCTTTGGATACGGGAAAGTGATGTTTAGGGCGGACATACCTGCGGAACGCTCATGTAATCCCAGTCAAAGTCCGGGTTGCCATACATTGTGGCCAAAAATCCAGGGGTCTCAATACGAGGGTCGCCCATCCGATTGGCACCAGCTTCAATGAGGAGGACATTGATGGAGGCATCTTGGCTTAGACGATTTGCCAGAACAAGACCGCCGATTCCAGCACCGATGATGATGTGGTCGTAGTCATGCATTTTCTAGCTTAACAAAGTTTAATTGATATGGAAGGGAAATGACAATTATAGAAATATCGAAATCTCTCAGGAGGGGCAAGAGTGGACTATAATTTACCTTGAAGTTAGCTGTTACCTTGCTAGCTCCGTACTTCGTACTCCATACTCCGTAATTTGTTTAGAAAATCGCTTATATCCCTCAGTGAGGCTAGTCTCCACCCTAGAAATGAGTGAGATTGTATGCTATTTGTTAATAGCCGAGGCAATGGAGACAATAGGGAAAATGGTCTTTGCAAGTTCGACTGGGCCCCAACTAGTGATATTCGTTCCAATGATAGTCAACTTCTTCAGCCTTCAATCCCTAGTCTGATAAAATAATTTCGGTCTAAGAAAAACGGCCCGCTACAATGGCCCATAATCTCCTGCTGATCTTTTGGCTAGCCAATTAATAGCCAGTTTTGAAACCCTAGCGCATAGTACTTCGGACAGTGATGGAGACAATGGGTTTTGTCACCCGTGAACTGACAGCTATTCACGGCTCTTAAAGTTCCTTCGCCTTCTATATTCTAAGAAGTTTGTACGGAGTCCCAAATCCAAAACTGATGAATAAAAGAAAATATGCAATTATACAATGTCTTTGCCTTCGCCATCGTGCGTGACCAGCTCATCGCCAACACAATCCTGGTTGCAATCGCCACCCTCCTGGTAATATTGCGTGGTGTCTCCCGACGAATTCGAAAAAGCCATTTAGGATGGGATGATGCGTGCTGCGTCGCAGGGCTATTTCACACATATGGAATGCTCGCAATGCAATTCCACTACGCTCGTGTTGGGATGCGACACCACATCACGACTATCCCCCCAGAGAATGCTGTATTGATCGCTAAGATGCTCATGGTCTACCAAATTGTCTATTACAACGCCATGGTTCTGGCTAAATTTTCTTATCTCGCCTTCTACCTGCGCATCTTTGTGTCCAAGGAATTCCGCATCCTGACGTGGATCTGTATGGGCTGTGCTGGCGCATACTGGACTGGGAGTATGCTCCAGATTTTCTTGATCTGCACACCCTTCGAGAAGAACTGGAACCCGACTCTGCCGGGTCACTGTGCGAGTCAGAATGTGGCATTTTCGACAATTGGAGCCTTTAACCTTCTCACCGATGTGATGATCATGGCATTGCCGATTCGCTTCGTTTGGAAGTTACAGATGTCTATCGCGACTAAGTCGGCGTTGGTTGGAATCTTTGGATTGGGTATCTTGTACATTTCCCCCTTTTTTTTACCCCCCAAGGCTCCCGTCGCAAAATCTAATGAGTAACTACCACAGTATCTCCTCCATAACCATCATCCGCATTCGTGTCCTCACTACGGTCGATTTCACCGATCTATCTTACTCGATGATTTGGGCTGCCTTCTGGAGTGTCACGGAGCCTGCCCTTGCCATTTCAAATTCCTGCGCGCCCATGCTCCGGCCGATTCTTAAGGCCGCTTTCCCGTCCTTGTTCTCCAGTGTCCGTGCTGAATACTCGACGCAGCCGTCGACGGGACCCAACCTGAGCAAGAATAGTACTGCGAAACGGGCACATGGCTTGGATGAGATGGATAGTGAATTTCCGCTCACGCAATTGGACCAAAGACCAGGATCGGCGGATGGAGGGTCGTTGAATGATCATTCGCAGGACGGCCGCTCGCACTATACACTATATCAAACCCCTAGGTCTGTTGTTGGGACACCTAAAGGGTTGTCATAACACTGCATACTATCCATTACATTTTATTTGTACATTTTCTCTCGGTATTCTTGATGAAATTTTGACATGAAACCACCCCACGCTTCCTTCATCGATGAACTATGTATTTTGTCGTCCCCTAGTTAGTGCACGTAGTGGTATGTGTAATGTCGAGACTCGGTGACTGAGGACCGAGAAATGACGGAAGACCTGACGGCCGATGAAGGAGCAAAAGGTTCGACCGGGGTCGGATTGTATGGTAAATAACAAATTTCGAAGCTCAAAAGCAGCGCAATACAAATAATGCGAGAGAGATGAATATCTATCATAGCAGTGGCTTGTTGTAGCCCGTTATTGGAATCGAGGCACCTGTTGTGACACTATTTTGCCTCAGGCGGAAACGTCAGAGCGAGACCCGCTCTTCTCCACTTGTCCCTTTCAACAGTTTCGTCAAGATCACTTTGTATCGATTTATTATGGTAGCTCTTGATGAAAAGAACATTTTTTTTTTGAGTTTTAACATAAGGAGCGAAAGCAACTCATTGCGGAGGTGGTACGTTACGATCCCAGACTAGCCGATCTCCCGCGTGCAAACCTTTTCCTACTTTGGTTCTCGGATATCGAGTCCTTCAGAAGTCTGCAAGTTAGCAGGTTGAGCCTGCTTTTAACTGGCGGTATTGGACGCTGGCATGCACAAAGCTGAAGGACGTGCCTGGATTATGTAAGTGCATGGTGTATCGCAAAGTGCTTTCATGATCACAAGCTAACACTTGATACACGAAACAGCCACGACCACCACCAGGCGAAGAAGATGAAATTCCCTATGCTCCTTCATATGACTACAAGGGTTCCAAATTTGACGATTCCTGGAATTGCGAATAAGGAGGTATGTTGACAGAGAACATTAGGATGATATAGTGCTAACCTCCTTACTTTCAGTGCCTGCAACGCGACAATACCACATGCGTCCTAACTGGGGGTGATCAGCCCGGGCTTGAGTGTGCTAATGTCGCACCCTACAAATTGAAGGGTTCCAGCGCCCGAGATACAACCTAGACCTGGCTTAAACTTTTTTTGGTGGCATAGATCGAGTCAGCAAGCGGAAAGCTAAACTCCTCAGTGGCCCAAATCACCAGGACCTGATCAACACCGAACAGGTCAAGAATCTAGTACCCCTTGGGACCCAAGAAAGCTGTTATCAGGAGAGTTGTCTGTGTGCTTTCCTCATGTGAAGATATATGAGCAGAATACAAAGATATAAATCGCGTTCCATTGGCTGCCTATTCGTGGGAGCGAACACAGGGTCGATGAACTCCCGACATTATCGCACCCGTACCCCAGTCATCCCCAGCAATATTGCACATCGTCAGGTGGCAACCGATATATCGCGCATTGTGAGATGCTGAATATTATTTCTCTGGATACATTTTCACTATGACAACTATGAACCGAGTGATCCGTTCACTACCATCAGAGGAGCTGCTGAAGATGCGTGGGACTTGAGTGGAACTGCTAGCATGCAGGTAGCTGCAGAAGATGAGGATAGTGTTCTTGACTTTGACGGTGATTATATTGCCGTTACTTCGAGCTCACAATCCCCGTCGCCTTCAGACTCCGATATTGCTCTGCGATAGATGAAGACACCAGCAAATATGTCGAACAAGGGGTTTCTTTATTCCTACACTTAGGCTGAAAATATGGTATTTGCTCTTAAGTAGAATGATCTGCGATATACGGAGTATGCAAAGAAGAAATATATTAAGTGAGTTCGCACATTAGCCTAGCCAGGTAGAGCAATCAAAGAGCCAGATCGTGTCGGATCCACGCAAGAAAAACTCAGTTACGTACGGGGCACTCCGTACAGATATTCATTTTTCAGTCCACATATAGCACTGGCCCATCATGCTGCATGCATGAGACTACATAGCTAGTGGGGAAATTCTTCAGCTGAAGCATACCCGTGGACAGCACATACAAAGTAGGTAAGCCTACTTCCCCTATGTATAGTCTGGATGGATCGCCCGTGCATGCAATAGGAAATTGCCAAAATAATCAATCGACTACAGCTTCAAGTCTTCCCAAGGTTTAAGGTGCTAGCAGGGTTGGAGGAGAAGAAGTGGTTGCTCACCGCAATTTCTACGTGTTCATATTACTAGTTCCTCACGTCCTCCACGGGTGGCGTATAAGGAATAGAGCTGAAGCTACATTATTAAAAGTCTGTTGACATCCCATGTATGAACACCCAATAACAGGAGTATTTGGGCGCGTGTTCATGCGGCTGTGTGAGCTGAGAGCTGGGCCCCGCCTCACTTGGGCAGATCATAATTTTGGATACATCAGATTTGCGAGGTACCACGAGCATGAACCAATGAAGACCCCGAAACTCTGAAAATATCCATTTTATTTACGGGGTACATGGATGTACTCTACAGATATGCATACCCCTCTATGTGACGAGACCTATAGATGCAGCTGTGCTCTCGTCACGCGTATTGTCGTGTGGCAGTGGGGAGGTGAAGTTAGCGATGCAGGCGGATGCAGGCGAACTGGATCTGCATAATGTAGTAGAGTATATATTGAGCAGCCCCCAGAAAGCCATTGCTTTTTGGTAAAGCTTTGATTTGGATTTGTTGGAATTCTCGTCAAAATGGGATCCGTCGCTCCTCAACGAACTCCTTTGCGGATTTTGGATACCACCGCCGAGAAGCAGCCCAATCGGCTCTACTGTGTTCACCCTGTCTCGTCGGATATCTCCCAAGGATGGAAAAACATCACTTTTGTAGACCTGGCAAATGCCATTAATCGGATGGCTCTTTGGCTCCAGGAAAATGTCGCCTCTTCCGATGCACCGCAAACTCTGGCATATATGGGAGCCAACGACATTCGGTATTGCGCATTCATGTTCGCATGCATGAGACTCAGACACACAGTAAGAGAGTCAAATTCGAAGGTTATGGGAAACTTGTTGACCATGAGATAGGCGCTGCTTCTCTCCCCTCGTAACTCGGAATCAGCCTCAAGTCATCTCCTTGGTGCTACTGGGTGCTCCAAGTTTGTGTATAGCACCGAGCGGAGCAAACAGATTGAAGAGTTAAAAGGGGCAAACCCAGAATTGCAAGCATGGGTGGCACCGGGTTTGTGGGAGCTGTTCGATAGCAGCTCCGGCCCTGCGCCCATGGTGAAGGAGCCCGCAGAGGATTCAGAAGATCGCATCGCAGTCTACATCCACAGCTCTGGTACAACCGGTTAGTGCATATCATTGTCCAAATACATGGCCCAATTGAGATCAAGGCTTCTCTAACACTCCCCTTTCATGGTAGGCCTTCCCAAACCAATTCCAATGACCAATGGGTATTTCCACGTACTTGAGCAAACCGGTCTTCTGCCACTTCCCAGGAACCGACAAAGCAGTATAGTGGCTATCGCAGAAAGAGGTAGACTGATGTTTGTCATGAGTCCCTTTTTTCACTTTATGGGTATTCTGAGTATCATGCAACCTATTCTCTTCGAGACGCCTTTTGTGCTGAGCCCCGAGAAGCCCCTAACGGCAGAGCTTCTGGCTCAGATTGTCACAGACACCAACCCTGAGACATCTATCATTGCACCTTCTGTTTTGGAAGAGCTTAGTCAATCTGAGCTCGGTATGCAGTCTTTGTCTAAGTTTTGCCTCGTTGCATTTGGAGGAGCACCCTTAGCACAGGAAATCGGCGATCGCATCTCCGAGATAACTCACCTCCAGTCGGTTCTGGGGTCAAGCGAAAACGCACTATTTGGCGCGATGAAGCACCAAAACAAACGCGACTGGCAGTACCTGGAGTGGAACCCCAATGCTGGATTTGACATGCGTGATGCCGGTGAAGGCTTCTTCGAGCTCGTTATCCCGCGTGGGGACGGCCGGGCGGCTCACGCTGTCTTCCATACATATCCCGATAAGGATGAGTACAAGACCGGCGATCTCTTTGTTCGTCATCCAGAAAAGGAAGGACTTTGGCTGTATTCTGGACGCCGCGATGATGTGATCGTTTTGAGCAACGGAGAGAAGTTTAACCCTACCACTATGGAAGAGATAATCTCTAGCCACCCACTTGTTGCTCGAACACTCGTTGTTGGTCAAGGTCGCTTTCAATCCGGTGCCATCATCGAGCCCAATTGGTCTTCATGGAGTGGCGAGCCAGATGCATTGATCGATGAGATCTGGGCGAATATCAAGAAGGCCAACGAGTCCGCCCCAGGGCATGCCCAACTCATGAAAAACCGCATCGGGGTGTCATCTCGGGCAAAGCCATTCCAGATTACACCGAAGGGTACTGTCAAGCGACGTATCGTGGTTATCGATTACGCCAATGAAATTGATGCGCTCTATGCCGGTGGCGATCGGGTCGATGCTGCGCAGATACCCAAAGACGCGACGCATCAAGACATCATTGCCTATGTCACTGCAGCCGTGTCGGAGATCTTGGATGTCCCCTCTTTTGATGAGAATGCCGACATTTTCTCATCGGGTCTCGACTCCCTACAAACCCTCCACTTGGGTCAAGTTCTTCAAGCCTCTCTGAAGTCTGCTAGACCTGACTTGGGGTCGGTATTCGGTAGCCCGCAACTTTACTCCCGTCCTACCATCGCCCAACTGTCTGGATACATTCTTGATATCCTCCAAGGAAACGACTCAGCTCCTGATGCAGCCATTATGGAGAGCGATAGCGACCGGGAAACGAGAATCGCTCATCTGATTGGAAAATACACCGAAGATTTTGGAAAAGGCCACGCAGTCATTCTCACCGGATCCACTGGCTCGCTTGGAGCCTATCTGCTTCACGAGCTTCTGAGCGATCTCAGCGTTACCAAGATATACTGTCTCAACCGATCGAATGATGCAGCACCTAGGCAATTGCAAAGCCTGGGCGAGAAGGGATTGCGCACTTTTAACAAGTTCCCGCGCCGAGTGGAATTCCTCCAGGCACAATTTGGTGCCGAGAAATTTGGGATCGACGACGCAAAATATGACGAGATGTTGCAGGAGGTAGACACCATCATTCACAATGCCTGGAAGGTGAACTTCAACCACAGAGTCGAGGCTTTTGAAAACCCCCACATCGCAGGTGTGCGTCGGCTCGTGGAATTTAGCGTCGCCAGTGAAAAGGAAGCTCACATTCATTTTATTTCGTCCATCTCCACTATTGAAGGTTACAGTCCAGAGAGAGGTCCTTCAATACCTGAGATTATCTTTGATGATCCCAGCTCGGCACTCCGACAGGGATACGGAGAGTCAAAGCATGTCTCTGAGAGGATCTGTGCTGCCGCCTCGGCTAAGTGTGGTGTTCCGACCAGCATCCATCGTGTTGGCCAGATCGGAGGCCCGACGACAGAGAAGGGTATGTGGAATAAGCAGGAGTGGGTGCCATCCTTGATTGCCACATCCAAGACCATCAAGCAGATCCCGAATGGATTGGGATCAGTGTCTGTGCAGTGGGTTCCAGTGGTTAGTATCGGCTCGCCTGCTCGTTTCTTTTTCATCAAAATCTAATAAGCTTGGGTTATTCAGGACGTAACTGCAAAGGTTATCATTGACATCGTCCGAACCAGACGTGGAACACAAGAGGATGAGCCATGTGCAGCCTTCCACATCGTCAACCCCCGGGCCGCAGAATGGCCATCACTTATCCCGGCAGTGACTAAGTACTTCGACATGGAGCCGGTTGATATCAAAACATGGATCGAGACTCTTGAGAGTTTCACGAACCCCACAGAAAGTGATCTCCAGGACAAGCCCGCACTCAAGATTCTCGACTTTTTTAAGGCTATCTCATTCGCCGATGAAGCTGGTCCGTGGACTGAAACCACCAAGACTCAAGCTGCCAGTAAGACACTGCAACGACTGGGGGCAATTGATCCGCCCCTTATGGAGAACTGGATAAAACAGTGGAAGTTTTGATAGGACTGTTTTGCACGTCATGGCACAACTCAACTATTGTTAGTGCTAAAATCTAGAAGAGCTTGGGGGTAAACATAAGGCCTATCTGTTAGATGATCCCATCTCACATGGATACCTGATTGTACAGGCTTGTTTGCTAGATACCAAGGGTATAAATACCCTGATTTCCATAAATTGAATGATCAAGGTTCATTACTTCTCTCTCTCCCCAATCCAGTAGCAGGAACATGTTAGCAGTCCTCTTTTGGCCCCTGATTCCATCAGGATCCATATTTTTTCATCAGGATCTATTAAAATCCATTGTTTTTCATCAAAGATAGTGCTTCAAAGTGCTATCTGTACCTTCATCAAGAAGTCAAGAATAAGTGCTTCAAGTACTAGATCTTGCAATCAATCAATCAATCAATCAATCAAAGTTCAATTAACCTGTTGCAGTCTAACTAGTTGCGTATGACTATGCAGGTGCTTCATCCAACTGAAGCAAGAACTCGAGTCCAAACGCCGAGTTGGGATCACCAAGTATAGTGCATCCCAAGAGTATACAGATGCTGATCGTAAAGAGTGTGGAATCAGCCCATTCCTGTAACCCGTAAACCCACAAACCTAAAAACCCATAAAGCCATACATAAGAAATAAACATATAATGACTGCCATGGAGTGCACCCTCCATCTTCTACCTCTCACTTCTCACTTCTCACTCTCCCTTTCCATCCTCTGCAACCTCCCCCTGCTAGATCTTGCAACGACAGAGCCAACAGAGCTTTTGTTTTCATTGATTGTCAAGTGCTGTAAAGCATTTCATCGCCTTTATCAAAATGGCAAAGCCACAACACCGAGCGCGCCAAATCCAGGTGCCAGATAACAACAATTGGTACGAAGAAGAAGGCGTTGCTGTTGCTGACCAGTCTGTCGGCCTCCCGGAGATCGGAAGTTTCAAGCTTTACAAAATTACACCACTCTTGAAAGAGAGAGAAGAACTTAACATGTGGATTGAAAAAGTCGAGAAGATTTTGCAAAGCCACAATCTCCACAACCTGATCAACAACTCTATCCCCTGGCCAATGAGAAGGAATCCAAATGGCCAGAAATGGAAGACTCTCTCAAAGCAAGTGAGAAGCTGGCTGTCAGACAGCATGGAAAACGATCTGTTGCAAGAAATCAATAGTCCTGGCAACCACATTAACTTTGCTGATGAATTCATGGAGGAGATCAAAAAGCATATGAAGGGTGAGGGACATGGGGCGCTGAAGGCAGCAATGACCAAATTCCGTACAATCTCACGGAATCAATTTTCCACAAGTGAAGAGTTTATCAATGCACTCAAAGCAAGATACAGAACTCTGTCAGATCTTGAAGGAAATATGCCCCCATACTATGCTTTGCAAACGATGCTTTTGGAACTGATGGAGGTGCCAGAATTGAAAAGCTTCATCGTTGTCAAGGACTGTGAATTGAATGCAGTTGAGAACCCAGTAAAGGACATTTCTATTATCGATTTCTATCGGTATAGTACAGCAATCCAGGATTATATCAGGTTCACAAATGCCGTTCTCTAGGCCGTATCTCCTCGGCAGTCAACAACGCAGCTGTCAACAATGCCAGGAATACCCAGGTACCCCGACGATCATCTAACGCCATTCATTAAAAAAAATACTTGTGATATAGAACTCCAGCCTATCTCTACCCCATCAGAAAATCATATCGGTTGGCCAAGTAATCGCTTGAAACTAGAATACCTCGATGCCAGCTGCTTATGGGTAAGGAACTTGTTCTCTTCTGAATTTAAGTGTAGAAGGCGAAAATAAACACCACACGACACGATTGCTAGATACCATCGAAACACGTCGTCTCAATTATGCGGTGTCCCCCTGGTCTAGGAATATAGCATTCCTCGTAATTAGGACGCTAGGCCGAGGCTCTCGCTTATAGGTTATATGGCTTGGCATTAGTTACTACCAAGCATGTTCGGGAACAATTATTAATTCTCAAAGAACTACCCGTGGACCCAGCATTCTGTCCGCAGCCAGCTCCTCCTCCTCTTTATACTTCCACTGCAGAAAGCATTACGGCCCAACAATGGAAGCCCCTCTGGTAGCTGTAGTCACTGGCGCCGTAAGTCTTTCCCCTCTTGTTTTAGGTCCCCCCTCACCATTATTGCAGAACCGTGGTATCGGACTTGCCATATGTGCTGCACTAGCTCAGCAGTGTTCGGGTCCCTTGATTCTGTACGCAGCGTCACGTTCCGGGGCTTCTATCGATTTAAGTGGCCTGACTATTCCCCCAACCGTGTCAATTCGCCCTGCCCAGCTGTCCCTTACGGACCAGACTAGTATCTCCGCCCTCAGTACCAGGGTCAGAAACGAGAACAAGGCCTGCAACGTTCTCATTAACAATGCCGGGCTATATTATTTCCAGGAGAACATCACAGCCGCACAGTGCCAGGAAACTTTTGACGTGAACTATCGCGGCACGCTCAATGTATCTAATTCCACCTATACCCCCTCCTCTTCCCCATGTCATCACCCATTAACCAGCTCAGGTTTGTCAAGCCTTCTTACCAATTATGTGTAAGGGTGGCCGCATCGTCAATGTCTCTTCTCAATCTGGCCAGCTCAAATACTTCCATCCTCGCTTGCGGACGCGATTTCTGAGCCCTGATCTCAACCTCACTAAGCTGGATGCTCTAGTTGAGGAGTACATCGTACGCTGATTTGATCATTTATCTTTATTTCCAGCCTGCTGACAACCACCTCACTCTAGCGCTCAGCCGACGAGCACACTGCAACGGCATCGGACTGGCCCCCTCTTCCTTACTTCACTAGCAAGGCCGCTCTAAATTCCGCCACACGAATTTTGGCCCGCGAAAACCCTCGTCTGTTGATTAACTGTTGCTGCCCTGGGTGGGTGGGCACGTCGTTGGGTGCGCAGGCGGGCCAGCCACCCAAATCTGTTGGTAAGTATGGACTTTCTCTCTCCCATGGGGCTTTTATCTTACTATTATATTAGAACAGGGAGCTAGGATCCCGGTGCGACTGGGGATTGGGGAAATCGAACAAATCAGTGGGCGGTACTGGGCGAATGATTCGGTGGCGAGTGCGGGCTATGGGAAGGTTCAGGATTGGTAGTCTAGGGTACAGTTAAGATTGTCTTATAGGTGATTTGTGTAGATGGTTTTTTATTTGATAAATGCTATAAACCTGATTATCTAAGAATTGGGGATTTTGCAGCAAACCTTTTCTTTCTTAATTTGCTTATATTTTCGAGATACAGCCTTAGAGGATTTCTACAGTAGCAAAACCCGAATTACCAGGTGTTCGACCTGAAAGCTTTCATCAAGGATATTAAGAATGGCATAGATACCGTAGTCATGATGAATTAAACCGATCTCATCTGTAGGAAAACCCCTAAGAGGAGGCCATCCTGTCAAACGTATTGTATAATACACGACATCATAGATCCTCAAGGAGTCCATGTGTCAACTCGGGGCAATTTATTCCCGAGAGAACTGGACCTATAACGCAGTATGTCTTTTTTAACTGGGTAGACGATGATTGTGGAGATTAGCATTTTACAAAAGTTGCCGACTGTATAGCGGAGACTTTTATAGTGCGGCAGATCTACTAGCCAACTCTTTGGGACGATCCAACTTACCTGGAAAAGTCTCCGTCTCATTTTGATTAATAACCTTTGGAAAAGCGCTACCCTCGGAACATTTACAGGGCCTGTTGGACATGATCGTATCCTAGTGAAGGCCTCCTTAGATTGGACCACGCCCAATCTCCGTGTGTATCTTTCATAGATCATTGCATGTATTGATTTGCCCACGTCATGCAGCCACAAAAGCCGGTTGGCCTTGAATAACATAACGATATCAAAACCTAAGGGCCTGGTAGGTAGATTCAACAAAAACATACAAGTCGAATAGTACGCAATCTTGTTTGCTTGGAGATGACATAGAGGAATCTGGTTCAAAGGAGCCGGATAAATATTGGAATTTTGCAGATAAAAAACCATCACTATATCGAATGTAGCAGTACGAATGACAGACAGAATGATCAAATAATGATTCCTTAGTTAGTTAGAGCACAAGAAAAAATCAAGAACATACAACAGTGAGGATTCGCTGGTGGTCACCCACCCAACTACTAACTCACCGGCGTGTGGCTTATATGTAGTCATTAGTCGGGTGGGTGTCGCCTGGGTGAGAAATGGGTGAGCGCCGCTTTACGGTCGCGCGACTAGGGGTGAGAAGGGTGAGAATGATCTATAGACTATAGACTAGCGGCATAATTACCCTTCTATATATAGCGGTATCGATGATAGCGTAATGTTGGCATTCCACTAGGCTTCGATTGGCACTAATAAGAACTATGCCTATGTAAAATTCCCTAAGACTATAATTCCTATTAGCTCGAAGAAACTTTATTGATCATAAGAAAATGAAAATCTGTTCTCTAAAATTCGACTTAAGATTCTTACTTAACGCCTACCTAGGTAGGCTGGCCTTATTATATAATAGGGGCCTTAGCGTATGATATCTGCCTATCTTATTAACACGTGATACTAACTCCTTATCCTCTTATCTGCGATATAAATAACCTATCTCCTAAGGATATGGACACCTCTTATAGTAACTAAAATTACTCTACCGGGGAGTTTCCTTAAGTCTCCTCTAATACCGCCGCTTACTAAAGAAAAGTCGAAAACCACTTAACACGTGCTAAACTACTTTAAGCTCTATCGTATAGGCTATAGGCTATAGTTTTAGTGGTAGTACCGGCTCGCTTTAGACGAATATACGGAAGTTTTATATGTCCTAGATAGGGACGATTCTCTCCGAGGATATATCGAAGATAAAGTTAGGTGAGTACTACTAAGCGACGCTATTTTAAGGCATTTATTTCGCTATATTATAGGTACGACTATAACCCTTATCGTTCCTACCTAACTATCCGAATGCTAAGTCCTCTCTATAATATTTTCTATATAAAGATAGTCGAGGAGATTTTATAGTAACTAAAGTAGTTCTAACGAAGCGAAGACCCCTCCGCTAGTTTTACGAATAAGGTCGTTACCTTTTACGAATAAGGTCGTTTACCTTACCACTTCCCGAATTATAATACCTAATAAGATAAGGGATAGAAAGTAGAGTTATTCTAAATAGGAACTAGATATATCCTTTAAGTATAAGCGGGTACGCTACCTAGGTGTTATTATTAAGGTGTGCTATTCGTAAAAAAGTTAACGCGTTTCGTACTTAGCGGACGAGTATATCCTGAATACTAAGGGAAGCGTAAACGCCGTGATTACCCTCGATATTAATTATAAAGGGTCTAAGAAAGCGACTATTACCGTATAGCGACTAAAATATACGACTATAGATAGTATAGAGGAGCTTTAGGCGACCGCTATAGTCGAGGCGCTAGTATATTCCCTTTAAGCGCTAGTCTTCTTAAAAATTATATACTAATAGTTATAGCTATTTCGGATAGATTCTAGACTTCTAGTTAAAGTAACGGCACTCCGGCTGTTATTATAGGACTTCACGACTAAGGACCTCTCGCGAGAGTATATAAGGCTCGATTGAGAATTCACGATAATATCGAGATAGCTATATAACTTTCTCTCACGCGCTAAAGAAGAATAGAGAGCGTAGACACTTTAGTAAGGTTCTACTAATCGACTACGGCCGGGTGCGCGAAAGCGTCGTCATCCTTAAACTCCTCCGGAGTATCTAAGTTTAGAAGAGGAAGGATTAGTCGAGAAGAATAGAGAAAGTAAACGTGGACGTCTTAGTAGCGACTTTCGTCCGGACTTATTATAGTGAATATATTAACCTAAAGCTAGCCCTATACTATATAGATGAGATTGAGAAGCGCGTTAGTGTCTATAAGGTTAAGATAGGTTTGAATACGGAGGATAAGTGCTTAGTAGGATCCCACTTAGTGAACTAGTTAAGAGACGAGCGAGATACACGAGGGGACTATACCTCAGTTTTATAGTTGGTCGTGTATACTTAGTGTGCCTTAGGCGTCACTATAGTATGTTCTTAGCGTAGTATTTATTATAATACTAGGCACTTATTAGATTGGATTAATACGCTTACAGAGCTCGTGATAAGGATAGGGTCTTTATTATTATAAGGTGGACGTTTCTAGGAGGTTATAGGGGTTAGATGGTAGGAAAGAAAAACTAAAGATGAAAGGTAAGAAAGTAAAGAGATAAAAAGGTTGTATTTAGTTAATTGAAGTATATTCAATATAAAGAAGATATTAACCATATTCCGAAAAAGATTATTATCTCGGTGGTTATAGTCTTATTTATCTCTTTTGAAAATAGATCTAGATAGATCTAATTAAATGTGTTATCGTCATAATGATAGATTTAAAATGCATTATATAGTTATATTATTAAATCATATCTAATGTTGCATTTTAATAAATTCATATATGGTTTATATTTATTAAATCATTATTTGTAATGTTGCATTTTAATAAATGCATTGTATGGTTATATTGTAATGTTGCATAATGCATTGTATGTTCATATTATATTTTACATTGTATGGTTATATTATTAAATCATTATTTGTAATGTTGCATTTTTAAACTAAAATGCATGTGTATAGTAGTTTTATCATAGTTAGTAAATATATATCTCCCCTTTCAAAATACAAATTTTATTACTTTTCTTATTTTCTCACTTTCTATAGGTCGTATTAAGTTCAAAATTTATATATATATTAAAAAGCACTTTTCTTATTTATATATAAATTTCGAATTAAATGCGACTGGTAGAAGCTAAGATACGATGATTATAGTATTAATAACTAAGCGGTTTTATGAACGCCAAGACCATGATTTTATACAATTTCGAGCCCGGGGGGGGGGGGGGGGGGGGGGGGCTCGACGACCCCCCCCCTTCGAGCCGGGGTCCGGGTCGAGCCTAAGAAGTTCGACCCCTAGCTCGTTGCGGGTCGGGTTTCGAGCCCGGATTTTGGGCTTGGGCCCAAAGTTGGGCTTTGCGGAAGTCTACAAGGGACCATATTTTTATGGTGAATAATAAGTATGGGCTAGGAACCCCGGATATGAACATGGTTTATAAAGCAGCTTTGAAAGAACGGTTAATACTAGTCGGGAAAACAGACAATCCAAGTCATGATAAACAGCTCGAAGGAACAATCTCATTGGATACACTTCGAGATTACGTTTTGAACTATGATGTCCACACAGGGAAGAGAAAGGCCGATACTACAGCCAATCGATCTGGGAAGCGTCAGAGATAGGACATCTGATGAGGTATGATACAGTAATATTCGAATTCAGTTATACCCCTGCACTCTTACGACTTGATTCCCGGAGAATAAATCCAGCAGCTTTGAGTCCTGATTGGATAGGGCTTGAAGCCCCGCTTTCAGACCGCTTACCAGACTAGTAGGTGTAACTTACAATACAGTTGCAAGACACCAGAAGATGTATTGTACACGAAAGTGCTATACGCATGCCACCTGTGCCCTTCCTCAATCTGGTAGGAACTAGGTCTCCTCGTTCACTCACCCGTTACCCGTCTGTCTCTGAGTCAAAAACCAAATAACCTTAATGGACATGGCCCCTAGGCTCTCTATTTCGAAACTTCATCTGATCGTTGATATGGTAGAGAGCCAGTCGTTTACCACGTCACAGATGGCCGGGGAAGCTGAATGCACCACTCTTACGATTATCAATATTTGGCCTGTTTCGAATAATCTATGAATACCCGAATCGGCTGAAAAAAGACTGAACACCACTGACGATGACAGTCCTTTGCGACCACCTGTCCGAGAAGCCTGGTCTTTACCTCGATGAGATGGCTGTCTTCATGTGGGATGAGTTCAAAACCATGATTACGACCTCCAGCATCACAAGAGCCCTTATAGCGACAGGTTGGTCAAAAGGGCAGCATGCCAGCGCGCTAAAGAGCAGAACGGGGACTTGAGAGACTATTACCTACATACTTCGCCGAGTGTCAGTCGTATCACCTAGTATATGTTGATGAAAATGTTACTGCATTGTGGTTGTATTGATGAAGTGCACAGCTATCAGTCGAGGGCTTGTATTAGGAGGTGTCCAAGCGGGCTCACTGTTTCATGATAGAAGTCCACAATATCATCTCACGCGCTCCAAACACAGAATAGCGTATTTGAAAAACAAAACAATTGAATCACTATATTATTGCTGCAGGATAGACAAATATAAAATTTCAAGCTGTATTGCAGCGTCAATCAGGCAGTCAGAACCATTCTTAGGCCGATGGTCCATGAATCGCACTGAATTCAAATGGTGCCACCATCCTTTTCGCTTTTTTGTGTTTTGCTGAAACCCCTCGGTTCCAGCTCTCCCATTCCAGGATCTCTTCCTCTGCCCGCTTAAGCAAGCAAGCTTGATTCTCAGTATGCTGCTCTAGCCTGAAAACATTCATTTCCAGCTCATCAATAAGATCTTCTAAAGATTGAGTCGATGTTCCACTTATCGATATCCTCCGGGCTAGTTTGCGGGTGACATCAATCATAAAGTCACCCCCTTCTGCTATTAAGGCTCTCAGTCTCCTCTGATAGTAGGGTGTATTTCAGCGCCACATATTGAGAGAGTAGTTCCCGAGCTGGATCATTGCTAGTTTGGCGGTATACAAAGTGCCTCTGATGTTGACATCAATCACGCTCAAATCGGGCTCTTTCGGCTCCTGATGGTCTCCAGAATACGAAAAGATATCATCGGGGCGATGAATGCCGGCATTTGCGATGACATGCGAGATCTTTCCTGTGCGAGAAAAGAGAACAGCCTTTTGAAAAAGTCAGACCTGATCACCCCATTTTGCGATATCACAGTGAACGAACGTAACCCTTTGGAATAAACGATGAGCGATATGACAAGGCAATATACAGGAGTGGCTTGCACTTACCCATCGAGTTCTTGTTCCAACTTCCTTCCTCTCTCTTCGTCAGAGTCGCCGATGCAAACTCTAGCTCTGATTATTTGGTCAATTATTTTTCTTGCCAATGATGCCATTTTTGATACATACCCTGCGGTAACCAAAGCACGAACATAGGCTTCGCCTAGGCCATTGGCGCCTATTTTACTGTGAGTATTCAAGGAACATTAATTGAAATTGCTAATGTAATGTGCCATGTCCGCTCATTGTACCGACCAGAGGTGATACCAATGATAATACAGCAGATGCCGGAGAACACATATAGAGGGCATGTCAAAACAAAGGTTATCGTGCTGCTAAAGCCGAGACTTCCAACGACAGTGGGAAAGTGATGGAGAATCTACGATGTGATGATCCAGAGATGGAGAAACAGAGCAGTAGATTCAACTGGGAGCAAAAGGGACGGAGAGGAAGAAGAGAGAGAGAGAGAGAGAGAGCTATCTGGCTATCTACTACTATGGGGATCTGTCCCATGTGGGGACTGCTGCCTGAGGCAGAACCAGGCACCCAACAGAAAGAAGTTGTTGAAGCCGCAGGCACTTAGATGCATATTCTGCATAAAATCCAGCAGGTACACGCGCGGGTCGGCCATGGCTTGCTTCAATCCGGCGAGAGCGCCCTTGGACTCCTCACTATTGACCGTGTCCCTTTGAATCCGGTCGTGGGCAAGTTGGCGCTCTTCCGGAGTCAACCATCGTGTTGTTAGTAGGTGATCGGGCAGCATGAATATGCCGAGACCTGCAATACCAAATGTAACTGCACCCTCGATGATAGTGTCGCTGTTGTAGGATTTATCATATCCTGCGTGACACTAAATAAGGGCGCAAGATATGTGGCTTGTTTCCTCTTTGCCAGTGGTGCATCTGCTGTCAATTCGGTCATTTTGGGCTGGGTCTCTGCCACACTAGGCCAGACGCCAGAGAAGAAAGCCGCTTCTATTGGCTTTATCAACGTTGTGGCTAACGCATCTTATATCTATACGGCCTACCTCTACCCAAAAACTGATGGCCCTCGTTACTTGACTGGAATGTCGGCGAACACGGCATTTGGCATTGCAACTATTGGGAGTGCTTGGGCTTTGAGGTGGTGGCTGCAGAATACAAACAAGAAGATCAGCAGGGGTGCTCTGCCTAGTGCTGGTGATGTTCTTTATGCCTATTGAGAGATTATCGGGAATGATCTTGTCCCGTGTTTTTATGTCTGTGTTGAATAGGAAACATGACTTTGTCCACGGTTGACGTTACCTTACGGCGATATTTAACTTTGAGCTGATCTAGGAATCCTCTGAGAAAACTGCCTGTCTTTGAAAGCAGATATCAAATGATACAAGTGCGTCATAGACTTATCTATAAGCCAAATAATCTAAATCTAAATCCCATCAGTCACTGCTGTACAGAGCCTTAAAATAGCTCCTCCATGGTTTCAGTTAATATCCAATAAGCATTCTCGTGCGCATCATGATTCACATTAGCGGCTTAAAAGCCGCCAAACCCACAGGTTCATAACCAGCTTTGATCCGCCATTCTTCTTGTGGTTTATTTATCCTCCATTTCCATGTCTCGTGAAATTGCCTGAGGCGTTCTCCAATTTTTACCCACAAGCAGAGCTGGATGTAGACCAGTCAAGCAAATACACGCAATTGAAACCATAGCGCCTTCGAGGATCATCAAGGCTATCTCGTCGTTGGCCAATTTACTGTGAAATCCACCCTGGAGCTCGGCCACTCGGAATGAAGATCGAATCAATATAGTTAGAACGGCAGATGTCAAACCTGATAATCAAACTCGAGTCAGTGGAATGCCCATAGAAAAGATCGAGGTGATATACATACCAAGCAAAAACGATCTCCTCATCCAGCTTGCCGGCCGTTCCTGAGTAGGGGAATGCAGGCGTCTTCCTCGTAAAACCCGGACTCCATACTCAATCGCTAGAATAGAGAACACTACCAGCGATGCAACTTGAAAGACCAGTCCAGCGATCATGATGTTGACACCAGTATCGTGAAGTGACTGTTCATCGGCAATTGAAGTGATGGCTCCACCGGCCGCTTGCAAGATCAGGGAAATCAAATCGCAAGTCACGAACAAGTAGGTGTAGGTTCTTGGTTTCAAGCGTGAGAACTCTTCGCCGTAAACTGTAATAATACGACCGAGGCATAGATAGATTCCAGCTGTGAAGAATGCCGGGGCAATGGTGAGACATATCAAGTACCTAATGTATCACGCCTCGGTCAGCATATATTCAATCATGTGGTAGGCTCGGTAACTTACATCAAGAAAGCATTGAAGCTGAATGGGTTATCATGTAAGAGAATTCGGCCCAAATATCCTATGATCTCCAATATAAGGCCCGCGACCATTGGCACCATGAAACTCCAAGATCGAAATACGATACCCGTACCGATCTGTCCAATGAGTAAGATGGCGAAAAGAGCGAGATAAAAGATGTTTCCAGCCATGTTAGGCTGATACTGGATGTAAGCATCACTTAACGGACATGTTTGCAAAGTGCAATCATCCGTATTGGACATGACCACGTATAGTAAAGAACCTTGGAAGATTAAGTAGGCTAAAATGAAGTTTGAAGACAATGAGTGCTGCGATTGAATTGATATTAGCAAATCCATGATAGATTCGTCACTATTTATGTGCAGACCCAAAGATGTTTGACGCTGCCTATCCACAATCAATAATCATTATGAGGCTGTGTGGGTATTTTTAAAACTTCAACTTGAGGTAATCTCACTCCCAAATCCTTCGAATTTACAGTCAAACCAATAATCAACGCTGCCATGAAGATTGATACGATATAGTGGATCCCAAGTTAAGCCGTTGCCTGGCGGGTCACCGATGCCAAGACTTTTGCACTTCGACCGTGTCCTTGTCCGTGTCCGTGTCCTTGTCCTTATCCTCTTCAACTCGCCCATTTCCTTGTCCTGATGTACCTTTCACCAGAACAGATTGACTATACTCAATTTGGAACATGGCATCTACGTCGGGACACATCAAAACGTGTCAAAACTGTGCTCGTGGCAAAATCCGATGTATCCGAACTTCGGATTCCTCTATCTGTGATCGGTAAGTAGTGAAACTCGATCATCATTTTTATACTCAACTATAACCATATTCTAATATAAGGTATTAGATGTCGCCGCCTTGATAAAGAGTGCTATTTTCGGGCCGCTCGACCTCGTTACAACCCCGCTAAGAAGGGGACGTAAGGCTCCCAAATTCCATCTGATTCGTGACAGTGAATATAAGCTGACGGAAGCTTAAAAAATCAGACGAGTCGAGGCTCTCGAAGCCAAAGTGGATCAGCTCTTAGCGCGAGTCGTTAATAGCCAGCACACTAAACACCAGCCTGATGTTCCTTTAGCCCTGTCTGACCCGGAACTTCATTCCATTCCAGATAAACCCCGAGATGTTATTGATCGCGGGATTGTGAGATTTGATGATGCCGTCACTCTTCTTGAATCTTTTCGGGAAACCTTGATGCCATGTTTTCCATTTATCTTTATCGCACCGGAAGTGACGCTTGCTCAGCTGCGAGCGGAGAAACCGCTTCTCTTGCTGGCTATCCTCAAGGTCTCATCATACAAAAATGCAGCCGCTCAGCAGATATTGGAAGAAACATTCCAAACAGCAGTTGCTGATCAGATGATCTTCGCCCATAATCCATCTATGGACGTATTGCTGGGACTCCTTGTGGCTTTGGCATGGTGAGTCTAATTTAAAGTGGTTTTATTGAAGACGGCACTACTGACTCAAAGCCTCAATATCCCAGGTTGCAGCATCAGTCTCAGCATGAAAGATTTTCCAGCTACCTTCATCTTGCTTGGAGTATAGTCGGTGATTTGCGGCTTGACCGGTTGTCGGAAACCCAATCATTCTATTCACGGATGGCTATGAGCAAGGTCTCTTCAGATGAAAACAGTAGTAGACATTCGGTGAACGAGAGAAGACGAGCTCTGATTGGATGTTACGTGCTATCCTCATGGTCAGTAACAATGCCCATATCTCCCTAATATTACTGACTGAGTATGGGTGTGTGCAGTCGCTCGACAATATTGCAAAAGGATCGCATGATGACTCGGCTGTCATATGTTGAAAAGCATGCACTTGAATTACTATCAAATGCTGAGATTGCCAGTGATCGCTGCTTAATACAATTAGTAAAATTACAACAAATCTTTGAACGAATCGATGATGCTGTGGTCACTACTGCGAATCCAGTACGAGAGGTTGATATGCATGCATTCCAAACCGAAATCAATGAGTACAGAACGACCTTGCTGGCAACGTTTTCGGACAATTGTAAGTGACACCGCTTGTGAGTTTGATTGATTAGACTGGAACTAATACTAACTCAACGTCCACAACATAGCCCTACTACAATTTCACCTACACACTCTACAATTGTTTCTATGCCAGGCTTGCTTATTTGATAAACATGAAACAGCCAACTATTCGGCTTCGTCCGCGCCTCGCTCCCATGCAGACTTAGGGCTCCCACCACATCTCCAAAGTGGCCACCAACCGTTAGACTTATCACCCTTCCAGGTTGAATTTCTCAATCGCGGCATGACTGAAGCAAAGAAATTCTTTGATTACGTTTTCACATTTGCTCCGGATACTTATCGACTGATCAGCCATACGCAATGGCTGCAAACAGGCTTTAACTTGGTTCTAGGCTGCAAACTGGCCGTCACGGGGGCAAAATACGCCCCACGCAGTCCACATGTTCGTGCCCTATGCTCGGCTTTGAATATGCCACACGTTCTGCGGGCCGCGTTGCAACGGATCCAATGGCTCAGCAAGGACAGAGTGACTGTAGATGGGAAACAGCACTCCAAATACTTCTACGAGGCATGGCTGTGGCATATTCTTGAATGGTTCGAGCAAAAGTATCACCTGGTGCCCTCTGAAGATACGACCCAAATACCTACAGGATTACCCGATGGCGGCCTCGGACCGTCTACTTTGGCCAACAGCACAACCTCGCAGGGTGTCCCCCTGATGGGTGAAAATTATGGCGCCACACAAGTAGCACAGGTAGATGATACTGCCTTATGGCCGGACTTCCTCTGGAACATAAGCACGGATGACATACTCAATGGGTATATGGGGTTTCCGGATATGCCGTATCCCACATTACAGCCTGGATATGACGTGCCACTGCCATGAGAACAAAAGACATTGACACTATGCGAATGCATAACACCAAAAGAGACCAAATAAAGAAACCAAGAGCTTGTTCCCGCGGTGGCATCGCTTTAACTCAAATTTGTTGCTGTTTACACTAATAATCCAAGCTCAACAGGAGCTGATTTGATTTGGTCCTCTTGGATCTCGCGAATCAACGCATTACTCGGGTAGTCTTCCAGATCCAGATCCATGTATCCGCTGGATGCACATTTCCTTCCTGAGACAAAGAAGGAATGCCCATTGATACTCCTGACGCTGAGGATTCTCAGCAGGCACTGCGTTGCGTCTTCCGCCTGTGCAAACTCTACCCCAACACTGGAAACATGCTTGAACGCCTCATCCGACAGAATGTTTGTATTCACATACCTTGTGACTTGATCAGCAATTGTACTTCTCATGATAAAACGGCCGTGCTTACCATGGGGAGATGACGTTGACCCGACTACCATAGAAGAAAGCAGTTCTTCTCAATGAATGCATGATCCCGCGCATGGCCCATTTGCTCGCACAATATTGAGGGGCCCGCGGACAGTCCAAAAAGGCTGCCCCTGATCCAATCAAAATCAAAGATGTATCTTCTTGCTCGGGTGAGTTTTTCGTGCCATTTTGACGGATGAAATGGTGGGCGCAAGACCCAGGAAGAATGGATCCGTTGATGTATCGCATTTGAAAAGAAGCTGTGTCAGGCGCTGTAAAGCCAGATCCTCGAGTCCGGAGAACAAAAACTGGTGTGCAAAGCAGTAAACCTTGGCGTGCATAAGAGCGATGTCACCAAGGCCCTCATCACAAGCACTAGGCTCCTTCATGAACGCTGCTGCGGCTGTTTGGATAGTCCCTGCTGGCAAAACAGCTTGTAAACACCGACTCAAAGGTGTTAGCGGTCGTTCTTCCGAAAACGCTTCGTTTAAGATTTTGGAGTCAGGCACCGATGACCCCACTTTGGTAGAGAGGAAGGCTTGTTGTGCTGAAAGGTATATTCGTTAACAGCGAACAGAATTAAAAGGGGAGTATGGAATGTACTAATCTGATCATCGTCGTTTCTCTCTTCAATTTGTTCACCAACAAATTTTCGACCGCGCACGTCGTAATCCTCAATGTATAGATAGCTCAAGGCGCATTCAACGGTTTCCTCATCGAATTCCGTCCAATCAATAGCCCCACTCGTACCATTCTTAATCCACTGGTCGTTAACACGAGCTTTCAATACCGGTGAGCCGCACGACGAAAGGACTCTAGGATGAACGTAGTAAACAGTTTTTTGAGGGCCAACAATGACCTGGACTGGGCAATTTTTGAACGTACTTCATTAATGTCAGCACAAGAAAGTACAAAGTATAGGGGCCTACCTACCTGGGGAATTGGTGGAAATTTGTACGCGATGCCATTGCTTAACGAATCCTATATTTTCAATCTGAAATAAAGTATACAGCCTTCACTAACTACGACTGGTGAGCGAAGACGAGGGTTCGCTACATGTGAGAAGCATGAGGGGAAAGAGGGAAGCTAGGTGGCGAAGCTGATCTGGCACGATCTGGCCAGATCGCCAAATCTATAGAATGATTCTAAGTAGCTCTATATAGTATTACGGTACCGTGACAATGACTCATTGCTAGCAATACAATAATTACGATAACAGTTTTGCCAAAATTATGAGGCGGTGAACTAATTAGGCCTAGCGTGTGTCGGAATTAGTTTCTCCGAATCAAGATGAAAGAGTTTGGGGGTATAGCTGATTTCGAAAAATACTGTAGGAAAGAATACTATAAACCATTTGCCAATTTGGACCCATAGGAGGATTCTTATGCCAAATCCTTTCATAACTTAAATCCCTTATACCGGTTTGCCGCATTAAGGAAGCCATCTGAAAGAAAGAAAAATTGCGAATCTTGCCCTAGATCAGATTAGCTTCCATAAATTCCGTTATAAGACTATGAGCCGTGTGTCGAAACCGATCTATACATTTAACGGGTTGTGTCTTACTATAGGGCTTCCACTAGAAGCGTATTATAGACTAGAGACAGAATGATAGAAGCGATAAGACAAATTTCCTATCCTCTAAGATTGTAGAGACTCTGCCTAAAGAACGATATAACGATAAGTTAAAAGTTTTAGATTAAATAATTGAATTTCACTAAGCATTAGGATTATAAGGGATCCGCCCTATTTTAAGAACTAGGGATTTAACTCTAAGAGGTCTATAATATACTAGCACTACTAGCGAGATAAATATATAACCCCTTATTCTATTATAAGGATTCGTTAATACGTTTATATTCGCGATAAGTCACCTAAAAGTCCTACTCCTACTTTACCTAAGTAACGCTTCTTTCGAATATAATTTAATCCTTCTTCTTATAGATAAACGCCCGCTATTCCTTCGATAATAGAAGGTTGGATTCCTCTAAGCAATTCGCGTATAGTGTATTAATATTAATACGCCGCTTAGTAGAAAGTATATATAACCAAACGCAGACAAAATAGGATCCGGGCTTATATGCTATGAACTTGATCTTTATACGATAGGAATCACTAGCATGGTAAGATATATAAAGCTAGGAGATAGTTCCTTTCATTCTAGGTAGTGTTAGTTTATATAATATTTGCTAGATAATATGAAGACTTATGTCTAATTAATGCCAAAAATGCCTTGCCTTTATAAGTCTAGATCCGGTTGATATCAGGCTAAAGGATTATCAAACGCTATAAGCAAGCTAACTAGGGGGTAGGGCCGTTATTTAAGCTTTTTTTGACTGCTAGAGCAGTAATACCATATATATACTAGTACGTGCCACAACCCTATAGATCTGTCTTTACTAAACAAAGCTAAATATCAGGGGGGTCGAGAGGCGAGCTAGCCTAGTGTTACGGATATGCTAGTCACTAGACCTTGCCAACTCCCATGGGACTAAGAAAATTTTGGTCCCATATCCTAGTCCCATCTACTCCTATAGGACTAAAAAAATTCCGGTCCTATTACCCTAGTAGTCCTATAGGAGTTATAGGACTCCTATATAGTCCCACGCTAGTATAATTTTGCTAAGGATTTCCTATTTTAGCTATATAAAACTATAAAGTAATCAGATAAAATACTATTATTTATAGGCGTATAAGTGTCCCTACTTTTAATGTCTAATAATATAGTTTTTTTATATAATATAGTCTATAATAGAGTTAATAAATAACTTAAGTCTATATTAAAAAGTATCTATCTTTAAAAAAAATATTATATACTAGATTATAGTGGCTTATAGGCGTAAAGGAGATTTAAATATAGTATTAGAAGGAAGTGGTTAAGTAAAATATATATTTATATAGAGGTACTACACTATATTTTCTATATATTATTTAGAAAGTATAAATTTAATAAAGAAGGCTTAAAAGTAAGAATTTTCTTTTTAAAGTTATAAGGGATTATAGATACCCCTAAATCTAATTAATTTCCCTTTTATATAGGAGTCCTATAGGAGTCCTATAGGAGTCCCGTCGAATAGACTAATAAGTAATATATAATAAGTGGGTACTAGCCTATTTATAATATATCTTCGCGCTATTACTCGTTTAAACTCTACTAGTAGCCGAACGCGACTCTTACGATTATAAAGGTAGGTGTTAGAGATATACTTTTTAAACCCTCTTCTAGTTTAATAGAATTATTATTCTAGTATATTATAATACGAACTATATATTAAGGCTAGCTCGTTATCCTAGATTATATTATCCTACACTAGAATTCCTCTACCTTCTTTAGTCTATAGTATTAGTATTATTAATAACCCCTTTACGCTAGATTATTTAATTAGCTAGTAGCTAATCTATAGCGGACTAGAATCCTTAATCCTCTAAATAGAGCCGAATCCGATTCCTCTAAATCTCCGCTATATTAGTCCTAAATATTAAAAGTTCTAGGTTCTTTAGACTATACTAAATAAGACCGACTTTATTAAGTAGTAGCGCTAGACTTTCGTAAAGCCCAACTTTAGGCCTAAGGTCCGGGCTCGAAACCCGACCCGTAACGAGCTGGGGGTCGAACTTCTCGAGCTCGACCCGGACCCCGGCTCGTAGGGGGGGGGCTCGTCGAGCCCCCCCCCCCCCCCTAGGCTCGAAATTGTATAAAACTATAGTCTTAGCGTTTATAAAGTGGCTGAATCATCCAGATAAACGACTGTCTTTTATATATATTCTGGTTTATATATAGAATTGTACTATATTATCATTAGACCTCATAACCGCCCGCAGACCCGCACTTTTGCGGGCGGAGGGCAGGCGACGCCTGCCCGCGGGTCGGGCAGGTTATTTTCTTGCCCTTAGAGGGCGGCCCTCCAAACATTTTGAGGGCCGACAAATAGGACAAATAGGGAAATCCCTAGAGTTGTATAAAATATACATTTCTCGGCTATATTATTTAGTATTTGGTTTACAGCTTAGTATTATAGAAAATAAATATATCTAGGAGTACTCATTTAAACTGGCTAAATAACATCAAATCTCACTATAAATATCTTATTTTTTAAGGAACTAATATATATTATATAGCTTTAAGTTCTACGGCGTTTATCACTCTCAATTTCATAACTATTAAGTTTACTTAAGCGCTTCCGAACCCTCCCTAAATGCCGTTATATATGAGGTAACTTAGGCTCACTATCCGTATCCTCCTCCTACTCTTCAACCTCTAGCTCCGATTAAGTACGCTACCTCCGTTATGATTAGCCTTAATTAACTACCACTTAGATAGTACTATCCTCATCCTCTACGTCCTTATAAGTATCACTACCCTCGTTATTATCACTTATAGGTTTAAAATGATAAGTGTTAGTTATATCCCTCTCCTCTTAGTTAGCTTATATCTCTTTATATAAAAGATACTTATTAATCAAAGCTTGGTAGGCATCTTCGATCTTAAATTTTGATATATATATAAATATTATTAGATCTTAAACTATTAATACCTTTAGAGAGCCTCGTCGGTAGTGATAGATATCCTAGGCGGAGTTAAAAAGGCGTTCTACACCCGCCCCTATAGCTAGTATTGAAAGTTATCATATTTAAAAGTTAATACTTCTACTATTATAATCCTATTAATATAACATGTAAGTGATTTAAACTATACAATGCATTTTAAACTAAAATGCAACATTACAAATAATGATTTAATAATATAACCATACAATGTAAAATATAATATAACCATACAATGCATTTATTAAAATGCAACATTACAAAATAATGATTTCATAATATAACAATACAATGCATTTTAAATCCATCATTATGACGATAACACATTTAATTAGATCTATCTAGATCTATTTTCAAAAGAGATAAATAAGACTATAACCACCGAGATAATAATCTTTTTTATAACACGGTTAATATCTTCTTTATATTGAATATACTTCAATTAACTAAATACAACTTTTTATCTCTTTACTTTCTTACCTTTCATCTTTAGTTTTTCTTTCCTACCATCTAACCCCTATAACCTCCTAGAAAAGTATATCGCGTGTAAGGTTTATAATAGTAGGGTACTAATACTAATACTCTTTCTAAAATAAATAGGTAGGCGTTTATATAATACCTTAAATATAAGTTAATATAGGATAGATAATAAAAAGATATAACTTACCACTATTAAGGTATTCCTTAAGCTTATTATATTCACTTAATACTAAGGGCTAGGACTCTTCTACCCTATATTCTATTTTAAGCTCTAAAATCGCGATTACGGATAATCGAGCTCTAGATAATAATTATATATCTAAATGAAGTTTCTTATAGGACTAAAAGTATTCCTTAAGACTTACTCGATAGATTGCACGCTAGTTATTAACCGGATTATCCTAGTCCTTTCCTTTAAAAAAGTCAAGCTTTTATTAGGGTGAGAGAATAGTGCTAATTACGTAAAGATTGTTATTAATTTGATCGGTCTAGCTATAATATTGTGAAAGCTTCTTCTCTACTACCTTAAGAGAAGTAAGTATAAGCTACTTCCACGTAACCTTCTTCTATTTTAAGGTAGTCTTTAACTTTTTAAGGTGGTTAAAGAGCTTATTATAAATATTAAAGATTAGGTGAATACTAATATCTTTAGTTTTAGAAAGAAGAGTGGTGAATTTAAAGAAAGGCTAGGTGATCTAAAGAAGATAGTCAATCTATCGCCACTCTTCTAGACTTAGTGTAAAGTGTTCCTAGTCGTACTAAGCGTAGAATTTATTAAAGGTTAATTAGAGCCGTTTAGCACGTTAGAGTATTAAAAATGTCGAATTCTAGCGAGTTCAGATATCCTAGATCGGAATAAGCCTTAGCTCCTTAGTTTAAAGGTTATAGAATGACTCTCTCCGTTATAGACTTACGTTAATATAGATAGCAAGGTTTCGGACCTATA